ACACACACACACACACACACACATGATGTACTTCTCATTTTTTCTCCCACCTTCCTATCTTGTGATGACCATAAGTGTCTATTCTTAGTAGCGTCTTGGACCAATTATGACGCCATTTGGGGCTGCCATCTTTGTCCCCGTCGGCTTGTGGGTGATGATGTATTAAGTGCGTGAAGTTGACGTAAGACATTTTGAGGAGGATAACATTTATGAATAAGCTTTTGAAAATCCATCTGTGTATCGTAGCTAAAGTGAATCAGTTTTAGTTACCTTCCTCACCTCACCTAAGAGAGAAAATGGACCTCAGGAACTATTCTTGGCTGTAGTCACAACAAAGTATAGTCTGATCCACATCCTGTAACGCCACATAAACACTAGAAAGATGTTACAGACTTTTCTCAACACGGGGTAACTTTTAATACATGTAATATATACGTTTCTGTATATGTATACCTGAATGTTAACGTTCAATCTATGTCTCTTCTATACATGTCCAATCTCCTAATTGTTATCTAAGCGTTACAGGAGGGTTACAGAAGTTAAATGACCGCTACATACCAGTACAAGAATGTTACATAGTAATTACAGAGCGTTACAGGCACTTAAGCACTACGTACACGTTACGAGAGATTTATATATACGTTACACAGAGTAAAATTAGCATTACAGAGAGTTTCATATGTGTTACAAGAGATATACATAACCATTACAGAGTTACAGCCAGGTATTACCATTGAACCCTCCTCCAGACAAGTAGGTTCCGGTGTATTGAGGTAACGAGTCAGGGATGAGGAGGCGCTGAGTGGTGTTTGATCCTCCTCTGGACATCAGCCAAGGGGGATCCAACGCCACAACACACTCACTAATGAACCTCATATGTCTCTCTCATACAAGCTATATATTTATGTTCCTCTCACTTATTGTCATGTCTTACTACGGAGAATAATCTGTCTGTGACCCCCCCCTCTCTCTCTTTCTCTCTCTCTCTCTCTCTCTCTCTCTCTCTCTTTAATTTAACATCATAACCAAACCTAATCGAACCTAATTTAAATTACCTGTGACTCAAATTAACAAGAAAATTAATCAACCAAATCTAATTTTACTTATCTAACCTTAGCTGTCGACCACTCATAATAAAAAACTTTAATAACAATCAGAGCCTCTTTAATAAATCAGAACTTTACAAATAACAATAACGATCAGAAGCCTCTTTAATAACATCAGAACCCTTTCATTACAATCATAACCCCATTAATAACGATCAGAACCTCGTAAATAACAATCAGAACTCCTTAATGACGATCAGAACCCTTTCATTACAATCATAACCCCTTTAATAACATCAGAATCCTTTCGTTACAATCAAAACCCCTTAATGACGATCAGAACCCATTTATTACAATCAGAATCCCTTATTAAGAATCGAAACCCACTTCACGAACACTTATTAACCACTGAGTTTGTAAACAAGAAAATGGTGGTGTTTTGTACGTTCTGGCTCCTGATTGGTGTTTGGCCTGGCTGGATCTGTGTTTTCATTGGCTGGATTAGGGGGGGTGATTACGTCTGGTTGGCTGGCGAGGTGAGAGAGGACGAGAGGAAGAGAGAGAGAGAGATGCAAAGGAGAGAAAGTTGTGGAAGAAATAGAGAGAAGAAGCGAGAGAGAGAGAGAGAGAAATTAAAGAAAAGAAAGAAAATAAGGGAGAAATAGAGAGAGAAAATATGAGACAGACAGAGTGACAGAAACAGAGAAAGACAGACAGACACAGAAGGTCCACCCCAATATGGAGGGATCAGTCAATCACCAAACACCAGGGGAGGAAAAATTAACTGATCAAACAGCTATGACGACCACAAACATACATACATACATACATACATACATACCAATTTCATTTAATCTATTTTTATTTTTACAGGGCAAATTTATCGTCAATGGTAAGTTGATTTATTATTAAATTTGTTTGTTATTCCTTATGGTATGTTGTTGTTCTTTCATTACTTGTTAACTTCAGGAAAATATTCAACGAGGTCAAATAAAGGAACAATGTGGTCAAATATTAATATCTTAGGAGATAAATATGATACGCGTGGCAGCGGTACTCAGGCTCAAACACCCACCTGCGTCATCCACTCTCCGATAACTCCCACACGCACTACTGACTCTTACCCTATTTATCAAGGAGTGCCCCATTACTGCTTTCAAAACATTTATAGATGGAATAATAAACTTTTTACGGGCAGTTAAGTCTATCAGTGTCTTAGAGTCACTTATCATATAGACTTTACTACAGTGTTTATGTTGTCAGTCATCCAGTGTACAATAACTGCCACTCACACTGCCAGCCCTCATAACCTGTCTATCACCAATGCTCTAACTTTGTTTTTCTGCCATAGTATGTTATATAGACCTAAAAATCTTTCCACGTTGAACAATAAACTTCCAATCAATAGATGTGTCCATGGCGTGTCTATTCTTTATACGCTGCCAGACACCAATGCCTCCCTCACACAACACTCAACTATTGCCCTTCACAAATAATTTGTGATGCACTGCCTTAAAAATAATTAGTTAGCATACTTTTACTGGCTTGTTAAATCGATGCATCAAAATTACTATCAAATTTGCCGAGTAATGTAATTTAATGGTTCAATCAGCCGCAATTGGCAAGTCTCAGTTAATACTCGAGAAATCCAAGTTAAAATATATTTGTGGTAAAAGATGATTTACTTATTCACCTTGACACTATACATATATAATTACTCAGTACAGTATATATCAACCAATGTACGACTACCACCGACTATCATTTTCCTAAAAGTGTTATTTCTTTAACATTATCTTCGTATTCCCCCATAAGGTACAGTCAGGCCAGAGGGTGAGCAGGTCGTTCCATGGCGAGTCGCTGTGCCGAACCTCCACACCAACACACACACACTACTTCAATGATCTAACACCTATTGCGAGGGATACTACTGTTTAGGTCAATGTAAGAGGATCATCATTCAGGTGTAGTCAACATTAATACTGTTTAGGGCTATGTTGTTATTATCAAGTCTACGTGACGCTTCCCTTGATGATCACTGGCTTATGTTGTTACACACCCGACCTCCCCATTATATTATGAGATATACAGGTAACTGGACACACACACACACACACACAACAGTTTATAATTCATTAGGAACTCTTTTTACTTTGTAGTTTGGCTTTAACGTGAGAAGGGGAAAGAGTATATGGATAACATTGTGGCTTCAGAAAATATAGCACGTGGCTTACAGGGTTCCTTGACTATTTATCTATGAACTTGTTAGCTTGTGTGTGTGTGTGTGTGTGTGTGTGTGTGTGTGTGTGTTTGTCCGCCCGTTTGACAGTCACAGACCAATAATTACGGCTTCTCTTGATACCCTCTAAGAAGACGCGATTGTTTGAAAGCTTCACTGGAGATTGCACTTTGGCAACAGTCTATAGTGTCGGCGGGAGAGCCATAATATCACAAGCAACTAGTTTTTATTAGAGTTAAGACGATGTTTTGGTATTTAGAGTTCCAGTGAAGGCAAGAGCAAGCGATTATAATTCTTTCAGTCAGGGTAATAAGTCACATATTTCTTTTATTTCATCTTTGTAGAGCGTAAAGATTATCGTACGCCTGGGGTCATGTTTATAGTCGGGGAAGTTATCGACGCTGAAGTGTTTGTTTACAGTACGTGAATATGTGCCGTGTAAACATGGGGTCCAGATATTATAGTTAAAGTGCGAAAATTACTGAAAAAACGTGTGTGTGTGTGTGTGTGTGTGTGTGTGTGTGTGTGTGTGTGTGTGTGTTTGTGTGTGTGTGTGTGTGTTTGTGTGTGGCACCACAATAAGGTCACAGTATAAATACATGGAGCCATCATCCTCCTGTGAGCTACTGTAGACCCCAGTATTTTTACACACAGACACACACACACACACACATACACACACACACACACACACACACACACACACCTTTAACTATAATATCTGGACCTCATGTTTACACGGCACATATTCACGTACTGACCTGTGACTCTATTGACCTGTGGCTCTATTGAACTGTGATTACTAACCTGTGACTCTACTGATCTGTGGCTCTACTGACCTGTGACTCTACTGACCTGTGGCTCTATTGAACTGTGATTACTAACCTGTGACTCTACTGACCTGTGGCTCTACTGACCTTTGACTCTACTGACCTGTGGCTCTATTGAACTGTGATTACTAACCTGTGGCTCTACTGACCTGTGACTCTACTGACCTGTGGCTCTATTGAACTGTGATTACTAACCTGTGACTCTACTGACCTGTGACTTTACTGACCTATGACTCTACTGACCTATGACTCTACTGACCTGTGACTTTACTGACTTGTGGCTCTACTGACCTGTGACTCTACTGAGCTGTGATTACTATCCTGTGACTCTACTGACCTGTGGCTCTATTGAACTGTGATTACTAACTTGTGGCTCTACTGACCTGTGACTCTACTGACCTGTGGCTCCATTGAACTGTGATTACTAACCTGTGACTCTACTGACCTGTGACTCTCATGATCTGTGATTCTACTGACCTGTGACTTTACTGACCTGTGGCTCTACTGACCTGTGACTACTGACCTGTGGCTCTATTGAACTGTGATTACTAACCTGTGACTCTACTGACCTGTGACTCTTATGATCTGTGATTCTACTGACCTGTGACTTTATTGACCAGTGGCTCTACTGACCTGTGGCATCATGACCTATGACTCTACTGACCTGTGACTCTACTGACCTGTGACTCTACCGACTTGTGACTCTACTGACCTGTGACTCATGACCTATGACTCTACTGACCTGTGACTCTACTGACCTGTGACTCAACTGACCTTTTACTCTCATGATGTGTGATTCTACTGACCTGTGACATCATGACCTATGACTCTACTGACCTGTGACTTCTAACCTGTGACTCGTATTGACTCATGAGTGGCACTCACTTGTAGCCTCGCCGGTGGTGAAGTCGACGTGGAGAAGATTGAACCAGACGGTCTCAGCAGACGGTCCAGCTGTCCCGGTGACGATGGAGGAGAGGTGAAGGTCTTTGGAGCGCCTTAGAGGGTCTTTTGTAGCTCTCAATGGTCCTTAGGGAGGCCACTGAGACCTCAAGGATCCTCTTAAAGGCTTCTAGTGACCCTTAAGACTCACTGGGAGGACCACAAAGACCTCTTAAAAGATCTTTGAAGACGTGGAAGGATCTTGAAGCTTCCCCAGGCTCTAAGCTTGTACTCACAGCTTCTAGCGGACACAGGGGAGTTCTTTAAGTTCTCCTGAAGCTTCTCAGTGAGCCCCCTGAGGCTGCGAGTGGGCCCTAGAAGCTACTACGGGCCCTTGGATACACCAAGTGAGCCCTTGCATCAGCTTAAAATGTGCCTCTTGAACTCCTCAGCCCAGGACCAGTTTAAGTCTCCAGGCAGAAACCCTTAATGGCTCCCAGGGGCCCCGAGGTTGCTGCTAGCGGTCCTGAATCACATACACACACACACACACCGGCCGTCCATCCTCAGGACCTCAGACCCTCACACAACTACACTTTCCACTAAATGGCTGCCGTAATAGGACCAATTTTCCGGCCGGGTTAAAACTCACACCAATTTCGAGACGAACTTAGCGACACAGCACAAGAAGGAGGGGGGGTAGTTGTGTAGGGGGCAGGAAAGTGACTCAGGTGGGGAAAGGTTGTGGTGGTAGAGGTTGTGGTAGTTGTGGTGGTGGGTAGAGGGTGCCAGCCTGTTTAGTGGGCCGGTGGTGGGTTGGCACTGGCACTGAGGATGTAAGACCCACCTCTAAACTCACCCATCCTCCCACCCACCCATCACCCAGCCCAGGTCCTCTCAAGGGTATTTTTAAGATCATACGGAGAGCTGCCATATACGACAACCTGAGCAGAGAACCGCTCATGCTGCAACAGTGACCTCTCTCTCTCTCTTCTCTCTCTCTCTCTCTCCTCTCTCTTATTCCAGATGGCTGCATGGTTGTTCACCCGCCAGATGGTTGCATGATAGTTACAGTCATCGCCCCGCCAGATGGTTGCCTGGTAGTTACAGTCATCACCCGCCAGATGGTTGCATGATAGTTCAGTCATCACCCGCCAGATGGTTGCCTGATAGTTACAGTCATCACCCGCCAGATGGTTGCATGATAGTTAGTCATATGGTTGCCAGTTACATCACCCGCCAGATGGTTGCATGATAGTTACAGTCATCACCCGCCAGATGGTTGCATGATAGTTACAGTCATCACCCGCCAGATGGTTGCATGATAGTTACAGTCATCACCCGCCAGATGGTTGCCTGGTAGTTACAGTCATCACCCGCCAGATGGTTGCATGATAGTTACAGTCATCACCCGCCAGATGGTTGCATGATAGTTACAGTCATCACCCGCCAGATGGTTGCATGATAGTTACAGTCATCACCCGCCAGATGGTTGCATGGTAGTTACAGTCATCACCCGCCAGATGGTTGCATGATAGTTACAGTCATCACCCGCCGGATGGTTGCATGGTAGTTACAATCATCGCCCGCCACAACTACGGCTAAACTGAGTCATGGTAGAATAATGGTGGCATGGAGCCAGGTCGACTCTCCTCTCATAGTACCACTGTCTTCTCTGTCTATCTTTCCCATTACATATTGGTCAATACTAGAAGCATGGCTGAAATACTCGCTCCCAAATGTATTATAATACGATTTTGTGAGATAATAATTATGACACGTTGAACGAAGGAGTTTTGTCAACCCTATACCCAGACAACAGGAGTCGAGGTGTTCATTTATAAATTCATCGGACCCTCTCTAAACTTTTTGGGGTGAGTGTGGGAAGTAAATTCTTTATTCCTTCCTCGATACAACCTGCTCTTGCTGTCATCTCTCAGACCCCCCCACAGCACCATATCCGTACACTACAACCTGCTCTTGCTGTCATCTCATCTCCTGTCATCTCAGCCACAGTACACTACAACTGTCATCAGACAGCACCATATCCCGTACACTACAACCTGCTCTTGCTGTCATCTCTCAGACCACCTCCCAAGCACCATATCCCGTACACACAGTTTGACGAAGATCGGACCAAAGTGTAGACGATAAACAGTCACTTTTCTCACGACTGGATAAACCAAGACGCCTCACAAATCAACTTTCTCTCATCTCTGTTATGTTAGGTTTGTGCTTGTGTGGTCGGAGCTATTTTGAGGGTGAAATATGATAAGGACACTGGCAGAGGTAAATACTATGTTGGTATCACCTTTTGGGAACTTGTAGATATTATTTACGTTACCCAGATATGGACACAGATATAACAGACTTGTATAGAGCCAATCATATCTCTCTTATAATACTCCTGACCAATCAAAACTCAGAGACATGATTAAACAGCCAGTCATATCTCTCTTATAATACTCCTGACCAATCAAAACTCAGAGACATGATTAAACAGCCAGTCATATCTCTCTTATAATACTCCTGACCAATCAAAACTCAGAGACATGATTAAACAGTCAGTCATATCTCTCTTAAAATACTCCTGACCAATCAAAACTCAGAGACATGATTAAACAGTCAGTCATATCTTTCTAACCAATCATCACTGAGACACATGGTTAAACAGTTAATCTTATCTCTCTACAATCACTAAGTTACATGATACATACAACACAATGTTTATACACCGTCAAGTGTCACCAGGATATTGATGGTGAGGATAAGTTGCCTCACCAGTGCCGTCATACAGATGCTTGGTGACTGACGGTGATTGTTAGGCTAATATAATCATAATGACGTTAATGATGATTTTTATTATTTGTGATGATAATGATTTTTACTTTTTCATTCTTGCAAATTTTCTGTGTGTAGCTTTTGTTGGTGTGTCTAGCATTACATAGAAGTATACAGGATTACAGAGATTATACTGTAGTCTCTCTCTCTCTCTCTCTCTCTCTCTCTCTCTCTCTCTCCTGCAGACAACCACTATGACCGCGGCTACATGGCTGCCAGACGTTTCTTTTTACGTCAGTGTCATATGACAGCGGCGTGACGCACTGTGTTTCCCCCTCCCTCTGGCTGACAGGGGGGGGGGATAAGGGAGGAAAAAGGAGAGTGAGGGAGAGCGGGAGAGAAGAAATAAGAGAAAGAGTAAGAAAAGAGGGAGATGACAATAAAGGGAGGGTGAAGGAAGAGAGATGTGAAGAAGAAAAGAGAGAAAGAGAAAGTAGAGGGGCAACCGTGTGTGTGTGTGTACACCAGACTGTGTACATCAATGTGTATATAACAAGACCGCCGCAAGCACGAGCGATCACCATCGCCTGGCGATCACCTTCACCCCGGCACTGACACACTTACAGAGAGCTACGACATGGTAGTGTACCACAAGGTCAACGCCAGCATGAGCGATCATCAGTGCCTGGCACTCTTAACACTTCCTGTCTGAGAACAAAGACACCCGGCCAGCACCCTCACCCCTCCCTCCCCTCTGGGTCAAGTGATCCACCAGACAATCCCCCTAAGAGTATTATAGGTAACTTTTGTCTCCCGTTTCTTGGCGTCTTCTCATCTTCTTCATTTTCCTCAGACTTCCCGCCTTGATCACTGTTTACTGAGCTGCCGTGAGCCTCCTCTGGAAGCTTCTGTCTTCTCATTGAACGAGAGATTTTCCCTTTTTTTCGTTTTGAAAGTCTGAGACTCTTGGTGATCGACCAATCATATGTCATTATCGTGCATGACGTCACTGCTATATGGAGGTATATATAGGGCAGGAATCCTCTTCGTTCACCACAACCACTTCAACTACCAGAGCATCCGGTCCCCACCTTCACCTTAATTAACACATTCCTAGTCATGAACTGTCATGTAAGTATTACTTCTAAGATATCTGGATGTTAGAGGTATGTTCTCTCTCTCTCTCTCTCTCTCTCTCTCTCTCTCTCTCTCTCTCTCTCTCTCATTATTTCTTTCGTTATGTCTCTTCCTCTTTTGATCTAACTCTTTGTTATCACCAGTGTGGTGATAATAGCCGGGTTCTAACACAGTATTAACCTTGTCTTGGTGATCAGCGTGGTAGGTTGCTGGTGCTAGTGGTGCTCATGGTGGTGGTAGCAGTGTCACCACTCCACGCTGTACCAAAACGTGTGGCCAATAGGATGATCCCCAGCTGGTGGTCAACAGGTGAGTGTCTCTCTTCACCTGTATTCATGTTGATTCATTAGTAAGGACAGACAGACAGACAGACAGACAGACAGAACAACTAACATATGAATAGACAGTGCATGTATACAAATAATACAAACAGTCTAGATCTACACACAGATGACAGACACAGTTCAGGTATACAAACAATGTATATAGAGAGTTCAGGTATAAAATAATGATCAGCAGTAAATCAATATGGCAGAGTACAGCTCGTGAAGGCCATTAGACGCCTACATTTATTTCATGTGTTTAATCACAATCTAAACTTAACAATAAGTAAATTAAAGGTTATTATCTTCCTACAAAAGCAAATTCATTATTCACGAGTGTACTGTCATCAACATCTGTCACTGTCAACGTTCATCTTGTCACTGGCATAACTGGCACTGTCAGTCACTGGTGACGTAGATAAATAATAACAGGAGTCACTCGTGGTGCGGCGCCACAGTGATTGTCACCCCACAATAATATTTAAGTTTGTCCTTCAACTGTTGACGTTTTCCCTGATAGAGTTGTTTACTTGTCTTTGTTAGTGTGTTTGAATAACGACAGATTCTCTGTCCACAAGAAAAATGAATTTTTAGTTTTGTCAAAACGTCTTAATGGTTCGTTTTTACAACACTATCATGCCTCTAAGACATTATTGTATGTCACATTCTTTTAAGATCAGAATCATAAAGATTTTTTTTTCTTATTTTAACCCGTCTTGGTATCCCATCTCCGCCTTATTGAGTGAAGCTAACCCTGATGTTACTTGTTGCTGCTCCACAGTGAAGAACGTGTGCTGGTCAGTGTCGGACTGTGAACCTAGTGAGTGTTGTACTAGGCCTATGTTGTCCTCCAAGGCCTACTGTATGCCCCTCAGGAGCCGAGGTCAAGCGTGTGATGCCTCCCCTCTCATGCTGAACTTCGCCAAGCAGGTGAGTTGCCATAGAGACGTGTTCTTCGTTGATGATAATTTATTATGAAGGTCTCAGATGCCACGATGATACACACTACCTCAGGTGATGAACCTCAACCTGTCTCCCTCCATAGGTATACTTCAGCGACTGCCCCTGTCAGTATGACCTCACCTGCGCCTCCCTCAGTAACAAGCACAAGTCTCAGTGTGTCGACCTGCGCACCCTCGAGGTTGACTACCGCCGTCTGGCCGCCATGAATCTGCCACTCCCAAGCGAGAATCATTAACAAGCTCCACCTCCAACCTCGAGAAGCTAAGATGACGAACAACCCGCAAGTGTCCAGGACCAGCTCAAGGAAGAACCGCTAACCTCACCCTCCAAACAGCTGTTGACCTTCACCTCTGGCAACAACGACAAGGTTGACCTCTACCTCCTTTACTCCTCAAACACTCAAGGACCAGAACAACTTAACCTCATCCTACAACTTTAAACAATTTTAGTCTCACCATCTCTAGGCACGTCGAGGACTTCTCAACCCGCCAAAGGACTATTGACCACCACCTCTGGACGTACATTTTGTTTTGAGACCCACCTATGACCATACAAGGACCACTTCTATCATCTTAAGAATCACATCTAATCATTTCGAGGACCACATTAAAGCCCACTTTGAGGAGGACATCGGTTAGAAATCCCAGAAAATACTGTCGCCAGCTGGAGTACGAGCACCGCCATCTTGAGGTCGACTTCGCTACCTTCAAGCAGGGGGTCAGGTGGCTGTTTCTTCATTGTGAATAAATGATGGTTGAAGGAAACACATATTTTATTGATACTTTTAATGGAGAACAAAACACTGATATTATCGACGTCAGAAAACAGTCTTCATTCCGATAGTTACAAATGTTAACTTTCATTTAGTAGATACAAAAGTTACATCACTAATACAGTAACACCTCCTACTAGCAGACTATACCTCTGATGGTCCCCAATTAGTGGACAATGCTAGTAGATTCAAGTCTATCCGATGGCTGTTAATAGGAGGCTTTACTAAATAATAATTTTGAGTAAGAGAACACAAACTATTGGTGTACAGTATATGACAAAGAAAATAGCAATACTGTCGTTCATTACTTTCATCTTCAACCAAAAAGTACAAATAACTTTATTATGAATTTGAAAATAGAAAAAAGATAAATTTGACCAAAAAGACCAATAGTTTTACTTTAGAAATACAATATACTGTACGGTATTACTTTTATAAACCTTTAGAAAATTTAATATTAATTTTAACTTACAAATACTATGATAACGTTAACTTACAAGCACTAGTAATAATCATCAACTTACCAATACTAATTTTATTGATAGACATACAACAAATATTACGAATATTTTTGGTTCCTCCTAAAGCGACTGGAAGACACAGGTACACTGGAATGAAATGAACTGGGGACAGATGGCAAACACCCGGAATGTTCCCGTCTCGGATATACCAGCTGTCTGACGACTTAGTGTCATATAACAGTTGGTCTACGAGCCAGATGGTGGTCAAAACCATCAAGCTTCGCCAGACGGCTTCCTGGACTCCAAAACCTTACCAGATAGCTATTGGGACGTCAGAACCTTACCAGATGGCTTCAGGATTTTAGAACCTTACCAGGTGGCTTTTGGGACTCCAGAAGCTTACAAGATGTCCTCTAGAATTCCATAACCTTGCCGGATGACCTGCAAGACCTCAAAACTCTTACAAATGGTGTTCAAGACCCAAAACTTTACCATCTGGCCTTCAGAACCTCGGACATTCATCAGTTGGCGTTCAGAACTTAAGATGAAGACCAGCTGATGTTCAGAATTTCCAATCTTCACCATCTGGCGTTCAGAACCCCAGAAACTCACCATCTGGCGTTAAAACCCTCGGGCACTTATCAGCTGGCTGCTGGTGTTCAGAACCTTCGACACTCACCTGTTCCAGTCATTAGTTTCTTGTTAGGCTGAGGTTGTTGTGGTCCTGGTGTACTCAGCTCAGCTGCTGGCTTCCTGTCCGCTGCCGCTGCTGCCTACATCTCCACAGGTAGAGGCTGGTTGCTTAAGCAAGGTTGCTGAGTTCTTACCTTTATTTCTTTATAGGAATAATGTTGTGTGGTGTCCCTTAGTTTTACTGTTCTGGTAAGAGAATTTAAGAGGCAGGATTATTTGAAACATAACTCTGTGTTTTTCAGTTATTGGACACAAACAATTATGTACACAGTTTGTATAAGGAAGGCTTTGTACAGGGAGTCTTCCAGTCAGAGCTTAGCACAGATGGTGAGCGTTAGGCTTTGTGGAGCATCTGCTAGCTGCTCATATGAACAGTGACAGCTTGGCCATGCTTAGGGCATGTGCTTAAATATGTAATATAATAATTACATTATAATAAATGAATAAGAAATGTAACTTGTGGTTGTTATTGTTATATCAACCTTCGGTACTGTTATATATTGCCGTTACATCACTCGGTCACCACCATAGCAAGTCCAATTAATAAAAAAAATCATATATATGTACAGTACAGCACAGTACATGTTACCGCCACATTAGGATAAGCTAGAGAGAGAGAGAGACGTTTATCATTCTTTGGAATTTTAGCGGCGCATTCTTTAAGCCAAATGTCATTCGTAAGAATTCGAAATGTCCCATTGGTGTACTGAACGCAGTTCCCCCACGAGATTCCTTATGTAAGGGAATTTGCCAGTAACCACTAAGCAAATCTAGGTCACTGAAGATGGCATTGTCTTTTCCTAGGGACTGTAGTAAGTCAGTTAGGATAGGCATTGTGAACCCGTCTGGTACAGTTGCTTGGTTGACTCATCGAAAATCTATGACTGGTCTCCATCCTCCATCTTTCTTGGGAATTAGGAATAGAGGCGAGTTCCATGGTGCCGAGGAATGTTGGATTACCTCTTGTTCCACCATGTCTGGTGCCATTTGTTTGACTACAGCCCTTTGGGGTAGCTCATATGCTGGTATGTAGATCAGGTGAGTATCCGACTTGAGTGGAATGTGATGGGTTGTCAACGTTGTTTTACCAAGGGGTTCTCCAGTTGTCTGGGACACTAAGACAACACTCGGGCAGGCTCACCTGTGTGTCCACTAGTAATTCTAAAGGATCACTTTACCGTGAGGATGATCCACATGCAATGGTAAAATGTGTCTAAACCTCAGGTAATGGGGTTGTCCTACAGACCCCAGTGGAAGCAAACACCACAAATCATGAAGTTACATTTAATTAAATTCAAAGACCTACACAAACATTCAAAGGCCTACACAAACATTCAAAGGTCTCAGCTCGGCTTCTGACTGAAAATGGAAAAATAAAAATAGCTGATTATATGAAAATATACGTGGATTTATTTATTTTTACAATTTTACACTTATGTTCATATAAGTTCGGCGTGAGAATTTTAGGACCCCACATTACCTATCTTGGGTTAAAACAAAAAGATGAATAATTAATCGAACGATGTGCATGTGTCGCAGTTTATATTTTGATGTTTAAAAATTCTAAAATCGCGTTTAGATTATAAAATCAAATTAATAATGTGAGACAAAGGAGTTAATAATGCACTGTTAAGCTCTTCGTCTCATAGAACAATGTTTTTCATTTTTTACATTTTTAAACGAATAAAAACGATGCAATGCACCTCTGCCAAATCGATGCTCTTGACACACGTGTTAGCGATCTCTGTCAAGTCTCCTTTGTTATGGCACAACTTTCTGAGGAGTTTCCCGGAAGGATGAAAGGAGACTAAGATTCCCAAGTGCAGTGAAGTCTCTGTGAGAGTATGTCAAGATGGTGAAGTATCGACATTAAACCACAGTCTGAAGTCAGCCAATCAGAGAGCGGTAAAGGTGACAATATCAGTCTGATTTGTCAAGTGTGTCGTGACGTAGGCAGACGTCATCATCGGGAGGTACAAATAGCGCTGGAAAACTTGGACATCTCAGTCGTGATCAAGATTTCGTCACAGGTATTAATATTCTGGTGAGTCATTTTACTTTTCGTTTTTGCTTACAGTGTGTTACTCAGGTGGTGGTGATTCGTAATGTTACTTTCCCTTATAGTTATTGGCAGGAAATATTGTATTACTAATTCTTGAACTGATTATTTATATTGTGATAATGTTGGTTGTACTGGATGGCGTATTTTGGTAACTCATTAACACATAATATAAACTTTATCATTCAACAGATCAATGGCGACACTACAGCAGCAACGGGTGATGGTGGTGATGATGGCCATGATGGTGGGCGCCAGTATGGCCATTCCCTCCCATGTGGCCAACAGAATGATACCCAGCTGGTGGATCAACGGTAAGTGGCCACACACACACACACACACACACTACTATTACTTTGCTGTCACTCGGAATCGAGTATGACGATCATCCAGCTATGATACAATGATAGGAGTTATTAAGGATGTCACCTTCATGGGTGAGCTCTGAGGTGACTAAAGAGGCCGATACGGAACCAGCATGGTCATTCACAGATGTTGCACGTGTGGAGGGCTACATCTAGTGCGGGAGGGGCGGCGGTAGCGTCTTTCCGGCGTTGGTGCTTGTCTGCCTCGTTATGCAGTCGGGCTAACTCGAATGTATTGACACCTTCTCGTGTGGTGCTCCTCCAAGCGTTACGGTATGGAGTAATCGTCTCCCAGGTGAGGGGGTCGATTTGGCACTTTTTCAGGTTTGTCTTAAGACTATCCTTAGACCTTTTCAGTTGCCCGCCGGCGTTACGTTTACTATTCGTTAGGTGACAGTAAAGCAGCTGCTTTGGCAGTCTACTGTCGTTCATGCGGGTAACATGGTCAGTCCAGCATAGCTGCTTCATGGATAATGGTAGCCTCGATGCTCCTACAGTTGGTGTCAGCGAGCATACTGGCATTTGTTCTCTTGTCTTCCCAGCGAAATCGGAGGATGGAATGTAGATTACGTTGGTGAAAGTTTTCAAGTGCCTTGAGGTGCCTCCTGTATGTGACCCATGTCTCACTACCATATAGCAGGGTGGGGAGGACCACTGTTCGATATGCGTGCAACTTTGTAGATAATTTCGGCTCCCTACAGCTGAAGACATGGGTATGGAGTCTGCCAAAGGCTTGAGATGCACATCTGAACCGATGTTGAATCCCTTCAACGATGTCCTGGTGGTGGACAGGTGGGAGCCGAGATACCGAAAGTGGGTAACACTATAGAGGGTAGTACCGTTAAGCTGGGTAGACGGTGGAGGTGTGGTTGAACCAGGGGCAGGCTGAAAGAGAATCTGAGTCTTACGTACATTCACCTCAAGGCCTAGGTGTGCATACGCATCTGCGTAGGTGGTCAGGATCTTCTGTAGGTCGCGTTTAGTGTGAACGACTAGGGTGAGGTCGTCTGCATACTGAAGTTCAGTAATGGAAGCTGCCGACACCTTTGTTCCTCCCTGGAGTCGTCTTATGTTGAAAAGACCCTTCATCCGGTACTCGATGTCCACCCCACCGGCTAAATTGGCACTGGCACGAGTAAGGAAGGGAGCCAAGAAAGTGGAAAAGAGAGTTGGTGCCAATACACATCCTTGTTTTACCCCTGTTTGGATGTGGAAGAACTCAGACTGGGTGCCAACGTGTAGGACACTGCCGTTCATGCCATCATGGAGTTGCCTCACAATGGCAATGAATTTTGGTGGGCAGCCAAAACGGCTGAGGGTCCTCCAGAGGGCTTCCCTACTGACCGAGTCGAAGGCCTTGGTTAGGTCAATGAAGGCCATGTACAGGTCACGACGCTTTTCTCTGCACTTTTCCTGTATCTGGCGGGCAGCAAAGATCATGTCAGTGGTGCCACGTGAGGGTCTAAAGCCACATTGAGATTCTGGAAGGAAGTTTTCCGCCTCAGGAAGAAGTCTGTTGAGGAGGACTCGGGTGATAATCTTGCCAGTTATGGAGAGCAGAGAGATCCCGCGGAAGTTCTCACAGTCTTACCGGTCTCCCTTGTTCTTTATAAATATTAACGATGGAGGCGTCTTTAAGAGCTTGGGGAAGTTCCTCCTTTTTTCAGATATTCTCCAGGAGAGAGTGGAGACGGCTGGTAAGCAGAGGTCCTCCTGCTTTATACACCTCGGCTGGGATTCTATCAGGCCCTGAGGCTTTGCTATTTTTCATCTGTTTGATGGCAGTAGCTACTTCATCCAGGGATGGAGGATAGTTGAGGTGGGTCAGCTCTAGATGCTGAGGGACCTGCTAGGTAGTCAGGATATCCACATCGGTGTTTCGGTTGAGCAGCAAATTGTAGTGTTCTTTCCAGTTACCGTCGGGTGGGCGGAGGGAGGGGGGGGGGAGTGATTGTCCTGTTTTATGTCACCTGTATAACACGTGCGCGTCGCCCTTTCAGCTAGGACCAAGGGGACATGCTCATCGTGGTCAGACTGTGGCCCGCAGGAGTGTTGTGTGCGGCCCATGTTGGCCACCAACAACTACTGCCTCCCCTACAACACCCTCGGCCAGACCTGTGTGGCCTCTGCCCTCATGGTGGACGTCGAGAGAGAGGTAGGTCAGCCTGAATTGAATCATGATGAGTCACTGTGTACCTGTGTTGAGTTATGATGAGTCACTGTGTACCTGTGTTGAGTTATGATGAGTCACTGTGTACCTGTGTTGAGTCAAGATGAGTCACTTGTACTAGGAGTGGTTAGGGTGATTAAGTTAGGTTAGGTTAACGTTCGGGTGTCTAATCTTCAAATGAAACTTGCTGGGGTGTTTAATCTTTGGGTGAAATAAGCTAAGGTGCTTAATTGTTGTTTGAAATCATCTGGGGTGTCTAATTATTCAAGTTAATCCTATAATTGTTTGTTATTATTAATGTTACCTTATATACAACTGACCAAAACACCCTCCTCCTTATGTTACAGATTTACCTCGACAACTGCCCCTGTGTCAGCCACCTCACCTGCGCCAACCTTCACTCTCACAGTGTGTGTATCGATCCAGACTCCTTCGACCGCCTCTTGCTTAGACCTTCTCCTCAACCTATTCAGCTGTAAGTCGACCTATTCCTTCTGTTAAAATTGAAAGTCGACTTTTTATAAGATTTAAGTTGTAAGTCGACCGTCTCTATCTGGTTAGGTTGTAAGTCGACCTTCTCTATCTGGTTAGGTTGTAAGTCGACCTTCTCAGTCTGTTAAGTTGTGAGTCGACCGTCTCTATCTGGTTAAGTTGTAAGTCGACCGTCTCTATCTGGTTAGGTTGTAAGTCGACCTTCTCAATCTGTTGTATCTTCTCAAACTGTAAAGTTGCAAGTCACCCTCAACCTGCTACTGACACAGGCCACGTCGATACCTGCCTCAGTGACCCAGCTGGACCTTCTCACATCACCACCATTTAGAGGCAAATTAAACTATGAACCTTTGAGAGAACTGAAGGTAAACATCCTTAAACAGGTGTAATGTGTCATAGAGGAGTTCCCCCTACCACTGTTCGCTCAGAGAGGTTCTTACAAAATTTATATCCTGTCTTGTCCTGTCCCACCCAGATGGACAGGTTCATGCAATAATCAATTATTTCCTGTCTACTGTAACAAAATAAAAGCAGTTAAGAAGTCACTGTTTCGTTATACACAATGACATAACAAGAAATAATTTACCCACGTTTTCTCTTATAACCAAAATGTAAATTTTCTTTAAGACAGAGTATAATGATATGTTTGCCACATTAATAATTCTGAGATAAAGACTAAACTCAGTTTAATCTTATTGATATTTCAACCATATCACCATCACTTCTTATAGAAAATACTGTTAAGATATGGCAACATTTACTACTCGGAGGACACAGCCTTCACTACAACAGGTTTATTAACAACATGTTGTGGTGCGGCAACATTAACTCCTTCGTGTGATATAACAACTGTCGTATACTGTATTACATAATAGATTTATGTTATATGTCTACTAAACTGGTTCCCAACACAAATGGTATTGGTTAATGAATCCTGGCTATCATTGGCTGATACACTACACTTCAGTTAACGTAAGATATACAGTAATGAGATTTATGTAGAAGCTTAAAAAATATTGTTTTGTTTATTAGGTATATTATTTAACTGAAGGGGTTCATTATCATATATCCTGTAGAATGATAAGGTATTTGTACTTCAGTCAACGAGGTAGACACATGGCAGTACAGTATATGTTTGTTTCCCACAATAGGTGTCTTCAGGCTGATAAGAGAATCTGTATTATCTACTTAGCCACACTGGAGCTTTGTTTATAGCGGCCAAAACACCTGTTGTGTCTATCACGTGGTCTTTTTTTTTCTTTATGGGGATTAGCCCACCCAGGCACAGGTCACTGACCCACATAGGGGCCTGGGGGGCGAGAATGTAATAATAACAATAATAATAATACTAATAATAATAATAATAATAATAATAATAATAAAGAAATACAAAATGAAAAAAAATCAAAAGTGAGGAACAATATATGTACTGTATGTTGTGTTGTCAATAGTAAGAGAAACAATTGAGACCCTGCAATTGTGTGTAAATGAGGCAGAAAGTCAGATCAGCAACCTGGGACTTGGTCACAATTTTCGTGATGCCATGTCTGACATATAAGCCAATCAGAACCGTTAGCGAATCGTCCATACCTGTTGTCTCTGTATCAATATATGACAGCGGGGGACCAGTTATTTTTCCCTGTTGTATTACTATTTATGAATGATGAAAATTTTATGTTAAAGAAGCTGAAGAATACACTTAACCCTCATACGTTGTCATTATTACACCTCTGTCACCTCTTCTCAAAGGCACAGTATCTCAAAAAGTATATGCCAGGGTTGGTATGCTTGGCTCTGTGTCCCGGGAGGGTTGGCATGAGTGAGTGTGGCTCTGTGTCCCGGGAGGGTTGGTATGCATGGCTTTGTGTCCCGGGAGGGTTGGTATGCATGGCTTTGTGTCCCGGGAGGGTTGGTATGCGTGGCTTTGTGTCCCGGGAGGGTTGGTATGCATAGCTCTGTGTCCAGGGAGGGTTGGTATGCGTGGCTTTGTGTCCCTGGAGGGTAGGTATGCATAGCTCTGTGTCCAGGGAGGGTTGGTATGCGTGGTTCTGTGGCATACTGATCCTACTACATTTGGTAACCGAACATCATATTAATTACGAAGAAATAAATACACATTGCATTACTTATCTACTATACTATAGTAATAGCCATGTATCTGTTCTGGGCAGCCGAAACAGCACAGTCGTTTTTCATCAAACTTGGTGGAAAAATCGCAAAAAATTCGTTGAGTGGAAAAAACCTGGTCCCATGTCGATGGTTTCTTTAGGAAGGCATTCATTAGCCATTGTATTTATGCTGGAAAACGATGTCGCTGTACGCTGTCAGCCGGACGGCGAACCTGGCACGAAGGGCCCACGATCACTTGTATTAAACTATACAGGGCAGGAACAAGCATGTCCCAATATCTATCATCCATAGTGTCTCGTTATTTCACACCGTGTGGACAGATACTTTATTGAGGTGCTATGCAGTACGTGCGTTTTTTTCTTCACATTTGTTGCATTTAAAACTAGTTATTAAAATAGCGTCAACTTGGCACTAAGACTGTGTCATAGTTCTCATAGACTCTGTACGTTACTTTTGTCTCTCTAAGTGATTATATCAACAGGTAAAGTCTCAGCATAATATGTATTGACGCCATTTTATAATTTTGTTGGTGTTGTTTCACCCAAGTACAGTACAGTAAGCGTAACAAACATTAGTGCGGGTACAACACACACTACACTAAACAATCGGGTATAAATAAATCAAATTTGTTTTCCATGTCTGTTCTTTTATTTTTCCTTGGTCTATTTCTTTATTTTTTATCATTTTTCTTCCTTTTCTACTTATTGGCTATAAATATCGGCTTATAAATAGCATCTATAAACTTAAGTGTATTCCCACAGAGTCGTCAGATACATACAAAAATAATACGATTATTAGTTTTATTATTCGTAAGAGATAAAAATTCTTATTAACATATATTACTTAGGGATTAATGTAGTAGAAGGAGAGGGGTATTTATCTTGATTTTTAATTGTTGATCAGATATTACAACACGCATTTCAAAACATTAGTTGTTGAAACGTAGTAATACATTATAACAACATTGGTGCAATAGGTTGGTTGCATCTCATAGTCGTGACGTCAGCCATGTTGTAGGTGGACGGTAATCACACGTCTGGGCTCTGGTGAATAAAATACATTAAATGTTGTTATCGACGTGTTACAACCTTATGCTCGGTAATTCGCCAAATATTAATAGCTTAATATTTACATTGACGAACAGCAGTTATTGTGTGTTTACGTATACATGGTGAAGAAGCTTTAGGATCACGTGAAGATTAGGCACCTCAGTTTGTTTCACCTTAAATACCCTGCTAACCTAACCTATAGCAGAACATAACCTAATGCTACTCTAACCTAATCTAACCCCCCACGAAGGATCGTTGATATTTTAATCATCTGGGGATAAAAGCTGGGTGGCTAATCTTAATGTGATCCATATTTAATGTTTGTTTTTTAAATGTGGTGTCATCCTGAGGGTTGGTGACCATGACCCACCACTCCCAACCTTGTCGAGTACCCTTTGTTGCTGGGTGTAGTCAAGACCCACTTACATGTACAGTCGGGGTCAAAAATCTTGAACACTTGACAGTATTTGGCATGTAAGTACCCGAAGATCTTAAGTATTAAGGAGGAGTTTTACCCCATTTTGTTGTTCAGACATAATATGTGATGACAAGTAGTGTTATTAGTATATCCCAATCATATATGTATAACTCAGAGGTAGATGCCAGATATTGCTAAGTGTTCAAGACTTTTGACCCCGACTGTACATGAAGATGACCAAGATACACAACGTACACTCACGTACAGTGTCCTGGGGAGATGAACAATATGTATAATATACAATCGGATGTACTCTCGACCTGGGTGTTGGTGATAAGGATTATGTACACTGAATGATGAACAACATTATTGTACGGTACACCGCATAACGGACAATGTGTATTATGTACACTTCTAACCACAGTTGATGGTGTACACTTTTGAGATACACATCATGTATAGTGAGGCAGATATGTACAGATATGTGAACTAATTGTGGATTTTGACGTAGAAGCCTGAAAGTTGGCATAACTTTGTCTGCTCGTGGTGTCGTGTCTCTGAGGTCATTCTCCAGTGCATTCCCTCGATGGATGCTTCGAATTTTGCAGTCATCCTCATCACTTCTGGCCCTGCCACCATCCAGCGTCTCAGAGCCTCAGGATTTTGGGTCAGACCAACTGCTTCTCCGCCACTCTACACAGTATTATTGTTCTGTTCGTGCGTCTTATCAATCGCTAGGGATGAGAATGCCCATACTGTCTTGTGAAATGTGAACCTGCCATTGTTGAATTCGTCATTGATCTCTGACTGGGCCTTGGTCAGATTAACCATGTCTCGTATGTGTACTGGCACCCATCTTGCACAGTTGCTTTGGTCCACATTGCTAGCTTAGTCATGCAGTCCATGTACAGTGAAAAGTTTGCAGCCCGCAGTGACCTGACATATGGTAAGACAAGGAGTTCCTACTGAAACGTCCGTGGGCCTCCTGGCTCCATGGACTCCGTGTATTAGGCGTCGGTCTTTTTCAACAAGAAGTGCAAGGTGCTCTCAATTACATGGTGTGCATTTATTCTGCCAGCTGGTGGAGTTATAATGCTCACCATTTGCATCTTAAATACAAGGTTTAACTATTTTGTGGTGATATTCTGATATATGAACACCTTTAAGTTCATCTAAATACAATAAACTCCTCTGCCGAAAATGGTTTTTGGAGGTTATTTGAAAAAGGCCGCCAAGGGCAACATAGGACATCTTCGGTAACTCCACTTCTGGAAACATTGTTTGGACAATTATGTCAAGTTTCATGCTCGTATACGTCAAAACTCACAATTGGTTCACATATCTGCCATACTAGTACAGTAGTACACTCACAGCCACAGTTGTCCTCGTCGTTGCCGGTGACACAGTCCATCACACCGTCACACACTAAGTTGTCAGGTATACAAGTACTGTCAGCACACTGGAAGTAGCCCAAGGGACACTTCCCCACCTGGACTGTAAAGTGGATTATTATGAAGGACAGATAAGTCCACTTATCCCTCCTGTACTCTCCCACCAAGGTATATTACTCTCCCCCGTGTACTCATCCACCAGGGTACAGTATACAGAATAACTTCCTCGTTTACTTGTACTCCTCAACAAGTACAAGTTAAGTCTTGTCACATTACGTTACTAATCCTACGATATACTGTATTAGGAAAAGTCTTCACTAAGTGACCCCTCCGTTAACGAACTCAATCCGTTCTAGAAGGTCGTTCGTTAACTGAAAAGTTCGTTAACCGAAACCATTGTTTCAATGGGTTTTTGGGTAATTGGTTCCAGCTCACCGAAAATTTCCTAAATTCAACAAAAATGGTAGAAAAGTTCACTTACTTTGAGGTGTGTATGTAGAAGGCTCCTGGATGATGATGATGATGATGATGGGATTTAGAATGGGGGTGGAGGAGAAGGAAGAAGAGAAGGCATTGGGGTGGAAGAGAAGTCACCCCATGGCGCCATTTCACCCATAAAATTTTAGCTCTCTGGTGTAATTCAAGATTATTTTCTTTAAATCAACACTGCACTGCATTATATATTGTCAATATGTAAAATATATTTCAAAATGACCAATAATTTGCTTGGAAACACAGAAAAAAGCGTTTAGTTGAAGAGAGTCTCAAGCAAGATGTTACCTCCAGTGAAAACAGAGAGAGACTAACTCCTGTTTGCTGTGTTAAGAGGCTGGATGCCGCGCATTAAACTAGTCACTTTACCTTCAATTATGTTCAATAATTGTTAAAATGACTAAAAAATTGAATATTAAACTTTTAAAATTATTGAATAGTATAAACTTCTTGATATTTACTAAAATAGTTAGGAATTTAAGCCCTAGAACCGATAACTGTATTGGCGGACTGATACTAAAGCTGGTTGCCCGGTCAGTGCAAGCGAAAACATGTTGAGGTCGGTTCGTAAGAACTTCATTAACAGAATTTTTTTTCGTTAACCGAATTGAAGATCCTTATGGAAGGCAGTTCGTTAATCGAAATTACGTTAACCGAGGTGTTCGTTTAACGAGGGGTCACTGTTTATACGAGATATCTAATACAAAGAACTAAGAACTGTACAAAGGCCGATGGGACAAGCAAAAATGTTGTGCTGCTGGACGCGTCTAACAAACGGCTCTTCCAACACACTCTCATCCTTGATTACGACTAAAAATTTTCACCCATCTGACAATTTTGGTCATGGAATATTTGAGACGTGGTAGGCTCCATCATTATCACTCATAAATGTGTGTTGTTTAAGATATCACAGAATCATCGATCACGATCACTGGTGCTAGGAAGTTTACCTGTAAACTGAACTCTGCAACCATCACAGTTTGCAGGTAAGTGATCACTGGTCAATAGGCTGAGTAACTCATCCCGGAATTTCACAAAAATCTTATCTTTCTTTGTCTCGGTTTGAAATAATGACGCTATACGGAGGAGTGTGCCCAGACTATCCAGCTGTAAAAGTGAAGGTGGGTCCCATAGGTATTACTGCCTATATAGTGGGTACAACAGTAAGCCTTCAGTGCACAAGGCAGCAGTGTGGCCGACTCTACACTCGACCACTTTCATTTCCCAAACTTGTAAAATTAGGTATTCATTTGCAGCTGGAGGGGGACTGGGAGTGCCCCTGGATCGAACCACACACCAGTACTTTAACATACAAAAATACAGTACAGGTACATCTACGCGATAAATATAACCTAAAACATTAGTACTTTTGTACAGGTCTATACAGTATGTTGTGACGATGGAGGTAGAATGTTAACTATACAGCGTCATCAAAAACGTACACTCAGATGTTTAATAGTTACTTATTAAAATCTAGACATTATACAGGTTTATCAAAAAAGAGCACTACATTTTTTACTGATTACACACTAAAATCTAAGCATTCATAATGGTTGATCGTGCATAATGAACAATATACAAATGAACAACGTACACAATAGATACTTACATGAACAGTTGGCCTCGTCGTTGCCTGTGACACAATTGAACACACCGTCACACACCACTGAGTTGGGGACACACACACCATCAGCACACTGGAAGTACCCGTCAAAACAGTCCCCCTCTGAAGGATGAGAAACGACTTGGTCTATTGCAACTATTAAGATAAAAAGTTAGTTGCTATTGTTTAGATCAGGCCTGGGCAACCTGCGGCCCCGAACCATATCTTTGTGCGGCCCGCAGTGAATAACAAATTTTATTTACTGTGGCCCGCGGTTCATGGTAGATGCAGCCAGCTTATGGTGAGTAAAGGAATATTTATTAAAATAATAAACTTGATTCACAATTCATTACTGTTTCATCACCTAAGAGTAAGTAACCATGAAAATAGTCAACAATATAAACTGCAAGAAAAATCAACGTATTCACAGACTGCTTCACTCATCTGTTAAATGCCAAGGAACATTAACATACTACTTAAAAAAAATATTATGATGGATTTGTTTCATGATTGGAAAAAAAAAGACTGAATTTAACTGAAAATATGGTAAGGTGGACGCGACGACAATCTGTTTTACTATCCGTGCTAATACAATATTAACATTACTTTTGAGTTAGGCAGGATATACATTTCGGTGGGTTGGCCCGCAGAAATATACCTAAATCGTAATGCGGCCCATGACTGAGGAAAGGTTGCCCTTGACTGAGGAAAGGTTGCCCATGTCTGGTTTAGATGAAAGAAATCGGTTTATCGCCAATATTAAAATAAACAGTTAGGTTCATGGTTATTGTTTAAATAAAAATAAGTTTCTTGTTATTGTTTATGAAAATAAAATCAGCTTCTTGTATAATTAAGTAGAAAAATTAGTGTACCTTTATTGTGTGAGTAAAAAAACAAAATCGCGTATGTTAAAGGAAAAGAAGTTTCTTGTTGGTGTGGTGTGTTGTGCTGGGATGTGATGTACAGGTTGTGGTGCGGTGTAAACTAGGTACTGTGGTGTTCAGGTTGTGGTGTGTTGTATACAGGTTGTGTTATGGTGATTGTGGTAATACTATACATCAGATGTACACAACTCTACATACTACTTAAGGTACAGTTGACCTCATCGCTGCCGGTAACACAGTTCAACACGCCGTCGCACACCACATAGTTGGGTACACACACGCCGTTAGCACACTGGAAATAGCCTTGGAAACACTCATCATTATCCTCATATACACGACCTGGAAATATAGACACCAGACATGAGGCTGATTATTAATCATAATCAAATAATCATAATTTCCTATGATGATTATGTGATCATCATATAATCATAATACTTTGTTTGGGATGATTAAAAATCATGACCATAATCAAATGATAGTGTGAAGAAAAAAAATAATAATCACAGTATAGGTTGTGGTGTGTTGTGGTGTGGTGTATAGGTCGTGGTTGTGTCGATTTTTTTATGTGTTATGGTGTGGTTGTGGTGATGTGGTTGTGGCTTATATGTTGTAGTATAGTGGAGACAGGTGTGGAGAAGGTCTGACCTGAGTATACTAAGGTAGTCGTGAGGGAGAGCAGCAACAGCAGGTGAAGGGTCATGGTGGCAGGAGGAGGTGCTTGTTGGTGGCGTCACACAGGGTAGAAACACGTCGTACTGTGGTGGTCAGGTACTAACTGTGGAACCTCTGATAAACGGCGGTGGTATTCATATACCAAACTCACCCACCCATCCACCCAATCAACTACCCGCCCACCCATTCCCTTATCCACCCACTCAGCCATTTTCCCACGCATCTATAAACACACACACACACACACACACACACACACACACACACACACACACACATGGATGTTTTCAGGGGCCTTCTCGTTATCTCAAGTCGTGTATTTACATTCTAATATTAGCATAGAGGTCACGCCCAGGACAAGAAGGTGACTACAGTCAAGAGTCGGGAGTGTGATGTGGAGTTCCTCGCTCGGGGATCTCTAGATGAGGTTGGTGGTCCTCAAGGATCCCAGAATGTGGGTGGCGGTCCTCCAGGGTCCCAGGGTGAGATTTGGAGTCTACACAGATTAGGTGATATAAGTCGGCCATAACAAGCTACCTGTACATAAGGGTTACCTAACTGAGACTTTCTCGGGGAGGAAGATAGTGAGGCAGGTGATGAGGATGATTAGAGGGATGACCCTCGTACGTGGAGCTTGGTGAGTATATTGTTTGTATACCTGCGCTATCTAGGTACATTGTATACCTGCACGTCAAGTGAATACATTGTTTGTATACCTGCACTGTCTAGGTATATTGTTTGAGCACCTATATTGTCTATATACAGTACACTACAGTATAGTACATGCTGAATCAGGATGATATTAGTGGATATATATATATATATATATATATATATATATATATATATATATATATATATATATATATATATATATATATATATATATATATATATATATATATATATATATATATATATATATATATATATATATATATATATATATATATATATATATATTTCTAATCAGTGTTCCAGCTTGCAATGCAATCATCAAAGAGCAAAAAGTGCTTAGACTGGTATTCGCACTTTGTGCTGGAGAGGCTTACAACAGAGGCCTAGTCACTCTCAGCAGTTAAAATTTCAGGCTTTGAGCAGTTGACAGGTTTCTCTCAAGTGATTAATGACATTCTTAAATACAAAACTGACACTAATTTCAATACACTCATCAGATTTTCTGATGATTGTGAATTAAAACAATGGAACTCTTGTACATCTCACAGTGAGTGAATAGGATTCTCGCTTCTATTGCAAACTCTTAACTCAAGGAGTTGACAATTTTACAAAAAGTAAATACAATTGAAGCTTTCAACATAACTCACAATGGATCTTGAATGTTTCAGCTGTAAGCAGGTATATCTATCTTATCGTAATACATACACATTCATTCATAAATTTAAATATACACAGGTAACATTAGATAGGAGAGATCTGGAACACAGCAAAGAAAACGGACGTCTAAGTAGGGGGGACTCAATAAATAAGTTATAGCTGCATGTTCTATGGGCTGTTGTGCGTAATATGAAGCATCTAATTCAGAAGCCAGTACTTGCCAACAGTGACCGATCGCCCAAGCGGATAACGAGCCGATCAGAGGTGAAGAGGATAAAAGTAAGTAAAAGTGGTGGTAGTGATAGGTAGTGACGATGTTGGTTGTGGTAGGCATTGATGGTGGTAGTGATAGTGGTGATGATGTTGGTAGTGACGGTGGAAGAGCACCTGTAGTGTCACACGCAGCTTCAGATAACACACACAGAAAGACACATGCAGTTTCTCACTCTTTAAGGACAAAGGCGATATATAATAGATAGCGTCAGCGAGCGACCTTGATACTTTCAGGTGAGTTCACCATTAGCTTACTGTGTGTGTGTGTGTGTGTTTAATGGAAAAAAACACGTTCCTTGAAACGGTAACAGAATATGTATTTGACAATTTGTCTCACATGCACAACTAGCCTCTTAGATCCAGGCACATGGCATCACAAGTAAGACAGGCAACAAAGAGTGCTAATCTGAATGGAAAAAAAGGTTCTCAGTGAAGTACTGTAGTGGATTTCTCCCCTACAAACGGTGTTTGTCGCTGGGTAGCCGACCCCACGAATTCCCCAGTGTGTGCCTCGTTGTCTAGGTCAACCAGCGCCGCCTTACATGACTTTTACTTTTTTTTTTTTTTACTTTTATCCTCTTCGCCACTGATCGGCTTGTTAGCCGCTTGGGCGATCGGTCACGTCTCTTTTCCTTTATATTCTTCACCAAAAGGTCGGCTCGCTAGCCGCCCGGGCGATCGGTCACGTCTCTGTCACGCACTGTTGGCAAATACTGGGCATGCACCGGCTCCTGAATGTACCTGAACCCGCCCAGTGTTGGTCAAGTCTTCTCTTGAAAGAGCTCACACTCGGTGCCGTCACAACACTCTCTGGTAGATTGTTCCAAGAGTTTACAACCCTCACTCCGAAAAAGTTTGCCCTCACGGTTTTCCGGACTTGCGGCTTCTTCAATCTTGAGCTGTGACCCCTTGTGGGGCGAGCGTCCGCCAGCTCCAAGTAAGGACACTCAACTGAGTAGTGCCCCCTGAGATGCTTATAAACCTCAACTAGGTCCCCCCTTGCCCGTCTGTAGTATAAGCTAGGCAAGTTCAGGCGCTCCAATCTCTCAGGGTAGCTGAGATGCCGAAGTGCAGGCACCAGTTTGGTGGCCCTCCTTTGAACATTTTCAACCAACTGACAGTCCCTAGCATATCTCGGGGACCAGATGGGGTGACAGTACTCCAGATGGGGAAGCACTTCACTCCTGAAGATCGTCACGAGGGACGGACCGTCTAGATATCTGAACGACCTTCTTATAAGACCCAATAATTTATTTGCCTGATTTACCTTCTTCTCACAATGGCCCGAGAACTTCAGCTCATTGTCAACATACACACCTAGGTCCTTCTCACACACAGTCTCAACTAGTACATTTTCTTCATCCCGTTGGGACATATGGTACGCCTCCTTACCGTTGGTACGCCCCAGGTGCATCCTCTTACACTTCGTGACATTGAATCTCAGCAGCCATTCCTTCGACCATTCCTGGAGCCCACAGAGGTCCTTCTGCAGCTCTTCACAGTCCGCTTGGTTCTTAATTTCCCGAAATAACTTGGCGTCATCGGCAAACATTTGTATGGAGGAGTGTACAATGTCAGGCATATCATTTATGAAACAAACAAACAACAGCGGGCCCAATACACTACCCTGCGGTCAACTACTAAGCCACGCCTACCCCAGCTATTTAAGACCTGACCTCGTGGTGACCGCTCTCTTTTCTACCTACACCAACCAGCCAGCAACACCTCCTCCTCCTCCGCCTGCCTGGCGGCCCTCGCTCCCGCCGGCGAGCATGGCGACCCACCAGCTGTCCTTCTCTGAGCATCCTCACCAACCAGCTCTCTCTACATCACGCTTGTAACCATGCTGCCTTCCCAGCACCAAGCTGCATTGTACATCCAATACAACATGTATACAGAGAGCACATTGTGAGTTTCCTTTCTCCATCCCATCCTGAGTGTGAACCAAACACCCCACAAACCAACCTTGTTTGTGATTGACAAAAATACTGTACATCAAGCCACATTATCAAGTTCGCGGACTACACGAAGGTATTTGAGAAGGTTGCAAGGCCAGACGATGTCGCAAAAATGCAAAACTACCCTTTTTTTTTTTGCATTGAAAGTGGTCTCTAGATTGGCAACAACTGTTTAACATTACACCTCAACACATAAACATCACAGTTTACCTCCAGATATTCTAGTTTCCTCTTGTACCTACAATGGGCAATATAGTTGATAGCAAAGTAAAAGAAAAACACTGCCATATAGCTAGTAAGCTGATAAGATTAATTAACAGTTGATAAATTAAGTGACTTAGGCTCGTGGCTCCTCACAGCTGTTGTTTGTTTACACCACAGTTACTGGCTGTTGTTGATGTGTTGCAGTGTATTAGTGTTAGCAAGTTACACTCGTGGTCGATGTAAGTGTAAGTTGATACATCAGTGTAAGTTGATACATCACTGCTCTAGTGCACCTGATCTAAATATATGTGTCCAGTAATGTAGTTTACAGGAGTTATTCCTTATTAATCTTTGGTCCAGTAAAACCCACCCGAGGGATGTGACCTATTGTTGTACTTGTATTGATTTAGTAAAACTGTTCACTGTGTACATAGACAGTGTAGGTATACAGTACAGTACCAGTAATGGTAAACCAAGTTGAAACAGATCTCACCAAGTACAGCCTAGGTAATACAGGATTAACCTACGGCTGAAATTGATCGAAAACGAATATAAAAACGCCGGATTTTCACTGTTTTTTTTAATAGCGGACACTGTTGTAGTTTGTGCAAATGTCTTAAAAAATGATACAGGTATTTCTAAAATAAGCGTAACTTAACATTTGTGGGTATGAAAAACTTACCTAACCAACCTAACCAAACAAACCTACCTACCTTTACCTAATTTCCTTACTGTGCCCCCCTGGACCTCACCGACATATTTCACAGGAAGAACATACTATGATATGGTGAAATTTGAGACATTTTCTGGACATGAGATGATACGGCTGCTTCGGTGCGGTGCAGCCCGAGCGGCCGAGTGATTTATTGTGATGGCGGGAAACGACGAGCCACGGCATCGAGGAAGTTCTGAACAAATTTCTTTCCCGTCTGAAAGCACGGGGCTTCCTGCGGTGTCGTAAATAATTACCTGATAATTTTACCTAAAATTTCACTTTGTTGCCGTCCAAAGAATTTTGAGAAATTTATGGTTACAATGCTACTGGGGGTTTATATTAGATTGGAATAGGCGAGGATAAGTTAGTACTGTATTAGGGTGAAATATACAACGGCATCTAATCTTAAGGTGATCCATATTTTTTCAACGTCTCATAGAAAATAATTACAGGTAAAGTACTTCAAAATTATTTAACTGTGATACTAATTTTTTTCTAGTGTGAAGTCATGGCTTCTAGGGAAACAAGGACATCAATCAGATCCAAGAAAGATATTTGTGATTATCCAAACTTGAAGGTGAGACTGACCCCTCAATTTGCATTTTCATATTGGGCAAGGCTATTTGTGTGGTCCTATCTTGTGATGCTGTCTCTCGTGATGGCCGAGAATTGAACGATTCTTGAGAAAGCTAAACCCAAGTGAGGGACAACTTAACGAGCGCAATTTCTCATCCGTCGCAAGAGACAGTGTGACAAGATTTTTCTGTATGATTGCCCTCAGTGTTTGTTATATGAGGTGCTCCTGGCAAAAGGAATCGATCAACAAAAGTAAAAAAAAAACAAGCCAGAAAACACAGCTAAAGTAAGGATAGAAGTTTGAAGATTATTATGACATAAAAACACGCCTGAGGCCGCTTCATCACTTGACTTGTTCTTGCCTGGTGCACCTCTTATGGATTTATGACATTCTATTGTCAGTTTGCAATTGGAGAAAGATAAACACTGTATTTACTGTAGTTATGAAGACATTAGTTAGATAGCTTATCTTATATACTCTAGATGATCTTTTTAATATAGATATTTCTCTGATCTGAAAATAAGAAATGTGTATCACATGAAGAATAGACACCTCAGCTTATTTCACCTCAAGATTAACTATCCTAATGTTAATCAATCCTAACTTCCCCATATAATATTTAGAGTGTTTGATCATGAGGTGGTCAAAAAGTGTATATACCCTGTACAGAGAGACATTCATTGCAGGCTGTTCTTCCCCCGAGCTACGACTACTATGTTGAAAGTTACGAAGAGTGTGCGGACCATGAGAGCGAGAAACGTTTTAATGCTAGATTTCGCATTGCACAATCTGAGGCCACGAGAGACACCATGAGGCAATGGCTGGAGGAGTTTTGCAGCCACTCACTAACAACTTACAGGATCGAGAGAACTTACCCGAGTGAAACTAAATGGTTTATATATCGGGTAAGATGTTTTAGTAATAAGAAAATGGTGGGGTGGGTGGAAGCTCAAGAAGGCCATGGGGACCCTTTCTACAGACCATTAATCACTTCAGTAGCGGATATGACATTAACAACTCCAAAAGGAATTACACTCATATAAATGTGGAGAACACAGTTTAGTAAAACTTAGAAACTAGTGATTACCTGATGGCTCAGCAATGTTAACTTCCAAAAATTTCTGTTGACATAATATTCAAATATTTTAAAGTCAATTTATGTCATATGCTTATTTACGAAAGAACTCGCGCTGTGTCTGAACTCTTCAATCCTTCACCTCAATCGCACATTTGTGTTTCATCGTCAGTCTTTAGAGTATTTAAAATGTAAATGAAAATACAGCGACTATTTAAGCTACCAATCAGCACACCCGTTACAAGCATCCCTACTTAGTCATAAAAAATAAACTATGTAGTTAAAACTCCTGCAGGTTTGTTTACTGTTGGTGAGTTGTTGGATCTCACCATGGGTCACCATGATGTGTATCATTATTTCTGTTCTCAACTGTAGATTTTGCTGATTAATGTGGTACAATACAGTAGTATAGTATTTGGCTCTCCAGAACATTAGCCCCCAGCTTATTTCACTTGATGATTAGACTCCCCAATGCTTAGTGGGTGTTTAAGTTAGGCTACTGTTCAGTTGGTTAATCTGAAGATAAAATAAACTTGTGGGCTAATCTTCAGGTGATCCATTTATTTGAATTACTCTGGCAGCCTTTTTTTTTATTTACTATTCATTTCATGGTGTTGCTGCCATATCTGCAGGTTGACCTAAGATGTCACCATAACACCAAGCCCTCGAGCCACAAGCGTGTCCGTACACCACACAAGAAGCACACGGCTTGCCCTGCCAAGATGACCATCAAGATACGCCAGAAAAGACTGAGCAAGAGGTACTGTTATCTTGGCATAATTTTGGTGTTTTTTTTATTTCTTATGTACACTGCAGTATCCATTAATTATTTTTTACTTTTAGTGTTATTAGTAATACTGTATTGTGTTTGATGGTTAAATATGATACAGTATTTTTTCATCATTAGCTTTTGCTAAGTTTTACTATTCATCATTTTTACATAAAAAAAGTGTAACTGAACAGTGAAGAATATATACTAGTGCCCCACCACCTTGTTATGTCACCTTCAACTGGTTGTAAATACTAGCTAGTGTGAAGTCTTGTCACAACAGAAACACCACAACTTAGCTCACTATAACAAGTCTTGCCCAGTCAACACTACAGTACATAGGTGAGGGCACGGAGTCAAGGAAGACAAACACTACCGTGGTGCTGCTTCACTTATGATGTAGTTTGGCTCAGTTGAAAAGTTGAGTGATTATTATGGAGGTTATTGATTCATGCTATGTTTTAACTGCTTCTTGTCACAACACTTTTCTGTTAACTCTCGCCTGATGCATTCCTAATTGATGTTTCTGTTTCTCATGATGCACCTGACATGAAGATTGTAACAAGGTGAGGATTTTAGCTCAGTGATCCCTTAAACTGTACATATTTTTCCAGGAAGAGTCATGAAGTTCACCTGAAGACCCATCCTGTAGAAGTAGCTCTTCACCACCTTCACAACCATCTCATACAAAAGAAAGATGCTCTCAGGTTCCGGGATCCTGACTCGGCACTTGTAGAAAAATTTCGGAAAATGTATCGAGCCGGGTACAAACCTGCCGCTGCTTTGGAAATCCACAAACGTGATTTACGCATGGAATATGAGGATGATTATCACATGGCATTAGAAGACAGAGGTTTATGTCCAGACATGAACTGGTGTTATAGACAGTACTATTTGATGGATAAGAAGCCTCTGACAGATGATGCTGCCAACAAGATTTTGTCACTAGAAGAGTTTTTGGCTGAGTATAATAAGAAATGCAAAGAGAAGTGTGCAGCCATGAAGCTTGTCAGTGATGACAGTAATAACCTGGTGGTCGCTCTGGTCACCCCACTCATGAAGCGTTGCCACACAGAATTAACACAGAGTGGAAAACTTGTATTTGTTGACACTGTTAAGGTAGATTACCTGAGATGTAAGGTGTACTTGTTGTTAACACACAGTGTTGCTGGTGGGTTACCTCTGGGGGTACTTGTGACATCAACAGATTGTTCAAGCATAGTACTTCAGGGTCTTCACCTCTTTATGAACCTGCTGTCAGATGAGGGCTTTGGTGGACGTGGAGTGGCAGGACCGGCAGTCATCATGATGCAGGATGATGATGTGCAGTTTGATGCCATGGCATTAGCATTTCCTGGAGCTAGATTATTACTGTGCCCATACCATGTTGTCCAGACGGCCTGGGAATGTTTATGTAGTGGCCAGGATGGTGTGGACTGTGGCAGTAGGCAGGAGTTGTTTGAAATGGTCAAGCAAATGGTATTTGCTAAGAGTTTGAGTGATTTAGAGGAAAAGTATAGAAACCTTATGACTTCACCTCCAGCACAATACTCACTTAAGTTTTTCAATCACATGGAAGAGTTGTACTCGAGAAGATATGAATGGGCTGTATGTCTAAGAGAAGATTTACCAAATAAAACAGGAACTATTGACATTGTTAACGTCACAATGGAATCTCTAAAAGACAAGGTTCTTTGTCAAACAAAAGCTTGTACCATGGTCCAACTTCTGGAATTTTTGACTGAAGATATGGAAGAATATTATGAGAAGAAGATTACATATACTGCACATGATAAGTGTGAAGCAGCATTCATACAGCAACACCTGCAGGATAAAAAGATGACGGATACCTTAGAAATTGTCCCTTTCTTTCGTGTCAAAAATAGTACAACTGGCGAGTGTTATGATGTTGACATGAGTCTAGGTTTATGTTCATGTCCTGTAGGGGTGATAGGGGAGCTTTGTAGACATCAATATGCCTTAACCCAAAAACTTAACATCAACTCACTCATTAGGAAGCCTTTGTCAGACACAGCAAGTAAAATAGAATTAAATAAAATATTTAGTGGTTTACAGTGCCCTAATTTTAGCAGTAAATATGAAGAGAAACTGGAAGTGTGTAATAAACCAAGTAGTGTTGGTGATGCAGAGATGGAGATGAAAGATGAGAGTCTCAGTGAGAGGAAGCAGGAGGCTGAAGATGACCAACCATGTGAAGTAAACAATGAAGTTACAGAAGAACACATAACTCTTGAAACATTTTTGTGTCTTATCTGCAGTAAAGTTTTCAGCTCACAAGCTCGTCTGGCCAGACACAGATTAACACATAACCACAATAAACCCGTTGTGTGTGATCTGTGTGGTTTAGGTTTCAACACAAAACTAGCCCACCAACACCACCTACAACACAAACACAAGAAGGAAAAACCGTACGAGTGTGAAGTTTGTGGGAAAAGTTTTGTTGGGAGCCAGACATTACTTGACCATGCCTTAATACATGAACAGACTCGATCTTTTGCTTGTGATATTTGCGGTAAGTTATTTAGAAGCCCAAAATGTGTTGCCAGGCATAAAAAATGTCACAAGATGGCCAAGAACCTAACCTGTTCTCAATGCAACGAATCATTCCTAGTCAAATCAGATTTTGAGGCTCACAGTCATAAAGTTGAAGATAACATAAAGAAAACAACCATCGTAGAAGTCAGGGATCCTCTCCATTATCCACATCACCAACAAGAACAAGAAGTTATCATAATAAATGCTGAAGGTCCCCTGGTGGCCACAACTCTCCCATCCATCAGTGCATCAACAGACAACAGTAGTAACTACCCATATCAGATAACACTGGCCACCCCTGCTGCAGGAGAAGATCCACTAGTACCTGTAGTGAACTCGGTGTTTGTGCCACAACCTTCACAAGAACAACAGGTTTGTACTGAAAGACCTCTAGACTAGAGTGCAGCAGTCATTAAAACTACTAATGTTCTCTGTGGACAAAATCTCTTTCGAATATTAAGGTATTATGTTACCTGTTCAAGTTAATGGGCTGACATCCTATTTTCATCCCTGGGTAATGGATATCATCAACACCTAGTACTGGACTATACTGTACTTGTATACTGTAGTACTAGGTTGGAATAATTGACTTGTTTTTCATGAAAAAACTGAGAATCTTGCCTGTTTGCTAAGTTTAGTACCTCTTATTGATCTCTTATAATGAGTTGTACAGTATTAATATCTTTATTCTTCAGTATTATTGGTTATAATGATGTTTCTCTATGTGATATATTTTAGCATAATTTTTATTTTTCTGTTGTAAATGGAGGTTAATGTTAATGGATTTCGGTAGATTAAGCCAATAATGTTATACTTGTGTTATTGGTCAGATGGAGACAGTGCAATTGTACTCACAGGAAGAGACCGGGGTGACGGCAGCAGATCAACAAGCAGTCTCGACCCAACAACACTTCCAAACGAGTTGGCACGCCTGGACCTGACCCTAGAGGTGGTGATTGTTTCTGTGTACAGTAATTATTCTTTGATTGGAATAATTAATGTGCATCTTTTGTTAATAATGATGATACAAGGTTATTTAACCCATTTTAAAACTTAATAATCTAAAAATATTATAGATAGAACACTTGGGAGAAGGCCCTATAACATTGATGATCATGGTGAACAACTCTCTTGCCTTAGTAGAGATCCCTGTGTGCACTATGGTCTGTCTATTGTGTTTTGAGGTTCTTTAGTCTTAAAATGGAATAGGTGATTTATGGACGCCCTGTATTCAGTATTTAATTGTTATATAATTAATGTAATGTACAGTTCATACATTTAGGGATACAAGCACAGTTTTCATAACCTTAAGTTTTTAATTAAGATTTAGACATTTTAATTATTTGCTTACTAAAAATATTAAACTAATTTGCTTCTATGATTTTGGAACAGTTAGGAAAGGAATGGCAGGTGCTGTAGCCAGAGCTTGGACAGGTTTATGGTTGCTGGAGAACCTTGTGGCTTATGGTAAGTAGTGACTGTCTGCAATTTAACTGTGTTCTCTGTCCCCTCACTCTTCTCTCCTAGTGACCAATATGGCTAAACCCCCTATCAGAGGTACTATATTTACCTGTTCTTGGCTTATAATGTTTAATTTTTACATTATATAACCTTATTATGCTTTTTTTGGCAATTGTCCCTCTTTTATATCTTATTTCCCCTATGAATATGTACAACATGTGTCAGTCAAGTTTAGGTTACAGGGAAACTTCTTTTTGCTAAATACTACAGATTATTTTTGTATTTTGAATTATCAGAAAGGGTTTGGTAAAGGTGCAGCTGGTACAGTAGAGCATAAAATTACTGTAGAGTATGGGATTAATGCTTAATGTAGCATTAGCTGTATGCCTGAGATCTATATTCTGTTACCCCTCTACTGACCATTTTCTCTCTGAGGTAATGAGAGTGTATCAGGTGATGTCTGTCTGTATGTGTGTAAATCTGAGTGTACAGTATAGTCAGTATTGTGTCTTGTATATGATGGAACTTGGTATGAATTTTTCTGCAGGTGAGGTCTGTCACAGACTTACCTTGGAGGTATTCGTCACTTTTGTAGAAGAACCAATACATTGAAAGCATCAGTCATGGTGAAATAAAAAAACAAATCTCTCTACATTGTGCTCAGCCATGAATGTTAAAGCGTCAAGTTGTGTTTCCTTTAACCATCTGTCTGTCCATTTTATTCATACGAGCTGACTTTTCTTAAACAATATTGGCCAAACACTCATGATACTTCACGGGCACTTGCACCTTAATGAGAAATTTAGCATCAGATCAAAATAAGGTCAATATGCCCTATTTTTTGGTAGGTTTCTCCTCTCCAGCTTTATTATCACAGTAGCATTAGTATACCGTACTTAAACATTCACCTAAAACTGTTTTTTGTGACTGTAAAGTGCTCTGCCTCTGTGTGGGAGTCTTAGTGACATCTCCACTCCACCTACAAGAGTCCCCTTAGCCTTGAAGGGGATATGTGATTATGACCAGACTTGTTCTTCATGATGTAGTGAGTGTTGTTTATTGGGTAATTGCTTTCTATTGATTTTATGAATGCAGGAATTTTTTTGTCAGTGATACGAGTGTGTTTGAGGACTGTCTGGGAACGTATCTCCATTGAACCCCATGTTATAATGATCTCGATCTACGATATTTCACACAGCGATGGGTTTTTCAGGAACCTAATCCCATCGTTTATTGAACTTGCCTAGCTTATACTACAGACAGGCAAGGGGTGACCTAGTTGAGGTGTATAAGCATCTCGGGGGCACTACTCAGTCGAGTAGTGCGGATGCTCGCCCCACAAGGGGTCACAGCTCAAGATTGAAGAAGTCGCAAGTCCAGAAAACTGTGAGGGCAAACTTTTTCGGAGTGAGGGTTGTAAACTCTTGGAACAATCTACCAGAAATTGTTGTGACGGCACCGAGTGTGAGCTCTTTCAAGACAAGACTTGACCAACACTGGAGCGGGTTCAGGTACATTCAGGAGCCGGTGCATGCCCAGTACTTGCCAACAGTGCGTGACAGAAACGTGATCAATCGCCCGGGCGGCTAGCGAGCCGATGTTTTGGTGAAGAGGATAAAAGAAAAGGAAAAGTAATCAGAGAAGTGACCGATCGCCCAAGCGGCTAACGAGCAGATCAGTGGTGAAGAGGATAAAAGCAAAAGTAACATAAGAACATAAGAGAATAAGGAGTCTGCAATAGGCTGGTTGGCCTGTGCATGGCAGCTCCTGTCGAGAGTTACTACCACTATCTATCATCCATGAATCTATCCAGCCTCCTTTTGAAATTTTCCAGCGTTCCAGCACTTACTACAAAGTTGCTAAGCTTGTTTCACTCGTCCACCACCCTATTTGTGAACTAGTTCCTTCCTATCTCCCTCCTAAACCTAAACTTATCCAACTTGAGTCTGTTGCTCCGAGTCCTATCCTGCTCGGATATTATAAGAACTTTATCTATATCCCCTTTATTGATTCCTTTCACCCACTTAAATACTTCTATCATATCTCCCCGCACTCTTCGTATTTCTAGGGAATGCAGGTTTAGTTTCTTTAACCTATCCTGATATGGAGGGTTTCTAAGTCCCAGAATCATTTTCATCATTCTTCGCTGCACTGACTCTAGTGAATTGATATCCATTCTATAATAAGGGCACCAGAACTGAACCGCATAATCGAGGTGCGGCCTGACTAGCGCAAGATATAGTTGCAATAAGACCTCTGCACTCTTATTACTTACACTTCTAGATATAAAACCCAATACTCTGTTTGCCTTATTTCGAACATTAACGTACTGTTTTCTAGGCCCTGGGGATTTTGTCTTCTTTAGTTTATTTATCCTCTTAAGAACATCCTCTTTTCTGATAGTGCTATTCTTTAATTTCTCTTCTTCCTTTCCCCTAAATATCAGTTCCACATCTGGAATTTCCGTGCGAATTTCTTCTGTGAAAACTGATAAGAAGTAGCTGTTCAATGCTTTGCTTATTTCTCCACTGCCATTTATCACTTCCCCCCTCCCTGACTTTAAAGGCCCAACATTGTCCTTGACCTTTGTTCTATATACCTGGAAAAATCCCTTGGGATTCGCCTTGGATTCTCTTGCTATTTTTATTTCATAATCTCTCTAAGCTATCCTTACATTTTTCTTAACATTCCTAGATACGTAGTTCATTATACCTATTTCTGAGCTGCTCCTCCCCTCCCTTTAATTTTTTATAAATTCCTTTCTTAATTCCTATGCCATGTTTAAGTTTTCTGGTCATCCACCTTGGCTCATTCTTATTTGACCTAATTTTTCTGTATGGTATATTTTGTTCTTGTGCTTTATGTAGTATGCTAGTGAATATATTATAGTCATGATCAATTGTTGTGTCATCTATGACCTCACCCCTTCCTACTGGGGACTGACGTGACTGTTCCCAGGTGACCTCACCTAGGTACCTTCTTAACCCCTGCCGCCAACCGAAAGTTTGGGACTCTGACCATATTGTCATTGTTTTTCGTTTCCCAATTTAGGGTGAGCCTGATTTCTCTGTGATCATCAAATTTCAGTAATATTAGTCATCACACTCCTTCGTGCACTACAGTAAAAGGTCCTTCGCATTTAAAAATGCAGTTTTCGACACGAGGACCCTCATCAAGGTAAGATGTTGTTTAATAATATGGGCGTAAAAGTAAGAGTGACGTCATGTTCCAATACGCAACCTTGTGTCTACTTGTTAAGTTTATTTACTTGGATATAATCACCTCGCCTGTTTTAATTATTGTAGTATCCCCCTCATCCTACACCTCTTCAATTTTGCACCAATTTGGTCATTGCCTGTAGGATTAGGTAAATTAAGATGGTTTGCTTGCAGGTTCATTTTCTTTGTACAAGCCTATATTATACAACAAGAGAGTTAGAGCAAGTATTGTTCTTTTTACTTTATATATATTCCTTAAGCGATTTTTATTGAATTCTCTAATTCCATCTCCAACTTGTCTCCCTGACCTCATTCTATTTTCAACCAGCCTGGAAATTACTTTACTTTACTTTTATCCTCTTCACCACTGATCGGCTCGTTAGCCACTTGGGCGATCGGTCACGTCTCTGTCACTCACTGTTGGCAAGTACTGGGCATGCACCGGCTCCTGAATGTACCTGAACCCGCTCTAGTGTTGGTCAAGTCTCTTCTTGAAAGAGCTCACACTTGGTGCCGTCATAACACTTTCTGGTAGATTGTTCCAAGAGTTCACAACTCTTGCAGAAGGAATTTAGTCTACTACATGCTAGCTTCTCCAGTACAGTATCTTACTCACGGCTGGGAGGACTGATATGGGGTGGTAATTCTTGAAGAGACCTTTGTCCCCAGATTTTTTATATGCTGTAATGCTGGGTGAACTTAAGCAATTTTCAGTTTATCCGGAAAGACACCTGCTGCTGCATCTTTGGACATTTTTATGATGGCCAGTAATTCATCTGCTGTGACAAGGGATAAGAACAGCTCATTTTGCTGTCTGTATTGCAGGTAGGCTCTAAATTCCTATTGGTGATCTGGGATGTTCTCTGCAAGATTTTTGCCAACATTAATAAAATATGGCAATGAGGGAGGGTTCTGTTATAACTGAATCATTTATCATAAAAGCTGAGTGGGGGCCAAAGGCTGAGTGTTCCTGTTCTGAATAGAATTTTTGCCATTCCAGGTTTTCTTACTGTCGCCTGATGCTGACTGGAGCTTATTCGTATAATAGCTGGAAATTCTAACTGCTTGAGTTACTATATTTCTGATACTTCGGTAAGCATCACCGAAAGTTATGGGTCTTTTTGCAAGTTTCCTTTGGAGTTTGTGTTTTCCTTTTATCATTATCTTAATTTCGCTTGTGATATAGAGTTTGGAAATGGATACAGTTTTCACTGACTTAGTCTTGAGCAGGAAGCATTTATCAAAGCAAGCATTGAAGATGCAAGAGAATTTGCAGCTATTCACGTTAGGGCTGTCGGAGGCATAGACAAGATCCCAGTTAGCATTCATTAGGTTGTTTTAAAAAAGGAGCATGTTGTTGGTGCAGTAGTCTCTGTATTGTATTGAGACTCTACTAGACCTTTCAGGTCTTGTGGCTGTTTTATACATGGCAAAAACTGGGAGTGATCTGAGATATTGTTATAAATAATTCCACTTGCAAGATTGTTAGGAGTGTTGTTAGTCCAGATATGATCTATCACAGTGGCAGAGGTGGCTGTGACTCTAGTGGGTTTGGTTATAGTGTTGAAGAAGAGTTTAGAATGACAGGTAGCAAGAAGGTCTAATACTGAGGTATCGGTTTCTGATTTTAATAGATCAAGATTGAAATCTCTTGTCATGTAACAACATTTCCTCTCTGAACTTAAGATAGTGATAAGCTCCGAAAATTTATCAAGAAAATTCCTTACATCAGTGTGGGATCTTCTGTAGATTACTCCTACTAGGATATTTCGTGTGTCGTTACGTAATTCAGTGAAAACACTCTCCATGTACTCCTCCTGAACCTTTACAGAAGTGTTATACTTGATATCAACATTTAGGGCGACACCATCACTGTATCTTGATGTGTTGACGCAGTGTCTATTATAATTAGGAATGTTATACAAATGGTCAATATCGTTAGTGAGTTTGGTCTCACAGAACCCAAGAACATAAAATTTGTGGGCAATAGAAGATAAACACTGATTTAAAAAGGTATCTAGATGAATTGGAATACTGCTGATGTTATGGCTAATGAAGGAGAAGGAATGAGGTAGTAGAAGACTAGAACTAAACTCAGGAGTCAGGAAAGTAATAGTTACAGTTAGGGTTGGTGTAACCCAGTGAGTTTTATAGAAAGGCATCAGGATCGATATGAGGGAGTATTGTGTCAACACCATGGGTAAAGGGGGTGTAACACATACGATCTAGCACATCTAAGGGAATGACACTAGCGTCATCATTGTGGGAACATTGATACTGATTAAGGAACAGTAAAAACTCAGGGTCACTGAGGTGTGAAAAAGGAAGATCTATGAAAATTGTAATAGTGGGGGGGTAACATACTCATCAGTACTGTTGAGGGTGATTCCCAGATAGAGTGGGAGGTGCGCCTGTCACTCGGTTTTTTTGGGGGGTTGCCGGTTTTCACCACAGAGGGTAGACGTGGAGTACTCGAGTTTGCCGGCAGGGAGGGAAACTCCTCAGGTGATAGCGACAGTGGCTAGTTCCCCCTCAGTGGGGAGGGGGGTTGTCTAGGGGCATTGGGGGGGTTGGTACAGCGGGTAGGTGAGTGGGCGGGTGTCCACTTGCCTGATCCCCCACAACAAGGGTTTTGTGACTGAACGTCACGTGTTTCCCGGCTTCTTTAAACTGGTCCATTTGCTGTAGATGGGCTTTAGTCGTACCTGGGCAGAGATCCTCGTTGACGAAGATAGTGGTGCCTTTCAGTTTACTGGGCCACAGTTTGGGTATCTGTAGATACACCCAACAAAAAATGAGTCCCCTCCCTTTAATTTAATTTTACACCACTTGGACTCTTCAAAAATATCCTCTCCCTGTACCCTCGCCTAGCTGGCTCGGTTTCATCACCAGTTTCTGATTACACTCCAATCTACACATAGTATGATGATCTATTTAAAGCTGTCACCACTGCTTCAAGTACGAGCATCTGACTCAAAACATTGTTTACTCTTGAAACTTGAATTCCTATTTAATCTTTCCAGTATTATAGGTGTACTTATTGTTAACATTAGAAGTGAACGGGAAGAGAAAAATGCACGAAACAAATATAACACTTTATTGGTCATTATTGAAAACCATTGTTAGTTATCACAGCACAAGTCCAGTGCACCCTACTGTACTTTCACCCGAAAGATTTCTGCTCATGGATATTGCAATTAGTTTAAGGAATACTGAGCAACTTCTATAGTTCCCTATCTACTGTTTTTATCTATATTGCCACGTGCGTGGTGAAAATCAGAGGAAACAAAACCCACAGAAAAATGAAGAATGTCATAATGGAAACGATGCAAACAAAGGGTAGAAAACAACAGGAAGAGGTTCCCACAAACACTTTAAAACATATTCTCATCACCTTCAATGAAATTTCATAACAAAAAACACTTTGGAACACTTAAAAAGGGGAAAACAAAGAAACTAGTATTCTAATACTGTATATGAAACACTAACTGAAGTACTGTACAATCAGACGTCAATATATATAGTTCAGTAACCATTTACATTATCATCTGTGCTGGGCTACAAAAATATATTTTACAATACAGTATACCGAATAACAATAATATACAAGTCTGCGTGCATATTATACAATCCACTTGCATTCTGGTAGTGCAGTCATTCATCTACATCTCCTTCATCTGGAAATAAAAGCAAAATTGCATTCACAAACTTAGGTACACATGTATGCGAGGAATGTGCTCAACTGGTAACAGTTCATCAGGTAGCTAACTTCATATGAAATTCCATACTGCAAAGTTATCTTGTATACGTAATGTGATAAACTGTTTATATAAGGATATATTAACTAAAATGAAATGAAAAGAAAACATTACACACACATTTTATATATATATATATATATATATATATATATATATATATATATATATATATATATATATATATATATATATATATATATATATATATATATATATATATATATATATATATATATATATATATATATATATATATATATATATATATATATATATATATATATATATATATATATATATATATATATATATATATATATATATATATATATATATATATTGCAGAGGTTAAAATTTATTAAAAAATTTATAGTTATACATACATACATACTGTAATATGCATATTGTTAATCCCCCAATCATACCATTACTATGCCAAGTATTATGTAATTTACTCTGTTATAACATCTTTCATATACAGTATTTCTCCTTTTGGCAATCTTCGCACGTAAAAGTCGTCTGAAAAGTGTCGCTTTTCACCATTTTTTTTAAACACATAATTTTCAATAGATATCTTAACAGGTCCCTTTTCTCCCATAATATCAATTGTCGTAGTGGCCAGTTGGCTGGATCACATAGATCTTCATCAGCATGCCTGTTAGCAAAGGTAGAACACTGACACTTTTCACGACAAGAGAGCAGAGTTTAAAATTATTATACTGCTTAAGAGCCACTGTTCAAAGGATGGTTAAAGGCAGAAAGCAGTATTACATTCCACACATATGTACTGTACCTTGTGTCTTTATGTCATAAAACCAAAGAACTTGTTGGTTTCCCTGACTATTACTTCAAATATTTCCCCTGTAAAATATAGCAGGATACAGTCGATCTCCTTGGAGATACTGTACTGCCATCAGTCACTCCACAGCTTGCATTTTTAAATACAAAGTCTGTGGATAAATATGCATCACCATTTACCCAGTTCCACTGTAGTTGGGCAACAAGTGAAGGTACTGTGAAGTGCAATGGCGGGAGGAGGGCTAGGCACATAGTCAATGGTGCGGGAGGTGAGGGAGGGTGACTAGGCAAGGAGGGCGAGGTAGTAGCCTCAGGCCATCTTCCAAGAGTTATGGTCATTGCCATGTTTTTGGTGGTATGCATGTAACAGAGGCATATATTCTATGCCTCTGTTACATACAGTGACTGCCGTGTTTTGTGAGATTGTTTACATCATTGTAAAACTAGCAGAATGGGCTGAACTACAGTATAATAACCAGACCAAGGATGCTAAATAAGCATGAACACCTCCACCTGCCCCTCACACCATTAACACCTCCACCTGCCCCTCACACCATTAACACCTCCACCTGCCCCTCACACCATTAACACCTCCACCTGCCCCTCACACCATTAACACCTCCACCTGCCCCTCACACCATTAACACCTCCACCTGCCCCTCACACCATTAACACCTCCACCTGCCCATCACACAACCACACAGCATCATCCCCTCTATATAGGACAGTAGCAGCTAGAAACACTTGTTCACCGCCACCAACACAACTTATTGACATTTCGTGTGTGTGTGTTATGGTGTGTAGTATATATGGAATGTGTGGGGTAGTAGGTAAACTGTGAGGGAGGTATTGTATCATGTGGGTGAGGGAGTGAAGTGTGGGAGGTATTGTAGTGTGTGGCTGCATAGTGGCCTGCATTATTTTTAAATTACTGTATTCTAAAATTATGTACTCTATACAGTTATGCTGTTATGTACAATACATACCTTATAATAGATTAAGTTGTAACCAGGAGATGGAAGGTGAAGACTTATACTCAGCATAACTATACTGTACGGACTGGCTGGTACATAACACACCACCTAGTTATGGTGCAGCTAGAATCATGGACATTGGCTATTCAACCCATGCAACTAGAAATCATCTCATGCAATTGCAAATTTTGAAGTTTAAAAGTAAAGCATGCAATTGGGAAACCATGCAAGTCAAGGAACATATGAGTGAACTGGGCTATGGTGATTATCCAGCTTCGTAAAGGAATCCTTAATTTTACATATTTTCTGAAGAACAAATCCAAGATAAAGGAACTGAACCTAACCTCTATATGGCTTTGCTTTATTCCGAGACAAATATTCACCTTGACACTAAACTTCCCAAGAACATGTGTGGCATTTATTTATAAGGGAGAGTTTCAACAATACATGATAATTTTCTTTATTTCCCACAAGTGAAGGAATCTAATACCTGCAGCAGCTGACCTATTGTTAACAAACCAAATTCACCATATGAGGCTTTTCCCCTTTATAATGGTGCAATCACAAACATCTTTCCAAACTCTCCTTATTTTCCAAAGCTTACCAAGGTATAGATGAAGACACTTTTCCTCTTGCTGACTCTTAAAAATCCCTAAAAACTGTATTACCCTGTCTATGAATCTCGTTTTTTTTTTTTACCTTTTCACTGTAGATGGTAAGAGTATAGAGGTACAGTAGTATCTATTTTCCCCCTCTCACTGTAACTGGTAAATATATGGTTTCCTGTTGTCAAAATTGTTATGCAAGGTGTTGAACTGTAAATATTAATTTTGTCAACAATATGCTGGAATACAGTAAAGTTAACTCCTTCCACCTTCTGTGTTGTCCAGCTTCCTGAGGATGTTGGAGAGCACAAGTGAGGGAAAATCCAGATTATATTACAAATTTACTGGATAGTACTGACTCATGAATTAGGTGATATGTGCAGACAAAACACTAATATACTAATACAATAAAGTAAGATCAGCAAGGAAAGTGCAATATTTACCTACTCATGACCACTAAAACTCGAGGTGGCCATGTTGGATACCCTAAACGTTGTTGACAGTTTTATCCAGAGATAGTGTCCAGTAGTTTGAAGCCCAATACATACTGTACTGTTTTTGCTTCCACATTTTCAACTGGTAGACTGTTCCATAGGTCTACCAGCCTCTGTGAGAAGAAGTACTTCCTCACACTACAGTAATTCCTCACCAACAATGTGGATTAGATTCAAGAATTCTGGAAAGGTTGACAAGGGCTAGGCCTAATGGGAAATAAAGGATTTGGGGAAGAGACTCCTGAGAGACCAATCTAAAGTCCTGTTCTGTACAGTCTAAGGTAAAAAATTAGCACTGGGTGTATGCTCTACTGTACTTAAAAAAAAAAATTCATTAGTATACAAAACATTATGCAATGTGTAGGTGTAAAAGAAAAAGTGCAAGGGCACAGTCCCTCCTTATTAATAGGCTACCAGCATTTGAAACCCGTTATTTACATAAATTATAGTCATATTATTTATTGTTACAATTATTAATCAGTAAATAAAGTTAGGTTAGGCCATTACCTCTTGGAGTAGCAACCTTACCTTATCTGCTAAGAGGGTGCTTGGAAGTCCTACATGCAATGCCCAGTTCCCACTCTGTAAAAGTGAGAAGGCAAAGGCAACAGGCAGGAGTCTAAAACTCTAACCTTTTCACTTGACCTATGACCTTACAAAATTAATCAGGCTTAGAACCCTGTGTGTTGTATCAATAGGCATCCAACTTTCAATCTCTAGATATCTTGTTCACAGGAAGAATGGATGGACAAATGGCTACTACAGTAAAACGATCTCATAGGAACACTTGTACTACATGAAAATGGTGAGCTAACCAAAAACTCTTTCTTGTGTAACATTAAAACACATAATAACTCATGATTTCTTTATTCCTTTTCTTTATCTATGTTAGCACAAAAAATTGTATTCGTATATAAGACTGTATTTGCACATGAACTTGTGCAGGTATTTGTGTTAGAACATTTTTGAGTGTACAGTATATTAATACAATAATATCTCCATTAGCTGGAACTCTCCGATAGCCAGAATTGATATTTTCTCAGATTTTTTCCAGAAAATTATGGGTTTGGGATCGATTTTCCAAGAGGTTGAAAATCAGGCAAATTTTCTGGACAATTCCCAAAACTCTCCAAATTTATTAGGGGGTCTAGAAACAAATTCTGAGGATGAAAATCAGGCATATTTTCTGAAAATTCAGAGAAAATTTCCAAAAACTCTCCAATTTTTTTTTCTGGGTCTGGGAAAAAATTTCGAGGATGAAATAATATGTCATTCAAGAAAATTCCGGAAACACTCCATTTTTTTTTACGGATTTGGGAACAAATTCTAAGAATATAATATGTAATGTGCAATTTCTGGAATTTTTGATAAATTTTTCCCGGTACCCAGAAAAATTCTGGGGATGGGTGATTTTTTGAGAGTTTTCCCATTTCCCGGAAATCTCACATCCCTGGAAGTGCTCTGCACCAATTGTTCCGGTTAACAGAGATATCATTATCTATGAGAAGATATATTTTAGTACTGTATGTATGCTTGTGTGTTAAGTGTACAGTATTGTACAGTACAGTGTATATGTGAGCATGTATATGAGATACTGTACTCTATTGGTGTGTGTGTGTGTGCACTTGAGTTTTTGTTCAGTACAGTACAGTATATGAATTTATTCCTGTGTTGGGGTTTTTATTGTTTATTTGTTATATGCAGTATCTTTTATGAATAAGTGTGTTTTTTGTTTGCCTTGATTGTGTACTTGCGTGCAAGTTTTGTTGTGTGTGTGTGTGTGTGTGTGAGAGAGAGAGAGAGAATATGTTCACCTGTGTGAATGTAAAGAATAGTAAATACTGTATTCATACTTTACTGTACTACTGTATTTGTAAAAGGTTTACCAAGGCAATTCTGGCTGGCAGGTTGAAACTGCTTCGATTGACTAAAACCCTTATGAAAGCTGCCTTCACAGGTGTTAATCTAAGAGAAACAATAAATTACTTATACAGTGGTCCCTCGGTTAATGAACACAATTCGTTCCAGAAGGTCGTTCGTTAACCGAAACCATTGTTTCAATGGGATTTTGGGTAAATGGTTCCAGCTCACCGAAAATTACATACAAAGTAAAAATAAATGCAGTAAAGTACACTTACTTTGAGGTGTGTATGTAGAAGGCTCCTGGTTGATGATGATGATGATGGGAATTAGAAGTGGGGGTGGAAGAGAAATCACCCCATGCTTCATGCCGTCATTTCACCCATAAAATTTTAAGTTCACCAGGTGTAATTCAAGATTATTTTCTTTAAATAAACACTGCACTGCACTATATATTGTCAATATGTTAAATAAATTTCAGAATGACCAATAATTGTACTGTAAAAACGTAAAAATAGTTTATGTTCAAGAGAGCCACAAGCAAGATGTTACCTCCACTGACCAGAGATACAAACTAACGCCTTGGTGTGTAAGTCAAGTGGCTGATTGGAGCACCAAAAACTAGCTTCCTGTACTCCAGTTATGTTAAATAAGTGTTAAAATGACTAAAAATTTTAATATAAAACTTGGAAAATTATTGAACAGTACAACCTTCTTGATATTTACTCAAATGGGAACGGATTTAAGCCCTAGAACCGATTACTGTATTGGCGGACTAATATTCCAGCTGGTGAGCAAGCGAAAAAAAAAAAATACTGTTTACAGCTAGACCCCGACTTACTACTGCTTGGACTTACGACCGTCGGAACTTATGACCGCCGCAGTTGTGACCATTGGTTGGTTTTTTTTTTTAAATGACGCACGCATTTTCTATACTGAAACGTTTCCAGTTAATGTAGTCTTCATGTATAATTAGAAAATTATGGGGGCCCCATGTGCATTCAGCTGACTACATTTAAGGTAAGTGCTCAGTCACACTATCCATTCCTCATTATTTATTACTTTTACTGTACTGTATTTCATTGTAGACTTTTTATTTAAAAAAAAAATTGATTTTTTTTCTATGTCGGACTTACGACCATTCGAACTTATGACCTGGATTTGGGTCCCTAACCCCGTCATAAGTCGGGGTCTAACTGTGTATATATATATATATATATATATATATATATATATATATATATATATATATATATATATATATATATATATATATATATATATATATATATATATATATATATACACATATATATACACAGTGATCCCTCGGTTAACGAATTACCTTCCATAAGATTCTTCATTTCGGTTAACGAACAAAAATTCGGTTCATGAAATTCTTACAAAAACGTTTCGACATGTTTTCACTTGCTCACCAGCTGGAAGATTAGTCCGCCAATACAGCAATCGGTTCTAGGGCTTACATTCATTAAAATTGGAGTAAATATCAAGAAGGTTGTGCTATTCAATAATTTTCCAAGTGTTATATTTAAATTATTAGTCATTTTAACACTTATTTAACATAACTGGAGTACAGGGAACTAGTTTTTGGTATGCCCATCAGCCACTTCACTCACCCACCAAGGCCTCAGTTTGTATCTCTGGTCAGTGGAGGTAACATCTTGCTTGTGGCTCTCTTGAACATAAACTATTTTTACATTTTTACAGTACAATTATTGGTCATTCTGAAATTTATTTAACATATTGACAATATATAGTGCAGTGCAGTGTTGATTTAAAGAAAATAATCTTGAATTACACCTGGTGAACTTAAAATTTTATGGGTGAAATGACGGCATGAAGCATGGGGTGATTTCTCTTCCATCCCTACCTCCTTCTCTTCTCCCTTCTCCTCCACCCCCACTTTTAATTCCCAACATCATCATCAACCAGGAGCCTTCTACATACACACCTTAAAGTAAGTACGTTACTGCATTTTTTTACTTTGTATGTACTTTTTGGTGAGCTGGAACCAATTACCCAATATCCCATTGAAACAATGGATTCGGTTAACGAACGACCTTCTGGAACAAATTGTGTTCATTAACCGAGGGACCACTGTGTATATATATATCATTGAAAAATAGAAGAATCTTTCTGCATTTACAATAGGTTAACAAATTAACTGTTCAACAAAGTGCAATCAATGGCCGAAAGAGATGGAATAACTTAAAATTTTCAAACGACAACAAAATCATTATATATTTTTAAAAACGTTAAAATGAACACAATAATCATGTGAGGGCAGCCAACAACATGTAGTGGAGAAAATGACTGTCAAACTTGCTAAATTTCTGAACTAATGATAAAACAACCAATAGAGATTTCCCAATTACCGAACACAAACCTTAAAAACTTCCTTAATATTACAAAAATTAAATTATACATAAATTAAAATATTAATTGTTGAGAGGCAGTACGAAGGACTTTACATTCAGATTATAGTAATGATTGATTTTGTGCATCAGTATTCTGAAGGATGTTTTCAACAATAACAAGGATTATTGCAATAAATTTGTAATACTGTACTGTTCTATGAATTCTTTCACACTGGAGGATTGTCAAGAATCAATTATTAGTGTATGCATCAGGATTACCATGCTTATGAGAACATTTCCAATTCTACAATGAAGATCTTAAACCAGAGAAAAAATATATGTATTTAAAGATCAATCGCAACAGTGCATAGTCTGTACTTGTGGGCTGTGGGTGGATTCTTTCCCAAGAGTAGTTGCAGAGCTAAACTGTCATGGAAGGACACTGAATCAACCTCAGTAGGAAAGAATCATTGCACACCCCGATAAAGAGTTGTGGATATAAATATTTTTTGCAGGTTAATATAAAACTGTACATCTCTGTAACTGAGAGTAAGTCAAAAGTATCTTGCAAACAAATATTTTACAGGCTGTTTCTCAAACATTTTGTTGTGCAGGCTAAAAAATTAACACGTCTGTTAGGAAATTACAGTACTAATAATGTACTATGGTGCAGGAAGAGAGCAACGGTGGTGAAAATGGTGGATTTAACCCTGAAGTCCCATATCATGACCAAGACCAGAATGGGTGACCCAAGTTGCACAGCCAACTCAATCTGTGGTGTTTAGAACCAATTTAACATTTTGATAATGTGGCAAATTGTGTAAAACAGTTTCTTCCTCCTTTCCTAAAAAGAAAGACTTATGACTGCCATGTTATCAATGTGTGTGTGCATCTTCATACTCACCTCTACACAACACAGAACTACTGTACTATAATGGATTTCCTCCGTAATTCCTATGTTCTGTCTCAGATTATTAGTTCTTTGATGAGACAGATACTGTCTTTCAAGACATGATGATTTACTAACTGTGAATCAAAATACATTCTGACACAGCCACACTAACAGACCATCACATGAGATTCATCAAGCATGTCAAACATACTACTACTGTAAGCACTCACATCACAAAAGTAATGGAGTCTTCATCGACTGACTTTCTTGAGACAATGTGCATAGTATGTGGTCTGCTGCAATTTGAAATGATACTGTATTGGTGTGTGTGTGTGTGGTCCCTTTAGCCATCCCCAAACAGTGAGCCTGCAGACAACAGCCATGTCCTCCTGGTATGAAGAAGCAGTTAAAACTGATACAGATGTCTCAGTCACGATTCATTTACCCTTATCTTTGTTATGAAAATGGCTATTTCTTTGGATGACCCTTTCAGGTACATGTTACAGCAGGAAGGAGTAGCTGTTACACACCTGTTAGCCACTCTATCAAAGTGTTGCATGGCTTCCAAACACCATAAATTAAAATGGTTGTGTAGTCTGAGTCATCCACTAAGGTGATGGCCATGAAGGTGCATTCCAATTCTTTGTAGGAATCTATAATGCCCATAACAGGATGAAATAGTGCCAAAGTGAAGCATGAGTAAAGGTTCTTAATGTTTCTCCAGGTTTTACACTTGAAAAATTTTTACATCTTTAAAATGGTTTTGGTGCTCAGCATTAAAAAGCTAATCCCTAAATACTATTCTTAATACTGTACAGTATAATAACTCTGTTTCCTACTAGCATTAGTACATCTGTACTGTATACAGGTACAGTATTATAGCAACACCTAAGTGTCACCAAATGTTAACAATGTTAAGATACTATTCAGTGGTTCATCACAAATGCCAACAGGAGTGTTCCTCAACAAAAACAGCATTTGCAAAATCGTCATTTGCAAACTAATGTTTCACTGTCAAATATGGGAATGTACAGAACATACAGTATCCCAACCCCCTCCCCCAGTACTATGCATATACCTGTACTGTACTGTACAAATAGTATAAGACTTTGCACTCCCGACAAATATACAGTATGTTAAGTCTGGTCAATAGCGGATTAAGTCTCATAATGTACACTACAGTACTGTATTCTTTATTAACAACTCAAAAACAAATTTGCTGAACATAATACCTCTATCTTCACTATTCTTGTTGCAGAACTAGTGGCGATACACACAAGGAGTCAAATGATATGGAATGACAACACTACAGAGAGGTGTTGGGTGAGGTGAAGACTATTTTTGGTGCAGTTTAGGTTATATGACAAGTTTAAACATGATAAGTCGTTGATATTACAATTTTAATTTTAATTACAAATGATTTTTCTATAAGTTACTATGGTCAAATGAGAAAAATAACCCAAAGGAAAAATTAAAAAATCATAATAAATAAATTAGAGCTGCAGTCTTTATATTTTGTTCTCAGTCAATCAACAAGCAAGTTTACCAACTTGGGTCATGTTTGGTGGTGCATTTGATGGTGGGTGATCCCTCATAGGTGGTGTATACACAGTGATATTCAATTACTGTACAGGAAATGAAAATGAAAACTGACATAATTAAGGCATGCACCGTACTGCATTACCAGATCCATTTTTTAAATAACAATGATTCTCTGTACAGTGGTCCCTCGGTTAACGAATTACCTTCCATAAGAATATTCAATTCGGTTAACGAAAAAAAATTTGATTAACGAAATCCTTACGAACATCACGTTTTGTTGTGAGCATCAGCTAATGGGCTAGTCGGCCAATTCAGTTATTTGTTCAATGTTTACATTCATTTCCAATGGGGTAAATATCAATATAGTTGTGCTGTTTAATATTTTAGCATGTTTTATATGAAAATTATTAGTCATTTTAACATTTATTTAACATATTGACAATATATGCAGTACAAGGAACTAGTTTTTTGTGCGCCCATCAGATGCTCAAGTCAGCCACAAGGCGTCAGTTGGGGTTTTGAAGACAGTGAAGTGAACATCTATTTTGTTGGTGTCTTGAATATTATTGCATTTTTCATTGAAATTATTGGTCATTCTGAACTTTAGTTAACATATTGATAATATATAGTGCAGTGTCGATTTAAAGAAAATAATCTTGAATTACACCCAGTGAACTTAAAATTTTATTGGTGAAATGACGGCATCAAGCATGGGTCCCCTGAGAGGTGATTTCTCCTCCACCCCCACTTCTAATTCCCATCATCATCAACCAGGAACCTTCTACATACACACCTCAAAGTAAGTGTACTTTTCTCCATTTTTTTTTTTTTTTTTACTTTGTATGTACTTTTCTGTGAGCTGGAACCAATTACCCAATATCCCATTGAAACAATGGATTCGGTTAACGAATGACCATCTGGAATGAATTGTGTTTGTAACTGAGGGACCACTGTATTTACCCTGTACACTGTAATGTCATTTTCTCTGATGTCAAATGAAAACAAAAGGCAAATAATTTTTGTTTACCCAGATATACCATGAATTTGGGATGTGAATGAAAATAACGTTTGACAGATACTTGTTGAGGAATGTAGTTCAATAAGAATAATACAGTTTTCTAGACAGTAAGTTTTACGAGAGAAATATTGTTCGTCTAATTTTATGCAAGTTCATGAAAATAAATTACTTTACTGTACTATACTATGCTTTGACTGATAACTTTATAAAATATATTAATATTTCAGTTGTAAAATTAAAAATATAAAAAATAACTACTGTATTCTGGTAATGCCCCACAATTTCCACTTAGCTTTCAGACTTTTTCATGTTCAGGCAATAATGAATTTTGTGGCCAAATGGAATAAAGATAAATTTATTGTGATATTTGATATTTTTGTCAAATCAACCTACGGTAACTTATTGGGTTGTTCAAGTTTATTTTACTCCGAGTGATTTAAAAAGTTTCAGACCATGAAAATATATTTCACATGATATTCAATATTCAGAGGCTATCGGTTAAGAGAGACTAGTGGAGTGACAATTTCTGTTTTTGCATGGCCAGAGGGGTTTTATTTCTAAAGATAATATATTCTTATACAGTAAAATAAGTCGCCAATTTACGACGGGGAAATTTTCAAAGAAAGCTCGACATAGATAGAACATTTCTCCCTATACACTGACTATATTCTTATCTTTGGAAGAGGTGTTCCTGACCCAAATTTTCGGACATCTTAACCTAACTTAAACCTCACTTAACTAAATATTTGATAGAAAATTAAACAAATCATTACAAAACACAAATGAAATGTATAAATAGAAACTAAATAAACATTGATGCAGAGGTACTCACCAAAATAAAACTGAGATGGCAAACACCTACTTCATGGATGTACAGTACAGTACTCACAGGAAGCTTTCCATCAGGGTCAAGGGTCTTTTGAAAGACTAGCACCAAAGTAATCACAAGGAATATCACTCAATGCTCTCCAACAGGACAAATATGTATCACTGATGTAGATGCAGCAGCTAGGCTTCAAGCACTCGACTGGTGGCGACATTGCTATACGACGTTTCTGGCACAAGGTTTGAATTTCTTTAGTGATCATTATGGTAAAAATGACATGTTGTTGGACAGACACTACTGGTACTTATACTGAAAACTAATTTGTTGATGACATTTATCAAAATAAAGCAAATACAACCGATGTAAACTGTTCCTATAATTTTCAATCGCTCTCGTTAAAAGTTAGAATTTCTCTTCTTATTCCTAGGAATGTTTCAAAGTGATACAGGTATTTAAGTCAAAACTGTTATAAAAGACATCACCAGGATTACCAAAGTTTGCCAACCTAACTCCTCTGAAGTGCCATGGTGGGCATACTTGCCATTTTTGACACCAGCATCTCCACCTCATTTCACCCACAATACTATATCTCACTCTTTGCACCTGAAGCAAGACCATGCACACAGCTGCACCATTATGATACTGTAGGCCATAATTCTTTCCTTCCCAACTGCTCATGTGTACCGAAAAACTACCCATTGTATTTCCCAAATTTTAGTGTTAAAAAGTAAATTGTTCACCCATTGAGTTTGACATTACAAAGGCCATCAATTGTGAGAGATGACTGTATGGTGGTCCCTCGATTAACGAACGGTTCAATTAATGAAATTTCGGTTAACGAATTTGCTCCCATAAGGATTTTCAGTTCCATTAACGAACAAAACTTTAATTAACAACAGCCTTACGAGAAACATGCTTTGTTGTGCGCATCAGCTGATCGGCTAGTCTGCCAATACAGTAATTGGTTCTATGTTTACATTCGTTTCCAGTGGAGCAAATATCAAGAAAGTTGTGCTCTTGAATATTTTTGCATTTTTTATATTGAAACTATTGGTCATTCTGAAATTTAGTTAATACAGTATATTGAAAATATACAGTGCAGATATTATTATGAAATATGAAGAAGGCATTAGAACCAATGCACTCCGTAAAGAATATGGCTTGTCATCATCGACTGCCTCTACAATCAGCAGTTTGATATGTAAACAAAGCTGCCGGGAATATGACATTCACACCTCAAAGTAAGTTAAAATATAGTATTCTATTGTTTTTTATTTATTATTGTACAGTATACTGTACTTTACATTACTGTATTTAGTTTATATTTAATGTTTTGTTAATTCTATTACTGGTATACAGTACTTTGTATGTGTACTTTTTCTGTGAGTTGGAACCAATTACCCAATATCCCATTGAAATACAGTGAACCCTCACTTTACGCGGTCAATTGAACCCACGGCGGTCCGCGTAAAGTGAACAACATAACATATGGGATTAATTGAAATAGAGACCGGGCCGACCCCCAAACTCCACTTTTTCAGACACAATACCTACGTTGTAGTAAAAATAACTTCTTAATTTTATGATGGTATGCACACACAATTAATAATTAAGAGAAATATCAATAATATTAGGTTTTTTAACACTTACATTAGTAGAAAAGATGGCTGGCCACACGGGGATGGGGGGTTGGTTCCGAGGCAGAGAGCAGATTATTGGCCCTCACCTGTATCACTATCCACCACAGAGGCTTGCAGGGCCTCTTTGTCAAACCCCTCAAAGTCCATATAAGTCCATATCCTCACTATCACTATCACTGACTTGGGCCGGCTGTGGCGGGTGAAGAACTCGGTAATGTTTTGATGACTGGGCGACCTTGTGTGCACCCCGCTCGCGCCGCTCTCCGCGTAAAAGGGTATACACACCCGCGGAAAGTGAGCATTCCGGTTTCGGCAGGGTACCGCGTAAACGTGGAAACGCGTAAAGTGAAACCGTGTAAAGCGGGGGTTTACTGTAATAGATTCAGTTAACGAAATTTTCAGTTAACAACCGACTCTGTGGAACCAATTATGTTCATTAATCGAGGGACCACTGTATAAGGGCTGTAATCAATGTTTTATATTTCTAATGTCACTACTGTATTTTGTTCCCTTCTTCATGCTCCTTTTGATAAAGTTTTTAGTAACTTACTAACGTAGAACACCAAAATATAGCATGAAAGGTGGGATTACTAATCTCTTACGGCCATTTTCAATACTGTACTATCATTTTGACAAGTTTTGCAATACATCTCACTAATAGCTGCACAAGAAGGTTTTCATATGGCAAAAATTTTGATATAATGCAGTTTGAGCCATAGATGTACATTTCCCTATACCCTAAATGGGGCAGACACTTAATAGGGATTGTTTAAGATATACCTTCTAACACTTTCACATAGTTTTTGGTCAAATTTATCCTAAGGTAGTATTACACTGGTCTTGGCCTTTACCTTTACCTAACATTTAATGTTAATATATGGACTGTACAATAAAGTACTGTACCATGAGACTGGTAGATCATATGTTTATCTCACTAGAATGTAAACAAAGAGATCTATTGCCTACTCCTTCAAGAGTGAAATCTTCCACACTTGATATAAGGTAAATTATCCAACAGAAAAAGCATCCATTACTCATCTACTGAACATCTGTTTAAGTTAATGAAAATTGTTCATAGTAAATTATAATTTTCATATAGTATTGATAAAAATAGTGTTTAAAGCTTAAGAATGTTTCAAGTTACTGAACACTTAAAAACTGCTTAGTTTTTGTGTTTAGGTTACTTACAAAGATATGTTTGTTATAGTAGTGTGTGTCAACCCTTCAACCCACCAAAGGCCACGCCAATTATTTCTTTCTAACTTTTGCTATCTTCATATATTCTAAACAAAGGCACCAGTCCTGTGTATCCAGAGCTACATCCACTGTCTGAACAATAATTGGCAGGCTAGTGGTGGTGGTTCTGTAACTGTATTCATCCTGATGTGTTGGTCTAGTTTTCCTCTCAAATATTTATGTGTAGTTGTAAGAGGAATGAAAGTTTTAAATTAATCTTATAAATAAATAAACTTAAACTTAAATATACCTAATAAAAACCAAGCATTGTGCTAATGTGTATGGGTTAGCCATATCATCTACAAGTTTGTTAGTCATCATAAATAGGAAAATTAATTAAAAGAATAGTTTAAAGTTTTTTTTTTTTTGTTGAACTGAATATACAGCAGGGCTTTGCTGATCATGAGGGTTATGTTCTCAAATGATTGATTAATTGGATAAAATATCTGGCGTTGCAGCCTGTGGCTATTTGACGCCAAAAATTCAATGGCGTTGCAGCCTGTGGCTATTTGACGCCAAAAATTCAAATCACAAGTTAAAACTATGATATAGATAAAATAAAATCCTCTTAGGTTTAATCATCAAAATTAAAATAATATAAAATACCAGTATTCATTTAAAAATCACAAGCAATTAAGTACCTCAATTGCATATAAAAGTTTAAAAAGGTGCTGAACTTCTCCTGCTGAGCACCTTTGAGATGGAGAAAGAGCTGGCAATTGGCCAGAAAACAACTCAAGTCCACATGAATTGGGATACTCTACCAGCAAGTGCAGCACAGTCAGTGGCACCAGGCAGTTATCACAACAGGGTTGTGGTCCTCCGGCCATAAGGAAACCGTGAGCGAGGTGAGTGTGACCAACACATAGACAGGTAAGGGCAGTCTCATAGCAGTGGGTCATCAAAGAATATTCCCACAGATAGATCATCGTTGTAACCTCGCACAACTTATTGGGAACAGATATATTGTTCCACTGTAGCTGCCAGGAGGCCCAGATGGCTTACCTGAGTGAGGGGAAGAGATCTCTGTGATGGAGGAAGCACAAAGGAGCATGACGAGATGCAGCAGATTTGTACCTCGTCAGCCCTTCCATTACCTGGCACAAACACATGGGCGGAACCCAACAGAAATCCACATAACAGTATGGCCCTGCCGACAGAGGACCACTAACCAGTTAAAAATATTTAAAACTTGGCGGATGGGATTCAAAGACAAAATGCTGCTCTGGAGTCATAAAAATAGTAAACTCCTTAACAACACAAGCGTCGGATTTGGAGCCATCTGTATATACATGCACTGAGCCATCGTGTTGAGTTGCATATTCCTGGAAATACATCCTGACCATCACTTCATTAACATTAGCCTTGCTCTCTGGAAAGTAACGACAAGTGCATCTCTTCAGGGTCCCAGGAGGCCACAGTCGGTACCTTCACTGGGGGTGGCCGGAAGTCAACCAGCTCCCGGACAGGAAAGCCAAGGGATCAGGAAAGGCGTGGGTGATGTGTAAATCTAGGGCCTATGGACCTATCCATGTTGGAAGTCATTTGTTTGGAACTCAAAACTAAATTTTTCAAAGACTCAATGTCATAAATGGTGGTTACAATCCCAAGTCAGCCAACAAAAGCCCATTAAACCCATAATTAAGCTGAAATATTGTGCATATGCAACAGGTTTAATGTGCAAAATCATATTGTGAGGAAACCAGGAATGAGAAAAGTGTACATTTTCACCATGATGCTTTGAGCCCCAAGGTGAATGTGCATGAACTCGACACAGCCAGACCTACTTGACCAACTTCCATGCTCTGATGTTTATCAGAATTCATGTTGTTTGTCACAGCAATAATGTCAAAAAGGCCAACAGATACGACAATGGCTAATAGTCAATAGTTACCACATTATTAATTGCAATGTGATGGGATTTCTACTCCTGGATATTCTTTAAAGCACATTACAATGAGATTCAACAATTTTCATCAGACAATCTTAGATATGTTTGAACATTACTTGGTGTTAATTTTAAGCACTTTTTATTCTTATAAATTTTCAAATAATTTTGAAAAAGTTGCCATTTTGAAGAAAAAATATATAAACTATTTTCTCTAGAAATTCTTTATATACTAATTACAGAAGACAGCAAATAGTCTATAATACTGTATATTAATATAATGGCAGTATTATATCCAATACCCATGAGAGGAAGTAATCAAACTGGATGTGAAGAAGTTCTGTCATGATCCTGTTACTGTTACTAATGTACAGTATATTGTTGCGCGAATTTTTTTTTATGTAAAGTTTACTTTCCATTATTTTTGTTTTAGTTTAACCTTTTGCCATTAAATATCCCCCGGAGAGCCATATGACCTCAGCCGTTGCGGTGTTAAGATAGTGTTCATAATCATTCATTCTTATGTACAGTATTTCCAAAGAATAATGATACTACCCTGTAAAAGAGAGAGAGAAGACAAAATAGAAAAGAGAGAAAGAGAGAGAAATGATAATTATGCTTAACAGGTATGAACTACTGTACTGTACTAAAATGAACATGTAAAAACCCTGAAACACTACATTATAACTTGTTACTGTACACCTCTTCAGGAGAGTAAGCTAAAATTACTTGTTATTTCGGTGTTAAGTTCATCAGAATATAATTAAAAGAGAATCCTAAGTCCAGTCTCATGACTTTTCAGGTATATACAGGTACCGGTAATTGGTATTTGATATGCAGTGCACTGTAGTATTATCACTAGCACCTTAAGTGACAACAAAAATAAATAATGCAAAAATACGAGATTTCAAACCATCTAATATATTGGTAAATTATGTCTACTACTGAACCATTATTCTAGTCTTGCTCAAGTTATTCTTGAAAAGCCTTTGGCAACCTTATTAATGTAGAGTACCAAAACCAAACAAGAAATTAAGGACTGAGGTAAAAAATCCCTTAGAAAATAGTGACTTGTGAAAGCCAAGATGCTAGTTCACCCTAAGTCTCCCTTTGCTAATGGGCCTTGACATTTTAAGCATTATTCAGACAATGTTAAATAATGTGTGCTTAATCATACACAGTACTGTACAGGGTATTTGAATCCTAACTTATCTGGTGGTTGTTTCACTGACTAATAAAGCTTAATGAAATTTGGTCACAACCCAAGCTCTACTTTCATGCATTCCAAACCTTCACTCCTTTAAAAAGAGGAAATTCCCACTTCTTCCTTCTCAGTTCCTGGCAAAAGTGAACCTTATCCCCAATGCACCTAATTGGTGGCTGCCAGCAGTGGGACAGAAGGCCATCATTTTGGTCATCAGTGGACTCCAGTCACCTCCTCTATACTGTACGCTCCATAACCCAGCGAGTCTAATGCTGTAAATGAATATTTATTGGTATTTTGATGTCATGCAATTGTCTTTATTTGCTTCATTAATGGTAGGGTGCTGTAAAATCAAGGAGCTGTTCTTTCAACACCCCTCCCTTACCGCACGGGCATTATCCGACAGTATGTGGACTTCAGCTGTAAATATTCATTTCAAATGTTCACTTGGCTAATATTTTTACTTCATCTTTTTTTCCTGTGCCCTAAACTTTTGAAGGTGATCATTTTCTTTGTTTATGTATACAATTTTATATGAAATAAAATACTGTACTGTATATCTTGAGGAATGTGCAGTTTAGGATCCACTCACATCTTCGAGCAGGTCTTGAGTCACAAAGAATGAACTTGGGTTTTTACTGTACCTAACATCCTAAAGCTTAACAGGTTTTTGAGACAACCACCGCAATAAATGGGTTACAGGTCTAAGAGTTTACTCCCGTGTGACTGGGTGAAGTGCTGCTGTATGCCAAAAATATTATCCATCTGATGGTCACACTAAACAAGCTAAGACTCTGACAAGGGTAAGCTCTGCCAGGGGGTGATTTAGTGGTATGGTTCTTGCAAGTTACTTATTAATGACTCACAGGTCCATGGGTGTTAGTTTAATCAGCAGAGAGACAATTTTTAAATTATTATCTTTAAAATACTGTAAAAAAAATATATTAATTGGCACAAATGTAAAATCAAAAGCATATGTTCCACTGATATTACTAAAGCCCACAAGGGTTACAGTTTCATGCTAGATTGTGCATTCCGGGGAAAATTATGGGACTTTACACACAATTCCACTGCAAACGATTCAGAACTCTTGGCAGATGCATTAATAAAGCTTGACACTCATCACAAATAATTAATTTACACCCTCCCTACCATGGGGTTGGATGCTGGTTTCTTGGGTTCGTGGCTGTACAGGAAGATTGTGCCAATCACCAAGGTCGTGCCAATTGCAAACTGGAATGTTATTACAAAATCAAAAAGAAACACTGAAGCAACAGTGGAAATGACAATGGCTAATGATGTTGCAAAACCTTTGAGGATATTATCTGCATATTTAACTACCATGGCTACCAGCAATCCTCCAACTGCATTTAGGACCACAAGATAGCATACATAGGCATCATAGCCATAAAAGAATCCCTTATCTGTGATGGCTGCATAATCATTTGCATATGAAGTCATTACACCTAATGGTACTGAGAGAAATGACAGCTGTACATTTCTGACCCAAACTGAAACATCTGACCCTTTTAAAATTTTTTCAAAGTAAATGCCAGCAAAACCGGAACAACAGCAAGCAGAGACAGCAGCAACAAAGCCAAGGAGACGGTTCTGTCCAATATTTGCTGCTGTGACTCCTTTGTCAACTGAAGACAGCTGAACCAGTGCAACACCAAATGTAAGAAGTAAGAGTGACAACCACTGAGTGCCACGAAGCTGTTTATGTAGAATCAACACAGCAAACATGGCAGTTGTCAAAATCTTCATCTGATAGGTAACCTGAAATGGAAAGGAGAAAAAATAAATATGAAATGTATTATAAATACTGTACAGTACAGTGTTTAGATTAAGATTTAAATTAGAAATCTTTTAAAAATGTTCCATTATTATGCCCTAAAGAATTAGGAATGTTTGATATTAATAAGACAGTACTGTAATAATAATTATAATAATACTAATAACAATAATTAAGAGTAAAAGAAGGGTTGAGCTTGTAAAAGTCACTTTCATGACCTGACAAGGACAAACATTATTTCCCTACACTATACTGGACAGTAGTCATGCAATACAGCAATGTGGACTAAGGACCAAGCAAACAGAAATGGCACAAATAACTGACTGGCAAAACTGTGGTATTTCAGGATTTGGAAGAAGCTGATGTGGTTGAACTGTTGTGTCTCATGCTGAGGAACTGACTCCAGAGGACTTGATGGAGCTGACACAGCCAAAGGAAGAGAAGGTGGCAGAACAGAAGACAGTTACTGTACTGTACAACAGAACCAGCTGGTAAGAGGCTGGTTAGTTACCACATGTTTGTTGACTAGGTGATCCAGGAGGGGACTGATATAATATGGTTCCCTACCTGGAGTCAAATTTACATATAGTATTTGTAAGCAGAGTAAACAACACAGCACACAATAACATGACTGCACCATAATAAAATCACAACCCCCACACCCCTGCTTATCTAAAGGGTAAGCTCAATATCTTTCATACAATTTCCAGTTTCTTGAGAATTTCCACATTGTTCGGTGTCAGGTATTAAAGAGTTCACTGTGTTATATAACTTTTACATAATTTATCCATTGCCGGAATAACTTTCTCACACCGGTAATAACTATACGTACTACAGTATATTCTAATACGGTATTACATCAAGATAGGCATGCCATGATACACTTCTACTGTGTGTTGAAGAATTTAAAAAACAACATGAAATACATAAGCACTTATAAATACATTAAATCAACAAAAAGCCTTCGTTTACTTGGTATGTAGCAGCATCCAGGTTAGATGCAGACACGTAGAGCAAATTATTCTGGATGAGGTAGATGAATGAAGGGACACAGACCTTCAGTGTATCAATCTTCTGTTGCCAAATCTGGGTGTTTAATGTCATAAACCAGTGCTGCAAGAGTAACAGATGATACATAAATACAGTAATATCTCCCTTAGCTGGAATCCCTCAAACCCGGAACTCTCCAATAGCCGGAATTTTCGGAAAATTATGACTTTGGGAATGATTTTCCGAGGGGCACATTTCCCAGAAAATTCTTGAAAAATTTTCCCGATACCCGGAAAATTCCGGGGATGGGGGAGTTTTTTTCAGGGTTGAGAGATGAAAATCAGGAGCATTTTCTTGAAATTCCAATAAAATTTTTCCGTTACCCGGAAAATGTAATGTGATACAGGTGATTTATTTTTATCTCGTGCAAAATATATGATGTTTATATTCAAATTATTCGCTGTCTTGCAAGGATTCCAGCAATGCAAATTAATATTCTCCTAACTTTAGTCTGCGATATTATATAAGATAAAAACTGTCAGCCTAAAACCCTGGGTGGGCCTGATGGGGGAGAGGGAGGGAGGAAGGGGGAGGTGACTGACATGTTTGACAGTTGGCACCGAAGGTCTAGTGAAGCATTTATTTGTTTATTTATGTCATTTAGATTGAGTTTTTGTTTTTTACGTATAAAATGTCACAGAAATGACCAGAGAGAATATAATTTACATGGCTGGAATTCTTATAAGATAGTGATTATTTGAATATAAACATGCTTCAGTTTGCACTCGATAAAAATCTTCGTAATCATTTCGTACATTATTTTGTGAAAATGTAAAGTACAGCTTTGACCTTAGGACAGTGTGTGCATGTAAATGAGTAAAAATAAATGAATAATTACATATATCGAGCCAAAAATATTAGTTGAAAAACTTTATGTAGACAGGGCTTGGATGGCTAAATTTTAGAATGACCAATGTTTTCAATATGAAATATGCAAAAATATTCAAGAACACTAATTTCTTGATGTTTACTCCACTGGAAACGAATGTAAACATAGAACCGATTACTGTATTGGCGGACTAGACGATCAGCTGGTGTGCACAACAAAGTGTGTTTCTCCTCAGGCTTTCGTTAATCGAAGTTTTGTTCGTTAATGGAACTGAAAATCCTTATCGGAGCTAATTCATCAACCGAAATTGAACCTTTCGTTAATCGAGGGACCACTGTATAGTGTTTATTTCATTTGTTATATATTACTGTACAAATAATTGTATAAAGGAATAATTTATATTATTACAGCAACAACTGTATTTATTTACTTTAAATGTTGATTGTTTATATGGAGACTCACTGTATGGAGGTGGATTTATATAGAAACTCACTGTAAAGGGAGCAGGAAATAAACATGGGATTTAGAAGACTGTGCCTCAATCTCTCGTACATACATAGCCTTAAGAAATGAAGACACCACAGTAGTTAACCAAATATACTGCAGGATTTAAAAGGAATTCGAACACCACTTTACAGTTGGGTTGACAGAAGAGTTCATATAAATGGTTGCATAATACTTTTCACTCAGTAATATTATCATTATTATGCCCATGATAAAAGAGGTACAATATAATGCTAAGAAGAAGAGAATAACTGAGGTTACAGTACCTAACTGAGGTGTGGTTATGTATGGGAAGGTAAAAGAGAAATAAAAGTGGGTTACATCAAATGTAAAAAATGTCAAGGAAAATATTAAATACAGTAAAGGTACACACACATGTGTTGATACACATAACTGATGAGAAAAAAATATTGGAAAGGTATTTTGACTCACCTGTATGGAACCCTCTTGTTTGTATACCAAGAGAAGTGATGCCAACAGCTTCACAAACTCTGCCACCACAACAGCTGAGACAGAAATAAAACATTACAAAATTAGCGTACAATATTTATTCAAAATGTTGTAATATCTCCCTGAACTACAATATTTGGTGTCTGGATAACTGAGTGAGCAAATTTTTTGATTACCAATTACTTGTACTTATGCAGTTTCCTTAACAATGCAAATACTCCCTCACGCCAAATATTTTTCAATGCAGCGTGCAAATGTTCAGATCAACCTACTCTTTGACTTCATCTCTCATATTCAATGGATCATTGGATTTAATAAGAGCAAACCAGTACTGTACATGATACAATGCCCAAACATCTAAAACAAAGCCAATTGGTTCTGCATGCCACCAATCTCATTTCCTCAATGAATTATGTTAAATGGAAAAAAATTATTCTTGAGGGGAAAAAACCATAAAAATTTTGTGGTGTTCCTACATTAAACACCAAAATCTATATCTATCAGAGACCATTTTCTTCTAGACTTGATGGATCCAGATATAGGATCCATCACTGTTTTCAGCAAGATTCGTTCAAACAGTGGTACAGTGTCTGACAACTTGGCAGGAGCAGAGCGAATAACTGATCCCTGGCTGAACGTAATTTACGCAGCAAATTTCTCACTGCTTAACCCTTTTCTGACATTCTCTGATATTTTTGCAGGTAAAAGGCATCCAGATGGGTTGTATAAGTGAAAGAGCTATATCCCAATCCCATGCTTGAAAGACAAAGATGCGAGCATAAAAAAAAGACAGCCATTCCGAGATGATACAGCAATACAAGCTGATATCACTTGCCTCTAGGTGTAGAATATTTTGCATATGGCTCATTTCCTTCTTTACAAGTTGCTTTACTTTTAGAACAATATGAAAGGCATTTGTTGCACCAAAACAATTATTAATTGAATAAGCATTCATAGAAGTTAGCAGTTAAGCCAAATTTTTCTTTTTTTCCAAAGTAACGAATAGGCAATAAATGGAAATCATTGACAGTGACATCATTTATTTGGACAATTGTAAATGATAATAAAATAATCAAATAGCATAGTACCTACTGTAATGGAAATAAAAGAGCATAACTACAGTACACATAGGCCATTAGTGTAACCTCAGTCACAAATTCACCATCATTCGGAGCATTTAACTTTTTATACATTGATGAAATTATATATAAAATAATTAAAAAAAGATTAAAACCTTACCAGAAGAAGCAATAAACATATCTCCGGGGCGAGTGCGAGCATAACGCATGCTGAGAGCCACAGCAGAGTTCTGCACTGTTAATGTCACAAGACTCACATATTTCAGGGCAGTATTACCTTGCACTGGGGAAGAAGAAACATGATGGATTAATTATTGAACACAGACTGACTGCTTCACACTTATGTAATAACCTTGTAATTAGGTACAATGGATATCACTTTATGACAGATATTTCCAAAAATGCACTTTGGAATTTAGCAATACTGTACAGTGGTCCCTCGGTTAACGAACACAATTCGTTCCAGAAGGTCTTTCGTTAACCGAATCCATTGTCTCAATGGGATATTGGGTAATTGGTTCCAGCTCACCGAAAAGTACATACAAAGTAAAAAAAAAAAAAAAATGCAGTAAAGTACACTTACTTTGAGGAGTGTATGTAGAAGGTTCCTGGTTGATGATGATGATAGGAATTAGAAGTGGGGGTGGAGGAGAAGAGAAGGAAATGGTATGGAGGAAAAATCACCTTTCAGGGGACCCATGCTTTATGGAAGGTAATTCGTTAACCGAGGCGTTCGTTAACCGAGGGACCACTGTACTGTATGTCCAATCTTGTTTTAGCCTCACTTAATAGCACCTTGCTTATGATTACTTTTTATTTAAAGGTCTTAATCAGTGACTTGCTTAATGGCACACACAACATCAGACTCCTGTTACTTACAGTAATTGTGGAATAAGGTACAGAATTTACACTCCAGTATATATTCATTTAATAAGCAAGAATATAATGGAAGGAGGAAAAGAAAGGAGAGGATAATAGTACAGGTATACAAAAGGTCAGATCTTAAAGGTGAATTTGGGATGAAATTGGCTGTCGCCTTTAGCTATAGGTGGATATATAGTGATCAGCTTATGGGAGATAAACATAAGATGGATATGGGTGACTGTAGTATGAGTGACATTTGTAAATGTGTAACAGTTGATAAGTATTATGCTTTATTGTGCAAACTCTGACAAATGTGGTATCAAATTGCCTATGGAAATATAGATAAAGATACAATCTCTACAAATTGCAGATGAAACATGAAGATTCACTATACTGGTACTATGGGAAGTGTAATGGTATTGCTGGCAAGGTTTTATCCCATGCCACTAACCTATCAAGGAGGCTTTAGGAAATACGCTTTTTCATGGCTAAAACACCATATACAGTAGAATAAGTACACAGAAATAAATTGTAGATGTATTTAATTACCTTACCTACATTGTACTAGCGATATTTTAGCAGATCTATATTCTGCTGAGTCACACAACTCAAGCCATGTTACAATGTGTAAAATACGGTCATGTATATATTTCTTGTGTTTAGTTATGCTTCTAAATGTTTAAATAATTGTATTTTTTATGTAATGTCAAACTAAAATTCTTGAAATGTTTTGGTTATTTTTGTGTTCAGTATTATCGAAAAGTAATACAAATTACAATTGATAAAATACAAATCTAATGTGATGTCATATAACACTCTGAATGGTGTATAATGCAGTGTTTATTATTCAGAAATTTATAAAACTAATGACAGGAACAATGAAATTCACTGAGTATGAGGACTACTCTAATATAATTACTGTATCTGGGATCTTCGTTACCCCTCACCACACATTTTCCCTTCTATTATAGAAAATCGTAATATTACGTCATGTTCTCGCAACCAATCACAACGCGAGCAGTTGAACCAATCAGCGTGTTCGGTAAACAAGGGTTGGAAATCCCGTCAGCCCTGGTCAGGAATAAAAAGATTTACTCTACCTACCATTTTTTTCAGTTCCCATGATGATCAACTCTCTAGCAGTTCTGTAACAAAAATATGTTATGTTAGTAACAGATATGTGACAGTAAACTTAGGCTATTTTTAACTGTAAAAGTGGAGCAACATGCAACACTGTGCTAACCTAAAACAACCAACCAAACCAACTGAAAAGAAAGAAAACAGTTGATAAAGAAAATGAATAAACAGCAGAGCACAGAAGGCGAACAACAGGTTCAAAGCAGAGCAATAAACACTGAGTACAGTACAGTTCAGTATTCCATAATAATAATAATAATAATAAAAAAGTTAGTTATTAACAGTTTTGAAGTTAAATGATTGATTTATTAACACCAAACAATTACGTGATAAAGGGTGTCAATTTTTTAGTGCTAACCGAATTAATGCTAAACATAGGATACCTGTACATGTCTATCCTAACCTAACCAAAGAAACCAGAAGGACCTGACTAAATCTCCTATCCAGAAGGGTGGACTCCCCTGTATTTAAACTTGTTTGTGAGTAAGAATTGTGAACTCTTGAAACAATCTGCCAGAGTGTTGAGACAGCACCAAGTGTAAGCTCATTTAAAACCAGACTTGACCAACACAGGAGGGGTTAGGGTCAACTCGTACCCAAGACAACTTGTACTCAAGATAACTCATACCCAACTCATGAGATAAGTCGTGCCCAAGATTACTTACACCCAGGGGAAAAAGGAAAACACTAAGTTCCCAAGCGCTTTCATATAATTCACATCTTCAGGGGTGAGTACAGACAAAGGAGAATTACATAACAAGGCATATATATACAGTAGAGGAAGGTGCAAGTAAAGTCTACTATTACCTACGTCTATAGCGAAGTTTTTCAACCCTTGTCAAGATATAATTAAACTGCCAAACATCATAGAAAAACATAAAGCTTACCCTTCGACGGTTTACTCCCATCTCCACCACAGCACTAACATGTTGTACAACAAATCTTTAGAGTTGAGAATCATTGTACCTCTAGACGAATACTTCTACGAGTAATAAAAAAATTATATAGCAATACCTACCTCTGAAATGACAGCTAAAAACACAAGAGAAGGATATGACACGTAGGTAGTTCTGGTTGTGTTGTGTCGGCCACAGGTTGTTGACGTCAGTAGAGCGGTTACTGCCCCGTGCTGTATACACTACTGTACCTCTAAACCTCAGTCTGAGTTTTATTATAATTTGCATAATTTAGAATTTTTCTAAGCCATTCATAATTTTGCTAAGGAAAATTTACTTGGGTGTGGGAGATATTGGCAATTATAATTTCTAAAACCCTCACCGTGATCCCCGAACCACAGCTGTACAAATAACAATTATATTTTTGTACAACAAAGCGATATTTCTAAAAAAAAAAAATAAACATATTCATATTGATAAAATTTACAATTCTCCACCGTTGTAAATTTGTAAAAACAAATACAACTTCACCTGACGCAGGATATTGCATTCTTCCTTCACCACAGACTGGCCAACAGCGCCTAACAGAGACGAGCCCTAACGAGCCGACCAGTGGGGAAGATGATTAAAATAAAAAATTATAATTTCTAATACGTAATACTGTGCCCATACTGCTGCTCGCCGCGTCTAATAATAAAAGACCAAAACTTAAATAAATAAAAACAAATAGCCGACACAACTGTGCTATTGTAGTGGATTTCTCCCCTACAACGCTGTTTGTCGCTGGGTAGCCGACCCCGCGAATTCCCCAGTGTGTGCCTCGTGGTCTAGGTCAACCAGCGCCGCCTTACATGACGGAGGTCAACTACTAAGCCACGCCTACCCCCGCTATTTAAGACCTGACCTCGTGGTGACCGCTCTCTTTTCTACCTACACCAACCAGCCAGCAACACCACCTCCTCCTCCTGCCTGGCGGTCCTCGCTCCCGCCGGCGAGCATGGCGACCCACAAGCTGTCCTTCTCTGAGCATCCTCACCAACCAGCTCTCTTTACATCACGCTTGTAACCATGCTGCCTTCCCAGCACCAAGCTGCATTGTACATCCAATACAACATGTATACGGAGAGCACATTGTGAGTTTCCTTTCTCCATCCCATCCTGAGTGTGAACCAAACATCCTGAACCTCACTCTATATACAGTACGGTACGGAATTCGGGAAATGTCCTAGCGTGGATAGAAGACTTTCTACATGACCGCAAGCACCAAGCAGTGTGTGGTGATTAATGACACGGAAATCATCATCCGTAAATGTCACAAGCGGGGTACCACAAGGAGTGTATTGGACCCGCTGTTGCTTGTTTGTTTCATAAATGACATGCCTGACATTGTACACTCCTCAATAGTACAAATGTTTGCCGATGACGCCAAGTTATTTCGGGAAATCAAGAACCAAGCGGACTGCGAAGAGCTGCAGAAGGACCTCTGTGGGCTCCAAGAATGGTCGAAGAAATGGCTGCTGAGATTCAATGTCAAGAGGTGTAAGAGGATGTACCTGGGGCGTACCAACGGTAAGGAGGTGTATCATATGTCCCAACGGGATGAAGAAACTGCACTATTTGAGACTGAATGTGAGAAGGACCTGGGTGTGTATGTTGACAATGAGCTGAAATTCTCGGACCATTGCAAGAAGAAGGTAAATCAGGCAAATAAATTATTAGGTCTTATAACAAGGTCGTTCAGATATTTAGCGGTCCATCCCTCGTAACGATCTTCAAGAGTGAAGTGCTTCCCCATCTGGAGTACTGTCACCCGGTCTGGTCCCCGAGATATGCTAGGGACTGTCAGTTGGTTGAAAATGTTCAAAGGAAGACCACCAAACTGGTGCCTGCACTTCGGTACCTCAGTTATCCTGAGAGATTGGAGCGCTAAACTTGCCTAGCTTATACTACAGATGGGCAAGGGGCAACTTAATTAAGGTGTATAAGCATCTCAAGGGACACTACTCAGTCGAGTGTCCTTACTTGGAGCTGGCGGACGCTCACCCAACAAGGGGTTACAGCTCAAGATTGAAGAAGCCGCAAATCCTGAAAACTGTGAGAGCAAACTTTTTCGGAGTGAGAGTTGTGAACTTGGAACAATCTACCAGAATGTGTTGTGACGGCACCGAGTGTGAGCTCTTTCAAGACCAGACTTGACCAACACTGGGGCAGGTTCAGGTACATTCAGGAGCCGGTACATGCCCAGTACTTGCCAACAGTGATTAACAGAGACGTGACCGATCGCCCAAGCAGCTAATGAGCCGATCAGTGGAGAAGAGGATAAAAGTAAGTAAAGTAAGGGAATTTTGGGGGTATGCAGCTCTTTCTTTCTAGATTTGGGTGAAAATGAAATTGTAGGGGAAGGAGGGTGCCAGCAGCCATACAGTATGATAACATTTCATAATTACGGTATATACACAGATATAGATAACTCACTTCTTAGCAAATATAACAAACTGTGCTTGAAAATGCACATAAGAAATTTTTATGTGGTGGCAGACATTAATTTTGTTTGAACTAAAGTTATTATAATGTATTAATTATTACAGTAAGTAGTAATAGTAGTACAAAATCCTATTCAGGTGTAGATCTTAAAATGGGGGGGGGGGACTCCCTAAGTTCAAATAGCAACCATACTTTGAGGTTGTGCCAGGTTGGGTTAGGATAGGTTGGGTTAGGATAGGTTGGGTTAGGATAGGGTGTACCAGGTTGGGTTAGGATAGGTTGTGCCAGGTTGGGTTAGGATAGGGTGTACCAGGTTGGGTTAGGATAAGTTGTGCCAGGTTGGGTTAGGATAGGGTGTACCAGGTTGGGTTAGGATAGGGTGTACCAGGTTGGGTTAGGATAGGGTGTACAGGTTGGGTTAGGATAGGTTGTACCAGGTTGGGTTAGGATAGGGTGTACCAGGTTGGGTTGGGATAGGGTGTACCAGGTTGGGTTAGGATAGGTTGTGCCAGGTTGGGTTAGGATAGGTTGTGCCAGGTTGGGTTAGGATAGGTTGTGCCAGGTTGGGTTAGGATGGGGTGTACCAGGTTGGGTTAAGGATAGGTTGTGCCAGGTTGGGTTAGGATAGGTTGTGCCAGGTTGGGTTAGGATAGGTTGTGCCAGGTTGGGTTAGGATAGGTTGTGCCAGGTTGGGTTAGGATAGGTTGTGCCAGGTTGGGTTAGGATAGGTTGTGCCAGGTTGGGTTAGGATAAGTTGTGCCAGGTTGGGTTAGGATAGGGTGTACCAGGTTGGGTTAGGATAGGGTGTACCAGGTTGGGTTAGGATAGGTTGTACCAGGTTGGGTTAGGATAGGTTGTACCAGGTTGGGTTAGGATAGGGTGTACCAGGTTGGGTTAGGATAGGTTGTGTGCCAGGTTGGGTTAGGATAGGTTGTGCCAGGTTGGGTTAGGATAGGTTGTGCTTGGGTTGGGTTAGGATAGGGTGTACCAGGTTGGGTTAGGACAGTTGCTGGGTTGGGTTAGGATGGGTTGTGCCAGGTTGGGTTGGGATAGAGATTGTACCAGGTTGGGTTAGGATCAAGTTGTGCCAGGTTGGGTTAGGATGGGGTGTGTATGGTTGGGTTGGGATGAAAGTTAATTGCCAGGTTGGGTTAGGATGGGAATTATTGCCAGGTTGGGTTAGGATGGGATTGTGCCAGGTTGGGTTAGGATAGAGATTGTACCAGGTTGGGTTGGGATAGGGGATTGTGCCAGGTTGGGTTAGGATGGGTTGTACCAGGTTGGGTTGGGATAGGGTTGCAGGTTGGGTTCACGTTATGTGCCAGGGTATTGTTACAAATTTGGCCAATTTTATTATCAGATTTGGAGACTTGTTCCACCAGGTGACATTTACTCGCATAGTATTATCTTTAGCAACCAAGATTTCAAATTCATCTTTATCTTGTGATTTTATTGAAAACTGCTAGAGTGGCCTATATCTAATAAGTCCCACACCTGGTTTGGTAACATTGTGGGAGAGCTTGGCAGTGTTGCCCAGCTACATTGGTTTCTTTGATATGTTTTTTTATATTTAATGATACATACAGCATTTTATTTGTAATATATATTATTAGGCTCATTTCCACCAGCACAGTTAACCCACAATTTACATGGTTAAAGAGCTCAGGGCTGTCAAGTTGAGCAAGTATTATTCCTCTGTTACATCTATGGTGTTGTGCTGTTATTCAATGTGACAACCAGGAATAAGAAAGATACAGTACCAGTATTTCAAATAATTTTATTGCACGAATTACTAAATTACATTCCACTGATGCAAAAGGATATCAATCAGGTACCGTAACTCTAAAATATAGTCTGATCAGTGGTAGATTTAGGTGTGTGCAGACTATGCAGCCAGACAGCCCCCCCCCCCCCACATTTAAATACAAATGAAATTATAAAAAGCTAGCTCCTTTAAGTATATTTTTATTATGTTACTGTAATTAGTTTCTTAGTAGTACAGTACAGTATACATATACTCTAGCTGGCAACCTGGGGGAGGGAGGAGGGTATATAAGCTAGGATATGCCATTACTTACTCACAAGTTTAAGGTAAAAATAAATTTCTCATATTCTAGACCAAGGATAATCAATGTTATTTTGGGGAGTTTTACTTTTATAACACAACAGCTTGTGGGTGTGTTACTAAATTAAGTAGCTATTGTGAAGCTCAGGGCACCCACATGTCTGAACTGCACAGGGCCCCCACAGGCATAAATCCAGTGCCGAGTCTGTTTATCGTTACGATGCAACTGCCTGAAATCTGAACACATCTGAGACGACCTTCCACTTGTCTTCTTTTGCTGTAATCAGAAATGACTGATGGAACGGGTACTTGCGATCCTTGAATGTGACAAAGCCTGCTGTTGTCACCTGTATAGTTGACTGTTGACCAACTGCTTCTTCTGAAAAATGAAGAATTAGAAATTTATATCCCAGTATAAGACCAAAGGGAACAAATAAATGACCAGAAAAATAGAGCACCCCTGGCAAAACGTACCACCCTGTACTACAGGGTACTATACCAGAGGGTACATAAAGCTCCTGGTTTTATGCAGTCAAATAAGGCTAGGACATGTACAGTGTCTCTGCCACACATTATAGCCTGGTAGGCATCATTAAAGACATCAAACTTGGGACCTTGTGTTTACTGCCCACTCTCCAGTCTAGTACAGTACATACTTCATGAACAGGGTGCACTCCTAGCATCAGCACCACTGTCTGCTTAAATACATTATATAAAGTAATACAGTAATATCTCCGTTAGCCGGAATCCCTCAAACCCGGAAATCTCCGATAGCCGGAATTTAAATCTGCTCAGAAGATCATTCCCAAAGCTGGAATTTTCCAAAAAATTCTGGCTTTGGGAAAAATTTTCCGAGGTTGAAAATTAAGAGAATTTTCTGAAAATGTCTTGAATAAAGATGAAAGTTAGAGTAATTTTTTTTTTTGGGGGGGGGGGGACCTGACCTGACTTATGTCAGGTGGAGGTAGGGTGGGGGATTAGTGGTCTCATATTACTGACCTTCTGATGGAATGTCAGGTCACCCTTACTTAACTGGGGGATTAGTGGGTCTCATGACCTGAAGATGTCTTGAATAAACACGAAAGCTAAAGTATTTTTAGGGAGACTGTAATAAGTATAAGTATAAATGAGCAATTGTATCCCTTCAACATTACATTACATAACATTTTAAAATATGGCGTGAGAAAGCAGAAAGGTGTGGGTGATTAGAGAGATGAAGTGGAAGAATGGTAACATGCACCAGTGTTGCCAAGGGATAAGCAACTGCTCACAGGATGAGTGTGGGGTGCACAATAAATTAGCCGCTGTAAGCGGCAAAATCAAAATCAAATCAATCCTGACATTGTATCAGAAGGTCAGTAATATGAGATCACTAATACCCCACCCTACCTCCACCTGACATTGTGTCAGGTCAGGTTAGTTACACAAGACCCACAAATCCCCTACAGCTCCAAAGGAGTGGAAAATACCAGTCCTTCCTGTAACACAGTTTCATTCAAGACCATATAATATAGATTTTTAATTTAGACTCTTGGAAAACTCCCCAGCACACAGAAACATTCTGAGGATGTGGGTTAGTGCTTGTCTGTGCAAGATGCATAGTTTAGAAACTCGGAAAGTTTTTTCCAGTAATTGGAAACATGTCCGGGGATGGGGGATTTTTCCGGGTTTGAGAAAGTCGTCCAGTCAGCCGGAAATATCTCATCCCCGGAAGTGCTCTGCACCAATTGTTCCGGCTAATGGGAATATCACTGTACTGTACTTCCTTTTCTTCATTCACATTTACTGTGTATCACAATGATATAACTCAAAATTACTTTGTGTAATACAATTAGGAAATGGCAAATTAAAGGCACCTTTAATAGGACAAGAATATAAAGCAATTAAAAGTTAAAGTCACTCCGTAATGTCAGGAATATCAAACACTTGATTGGTAAAGTCATTGTAATATAACAAATACAAAATAACTGGCATGTGATATAAAATAAGCAATAAAAAATTAAAATATTTTACTTTATAGCAAACAAATGAATTTTACACTTCCCTGCCTCTTCTGGATAGGTCTACAGTACTTCCTACCATTACCTTATTCTCAAGTCCATTATTCTCTAAATCCTGAGGCTGATTTGTATCCTATCCATCAAGACTGTGACTCACTTTCATGAAAATTATACAGTAATAAATATCTTATAACAATTACAGCCAGTTAAAAGAAAATCAATGTTTGAAGACTAACCTCGAACAGGCTGTGAGTCTAGGCATGTGATGATGTGAATACTTGTTGGCAGGTCCTCGTAAAACTTTTGGATATTCATACTGCCATCTACTGGATTACCATTCCACACTAATTTGCCATCTTCTAAGTATAATTTGGCCAACTTATGCCTCATCTGAAAAAGGGTAACAAATTACTGCCTTTATATTAAGAATGACCCACTAGAGGTGACCATGCTGAGGGTAGGGGGACAGTTACTTGTGTAGGATCCCTCCACTTTTTTTTTATTGCCAATTTTGTCAAGGGTTATTTTGAAGCCCAGTAATGTTCTTGATTCCACAGCTTGGTCTGGTAGACTGTTCCATAATATTTCCTTATGTTCGGTCTATATGATAACTTGGTGAGTTTGTAGTTAAGCCCCAGGTCATACATACAATTATTGAGTACTGTACAATATATGCAACACATCTAATTCTAAAATGTGGGTCTGATCCTGATGTCCTGTTTTGTAACCAGGGCTGAGCAAATTATTCTGTAATATTTAATCCCACCAGGTTTCTGATGTCCACCCCATTGTGTCTGACCATAGTGGTTAAAAGGGATTGATTTGGATAACCCAGATTGTTGATGATCACAGATTAGGCGAGATATGTTGCAGTGCACCATCTATGGGGCTGAAAAAACAGTTCATTAATTCTGAAAATATTCCCAAATTGGTTAATCCTTCTCGACTGCAACCATCTGACCACAGGACCATGGCTGAAGACTGGAAAGTCTAACCACTGCACTAACATGAGTATTCCATGAACATTATCACTGGCAAACCAAGATCACTCACTTCAGTGTCTGGATGACTATCCCCAAGGAAGATGAAAGTTATGATAGTTGACTGAACTATGCAAGGCTATAAACAGGGCTATAAACTATTAACTGTACATCTCAGGTGACTCAGTTTACTCAGAAGTAAATATAAATTCTATGTTCTACCTCTTGTAATACATCATGGCAGGGTTGGACATTATTTTGACTGATGGGCCACCTCATGAATGGTGGTACATTCGTGGGCCACAGACTTAATATAGATGCAAATGCATAATATTTGCACAAAGTAAGCCTTGTATTTGTATATATAGGATGTAAGGAAAATATTAAGTAACATACATAGATATTCTGGGTAAATAAATACATCACATCTTAGCACAAGCATTCTCTAGGCATGAGCCTTTAGTTTTGGAAATGTACAGCCATTAACCCTTTCACCACGTGGCTCGACTTTATTCACATTTTTATTTTTGTCCTCCACATTCATAAAAAAAAAAACTTCCTGTTAACGTGTAACTCAACTTCAGTCCTTCAGGGTTTGAATTATGCGCCGGCCCAGTAGATGCTGCCACCTAGCGGTGACTGGGGCAAGAAATAATCTAGCAAGCAAAATTTGGCCCGCAGTATCTTGCCCACCCCTGCATCATGGCAAACCTTATGAGTGTAATACCTATTCAGTGTTACCCTTTGTAGGCATATCTGTTCTTACCTTATCTACATATTCATAGTAAAACTTGGTGAAGTTCTCGGCAGCTGTGCAAGCTGATAGTAACTTCAAGCGATCCTGCAAAAGGAAATTACTGTAAATTGAAGTGTAAACATCTTTTAAAATATAATATAATACTTATAACATAAAGTAGGATATAAATAATCACTATGAAGTACTGATAATGATAAACAAATAAGAGGAAACGGGAAACTGCAATTCCATCACCCTTCACAGTGAAGTACAGTACTGTACATAAAGGAGTGTAGAAATATTACATGAGAGGAATGAGATGATGACATATGATAACTTGGGGAAAATGTTAAGGAGATACTGGATATTTTAAGCCCAAATATATTTACTAATGTGTCATGAATTAACCAAAAATGTTTGTACCACAACACTTAGGTCTTAAGAAAAAAAATCAAATTGAGCAACCCAAAAATTAAATTCCTGCAATTCGAAATCATTAATCTACTGCAAGATCACTGTCATGAGTCTTCATTAATCATAAAGACTAGTAGCAGAAGTACCGTAAGTAAAGGTCTGTGACCAGACAAATAACTATACTGTATAGTACAGTATAATTGTTTTCTTAAACATCCAGATTACGTGTACAGGTACTGTACAAAACCCTGGCGATAATGGTGGAGGAAATGGTTAGCACCAAAAATAACTTATAGAATTGCACCAAAATTTCTGGAGATGGTTATCAGCACACACACACACATATATATATATATATATATATATATATATATATATATATATATATATATATATATATATATATATATATATATATATATATATATATATATATATATATATATATATATACAGCTCCTCCCCGACCGCCTCAGTCATACCAAAATTTTGTCAAATTACGTATTTTCGAGTCCCAACGTCAGTGATTGCACTGTCTACTAACAAGAATTAAGCTTGCCAGCCACTTTAAAAGGCTGGCAAGCTTAAAAGTGAGAGTTTTGTGGTGCTGAGAAGAAAAAAAGACACCCATTTTAAAATTTCTATGTATTATTTTCGCCTTTTCGACTTATGACCAATTCGACTTACGATCTGGTCATCGGGACGGAAGCCCGTCGATAGTCGAGGAGAGGCTGTACATGTATATGGTAATTATAAAAACGCCGGATTTTCATTGTTATACCTGTATTATAGTGGAGACTGTTGTAGTTTGTGGAAATATACAGTAGTATATGCAAGTAAATCACTGTAGGTGCGCATGATCCAGGTATATGCTGATAACCACAAGGAAGCAAGAAGTTCCCAAGCGCTTTCATATAATTTACATCTTCAGGGGTGAGTACAGACTAAGGAGAAATACTTGACAAGGCATACATATACAGCATATTCTTGGATCACGCGCACCTACAGTAATTTACTTGATATATATATGGAGGTACAGTATAAGTATAGTTTCTAATTCAGAGGCTACATCACTTAAAAGCCTGGCTGGTGCATCATCCATACTTTGCTTTTATAAACGTTTAATAATTTATGTTTCATTTGCTTTTGCAGGGTTCCAATTTACTAGTTAAGTTCTTTTATTATAAAACCCTCAAACACTGTACAGTTCAAGGAAGCCATTAACAGCTACGTTATATATCTTCTAGTTGAGATAGCTTTGGTTTTGATGATCTGGTTTGTTTATTAAATGAAATTCAATGACAAAAAGGCCTGTCTATATCAACAAGCAACATATAGGACCGTATTTTACAAAATATCCAATTGGTTAAAACAAACGTTTTAGTGAAATGCTCATAATATATTCACAAACAAGCGCCTTATTTAAGTACTATAATAACCAAATTCATTCCCGTCATGTATATATACATTTATGGCAGCTCGAATTTCTTAAACCTTTGTAGTTTTAAAGTATTCCATAAGTTAATAACTACAGAGACATTCTTCAGGACAAAATAATAAGCCAGCCTCAAATAATATGGTTTTTCATTTTCCTGAAGCCCAAGTTGAGACTCATAAACTTACACACACACACAAAAAAGTATCTACTATCTTCCTCCATTCATCTAGTAACCACATTTCATCGTTTTAACCAGGTAAATGGGCCATACATAAGGAAGGTCGGGCAGCACTCACCGTCTCCGCCGCCATTTCGTGGGTTTGTTACTGGTGATGGAGCTGTAGTGGAAAATTCATTCAACTCCCACAAGTTTCAGATTGTTTCATGTCATTATGCTTCGGTAACACAGTAAGCCAACTAGTTTTAAAATGTTTAACGTTTATATTTAATCTAAAATATGTTTCGGGGAGAATATTTATATATCTTATAATAAATCGTTAGTTTAAAAGGAATTAATGTTAGTTAGTGTAGCGCGTCTGGTTGATGGCAATCAGCTGGCGAGATGTGACAGTTCAGAGGAACACATTCCGTAGTAATGGTAGCGCCTCCGTCATACAGTACTATTATGTATTATCTTACAAACACAATAGTTGTCTCATCTACTGATTAATGTCATATACAAACACCACTAACATAATTAACAAACTAATCAATTAACGGTGCTGGCGTAACTTTCGGCCCTTTAAATCTTCATTGTATATTTTATTGAAGTGCAGTTTTGACATTACTACAATACCAAATTGATTCCTAAATAGCTTTTATAATATATAACATTAGTAATAAATGCTAAGAAAATGTTAATGACTCCAATGTCGATACCATTCCAATTTCTGAATTGTACAGACTTGTTCCAGCAACAACTATTATTCTATGGTATTACCTTTCAATTTTTAGAAGAATATAACCGAATAAATTACCAATACTTATTACGAATATAATATGTTTGATTTATTAAGAAAAGAGGTGAAAATTAATGAGGTATATACACTTTTAAACATTTAAATATACTTAATAAAGTGTAGGTTGTGTGTAATCTCGCCGATCCTCGCGGGGTCTCGCTGGGTCTCGTCCGGATCACGTGACCCAGAGAGACGTTTATTTTTTCCCACCACAATGGCGCCAAGCCGTATATGTACATTTATATGTAATTTTAGTCTCTTCCGCGGTGGTTTTATCGTTGTTCAGCACTGTTTTAGGATGTAAAGAGATGCAGTGTTTGCTGTCCCGCATGAAAGGTGTTGATAAGGTAAGTGACTGGGCTGTAATTTTAGTGTTAATATGAGTCCCTTGGTAAATAATTGGTTGTCAGACAGAAACAACACACCTCTCGCTCAATATTTTACCATTTACCTCCCCCTGAAAGATGGAAATGGTGTCTTATCGATGATTTTACTTATGTATGGTGGATACGAGTTATGACATGAAAGAAATAAGTGAAAATGATAGTGAAGAACGAGAGAAATAAGCTCCGAGTTAAAAAGTGGAAATTGCGCAGTGCTGCCATCTATCAAGCCACAGCCTACAATATCTTAGTGGATATTTGGTTATATACGTTTTAACCTTCAGTGACAGTGTATTTAGGGTGAAAAACCTCTAGAAACTTGTAAGTGAAGTTGGAAATGAAGGTTTAGTAAAGATATAGGAGTGTGAGGTGAGGGTGAGGGGTCCGGGCTGCCCTCCTCTGCTCTGTTTATGTTTGGCAGTGGGCCATTGATTTTCATATCTGAAAGTAATTTCGAAAGATGTCTGGAAATTTGAGGCTAAAAGTGACTTCAAGCATCAGAAAGTATATTGGAAAGTTGTCTTATAGATGATTCCAAGTGAGAAAATGGTGAAATGTTGAAAATAGTGAGTGGAGGGGGGCAGGGCTGTGAGAAAGACACCTGCCAATTTGACATCCCGGGTTACAAGTCTGTTGTGTTACCTGACAGGTAAAGTGTCCTTGTCAAATGTAACATCTGGACCTTCCACACATTACGTTATGTTTCCTTACACAAGTTTACATTATTTGAGGGTGATGTGAGAGGTTGTTAATGGTAGTGGGTGGTGGTGGCAACTGTGTTGTTTACATTCTGCCACACACACATGGTAGGCCTACCTGCTCTGTCTACCAGGGTTCACTTCAACTTTAATTCATTATATCGTGGCCAGTTGTTAGGTAATATCACTCTATATGGTTTTTAACATTCTTTTGCACTCACTAGCTTTAAATGTTTGGAAAAATGTTCAATAGATCTACATTGTTTTAGTGAATACATTAATTAGTATTTTGTTGTTTAATAGTGAGATTTTAGTTGAAGTTAATATAATATGTAGGTATTTATGAAATCATGAGGGCCCTTGGAAGGTTTATTGAATGATCTGTGAATCATTTAATGTAAAAACTTGGTGAATGAGACTAATAATTTTCATGGATGTAGAAGGTAAATTGAATCATTATGATTACTGTATTATAAATAGTTTTCTTTGGAGTTTCCTGTTGCTATATCACATGACCTACTGTATTTGTGTTATGAGTTGATTTTCATGTGTAAAAAATCATTTGTACATAATGACTTTCTTAATGTGACTTCTTTGTAGTTATATTAGACTACAATATATATATATATATATATATATGTGTGTGTGTGTGTGTGTGTGTGTGTGGAGATAATAGGACGAAATTAAAGACTGGCATATAAATACTGTGTGTCACAATCTCCATGAATTAGATATATAATATGTTCAGACTGGTTTGTACTGTATTAATGTACTAATAATAGTTCAAAGTTTAAGGTAAGACAACTGGGGATGTGCAGAGACACCTCATGGAGTTGAAGACATTACATTTAGAGATTTTCAACATAATGAAATATCAGATTATAGCACATGAACTATAATTTTTCTAATGTTTTTGTCTTACATATCAGTAGGGTGAGCAGACTGGAACTTGCTCACCAACCAGCGATCTTATCTACCAGTTTACAGTACAGTTGAAACATATTCGTACTAAAATCTTTAAAACTCTAAGATTAGATTTATACCAAATAAGCAACAACTTATAGCTATATTATAAAAGTGATAGAACTTAAAAACTTGAAAGGCTGTATTTACTGATTTAGAATTTTTCAGGTTGTGATCAGGGATGGAGTGAATACAAGAGTTCAGTATTCGAATGCGAATACGAATACCCGGTACTTCTAATTTCTAAGAATACGAATACAAAGAAACAGTGTCACTCCGAATGCGAATACAAATACTTTATGAGAGTACAGTATTCATGAATGCATTCATGAATACTATTGGTTAGACAGCTAATGTTTATTGCTTTAAGTAAGGTATGTTATGCAATGGTTGGTATTCAATATATCAAACCTGTCCTGTGTAGATATATTTATACTTTCCCAGTAGTTATAATAGAAACAACGTAGTATCATCATTAGTTATTATACTAAACCTACTCCATTTCTAACTTCCAGACAGGCTGCAGGCAAGCATTTTTGCTGCCATAGTGCATGTTTGGCACAAAATATAATTGTTTTTTTCCAATTACCTATAATAATGACTGATATATGCAGTATATATGTAAAATTTAAATTTAATTTCAAGTTGGAGTAAAGAATTGTTAAAAAAATATTTCTGCTACATTTTGGCATCATATGGGCATACATCTCGCACGTTATGAATGCGTCATGTTATTTACTAATGTATGGGTATTTCTATCAATAAAGCAATTATTCATAATCAGATTGTCTTACGAATATGAATACGTACTGTACTTTGCCCAAGGATTCGAATAGGTATGCAAATACTGTTCTTGGATTTCTAATAGTAATGTACTGTACGGTACTGTATTTGAATATGGATACCCTGAATTGCTGTACCTGTACAGTATACATTTGAATATAAATACAAATACTCAATCCCTGGTTGTGATAAGTTGTAAAATACCAAAATATATATTATCTTGTTTGGAAAAATATTTTTAAGGATATATCTGGGCCTATTTATTTATGCTTCAATGACTAAGATAGGCTTTAAAATGACTGTTAACTGCTGCCCAAGCTCATTATCTGGTACTCGAACAACCCTCAGAAACCATTCCTAATGCAGTTCTGATGGAAATAGCATACTCCTTAGAAACGTATTCCTAATTATAGGTTTTTATTTTGGGTTAAGGAGCTCAGTGGTCGAGTGGATACAATGCTCACCTCCAATTCCAAGGGTCGGTGGTTCGATTCCTGGGCACTCCGAGTTCACCCAGCTGTAATTAGATGCTATACCTAAGTCTACAACTTAGGGTAGTGAATGTTGTATGAGCCGTGCTGCTTCCTTGTATACTGAAGGTTTAGTATACAGTGTGCTGTATCCACACTCTTTAACGGGCAGTTGTGTCTATGGGACCCACTTTTATTTTCACTTTATTTTGGGGTTTGGGTTGGTTACAAATTTTAGACTATTACACAACCACCCTGAAGACCAATTGGAGGAAATATGACACCTGTCAAGTACTGGCCTCAGAGGTGGTTCATTACTACTGTACCGTAATAATTAACAGAGTGAACACTACTCCCTTTCATTACTGTACCAGTAATATTGACTATGGTAGTAAGATCATTATCGTTTTTCATGGTTGCAGTATTAATACAAATTATCCTTTTAGGATGCATTCAATACTTCAGGGAATGAAGCAGCTGCTTATAGATAATATATATATATATATATATATATGTATATTTATATATATATATATATATATATATATATATATATATATATATATATATATATATATATATATATATATATATATATATATATATATATATATATATATATTTATTATTTTTTTATTATTTTTTTTTAGTGGTTTGCTTTAATTTGTTGCTTTATGGCGCATCACCTTTTTTTCACCACCATCTATAATGTAAGCTCATATTTTGTCTGTGGGCCTGATGATTTAATTTTCTTATTAATTTTTGTATAAACAAGTAAAAGTAGATTCCATGTCACTTTTGTATGTACATTATTACCATTAGTGCTGTACTGTATCAGTAGCTAACTCATTAGCATATTAGTGATAAACTCTAACTATACTGTACTGTAGTACTGTACTGTCTTTACAGAATATCTTTTAGATGCTTTTGCTACATATTAATTAAACATTTTGTTAATAGGTTTCAGAAGAACAAGTATCCAAATACAGTAGCTAGTAATGGTACTAGGTTACCCAACAATTTTTTTGGGAGAAGTCTGACATCTTGATGGCTTGATTATTTGTTATTAGCAGAGAAAGATTTAAAAGTAGTAGCATTACAAATATTGCCTTTATTGCAATAGAATACCTACTAGCTGATAGTTACTGAAATAGTTTCTCAATGCTTATGCATTCTTCTTAGATTTTTCCCATAAAGTATTACCTATTTACTGTACAGTATATAATTGTTGCAGGTGTAACCATGTTGTAGGTTTGTCATTAAAAAGTTAAAAGGTTAATGAATTACACTGTGTGTAAAGTTATCAATTCAATTTATTTTAATTCTTTTAATTTGTTAAAGCATTTACTTTGTATTTAACATTACAGTGCTGAACTTTATTTAATCAGAGTGGTAATGTTTGTATCTCTCAAAACAGTTAGTTCAATTCCTGGCTTAGTACAGATGTAAGAAGGGTGTTATCCAGTGTCACCCTATCAAACATGGCAGGTTTATTTGGGATACAACAGTTTCCTCCTGTACTAAAACTGACAATGTAGGACAAACTCATGAGATACAATGGGAGTTAGGTTACAAGATATAATGGGTGTTAGGTTAGGTTACAAGATACAATGAGGGGATCAAGCAAATCAGTTGCTTCCTTTCTCCATCAAAGTGGAAAGTAAAAAAATAAATAAGTTTGAAAACATTCAGTTTTAGTGGCACATGCTTTTTATCTTACTAATGAAAATGAAATATGTACCAAAATACATTTCTCACATAATTTAAACCATTTTAAGAGGCAAGTGGTTACTTTCATTAAGTTTATTTCTATGAAGCAACAAGTAGGCCTCTTCCAAATTAACCACCTCTGAAGTGTATTTGGCTTCAGCAGGCATTGACAATACTGTTTCATTCATTATTTTCTTGTTGTTAAAATCAAGTTTAATTTTAATACAGTTTGGTGAATCGGTCAAATGGGCCTCATCATTATAATAATAATAATCACCATTTTACAGCCATTTTCCATGCTTGCATGTGTTAACCATGATTATATACCTATGGAAGCTCTCTTGCAGCCTCTCATCAAATTCTTGTTTCTGAGGTTGTTACTACCTCTTTCATGTCATTTGTTGCCTATCCCTAGCTCTCCTTCATTCCACACTCAGAGCCGGGCCTCTCTTGTCCCAATTTTTATTTATTTTATTTTTTATTTATTTATATTTTTTACGGGGATTAGCCAACCCTGTCACAGGTCACTGACCCACATCGGGGCCTAGGGGGCGAAAATATAATAATAATAATAAATAGTAATAAAAAATCATCGTAAATAAAATTTATAATAAAAAATAAAATAATAATAACAACTCTAATAATAATAATAATAATATTAAAAATAATAAAGAACCATAAATACAAAAATGAAAAAAAAATCAAAAGTGAGAAACAATATATGTATGTTGTGTTGTCAATAGTAAGAGAAACAATTTTCGTGAGGCCATATGGCTGCAGGGTCCACCATTAGACAATACATTATACAGCTCCTCCCCGACTTACGACCACTCGCACTTACGACCTGCCTCAGTCGTACCCAAATTTTGTCAAATTGCGTATTTTCGAGTCCCAACGTCAGTACACAGAAAATTTTCGTTTGTAATTCACGTTAAAATGGCTGGCAAGCTTAAAAGTGAGAGTTTTGTGGTGCTGAGAAGAAAAAGAGACACCCATTTTATATTTTACATGTATTATTTAAGCATTTTCGACTGACGGCCACTTCGACTTACTACCTGGATTTGGGTCCCTAACCTTGTCATAAGTTGGGGAGGAGCTGTACTTTCAATATCTTCCCAGGCAGTAGTACCTCCCTGTTTGATAGCTGCAGGAGCTGTCTGCTCCACATGCCCAAATGATCTCAGCTTGAAAAGACAAAGTGGATACTATAGACATTGTGCATACAGCACACCATGTAGTAAGCCTTTGTTGTGCAAAGAGGTAGTGTGACAGGCACTCATACTTGACTGCCTTCATTTTCCCAGTTTTGAGAAGTTAGGTATATATATATATATATATATATATATATATATATATATATATATATATATATATATATATATAATATATATATATATATATATATATATATATATATATATATATATATATATATATATATATATATATATATATATATATATATTTATTTATTTATTTATTTATTTATTTATTTATTTATTTATTTTAATACCAGATAACATCACACTTCTTACCCCAGTTGCATAATCTTTCCTTTCACATTTAGCGATCATCCTTTTTAAGGCAATGGTTCCCTAAACTTCTTCCAGCCACTTCTGGTGCTTGTAACTGAGCTAGTTTTTGCACCCTCTCCAGAAGTTTAAGCTCTCGTTCATTGCCGTAACCACTCGTACGAAACACATTTTGACCCCTAACTTTCTAATTTCCTACTGCACTAGCTACCCTACATGGTACCATCAAATGCTTTGTCCAAAGCTGCAAATGCTAAATGTAACTTAAGTCTTTCCCAAAATATTTTTCTTGTACATAGTTACCCTGGCTATAAATATTACCTCTGTAGTCTTTGCTGTGAACCCAAACTGCATTTCAGAGGTCCCTTCTCAATTTTCTCAATTATGCTTTCCATAACCTTTATAATCTGATCTAACTGCTCCAGACATCAATAATTTCCATGATCGAGTACATCGCCTTTTCCTTTTAAAGTATTCATCATCCTGCTGCTCAGTCAGTCAGCTGGAATTATACAGTCCATCATAATTGCATTAGTTCTGTCACTATTGCCATACCATCATTGTGTAATGCTTTCATCATTTCCGCAACTATTCCAGAGCTACCAGCAGCCTCCATTCTTCATTTTGTCAATTCACTTTCTTGCCCATTCTTAGGCATAGTCCATTTATTGTACTGGTTCTGTTGCATTATATTCTCTGTATTGGTTCTGTTGCATTATATTCTCTATACTGGTTCTGTTGCATTATATTCTCTGTATTGGTTCTGTTGCATCATATTCTCTGTACTGGTTCTGTTTGCATCATATTCTCTGTATTGGTTCTGTTGCATCATATTCTCTGTACTGGTTCTGTTGCATCATATTCTCTGTACTGGTTCTGTTGCATCATATTCTCTGTACTGGTTCTGTTGCATCATATTCTCTGTACTGGTTCTGTTGCATTATATTCTCTGTACTGGTTCTGTTGCATCATATTCTCTGTACTGGTTCTGTTGCATTATATTCTCTGTACTGGTTCTGTTGCATCATATTCTCTGTATTGGTTCTGTTGCATCATATTCTCTGTACTGGTTCTGTTGCACATATTCTGTATTGGTTCTGTTGCATCATATTCTTGTATTGGTTCTGTTGCATTATATTCTCTGTATTGGTTCTGTTGCATCATATTCTCTGTACTGGTTCTGTTGCATCATATTCTCTGTATTGGTTCTGTTGCATCATATTCTCTGTACTGGTTCTGTTGCATCATATTCTCTGTACTGGTTCTGTTGCATCATATTCTCTGTATTGGTTCTGTTGCATCATATTCTCTGTACTGGTTCTGTTGCATCATATTCTCTGTATTGGTTCTGTTGCATCATATTCTCTGTATTGGTTCTGTTGCATTATATTCTCTGTATTGGTTCTGTTGCATCACATTCTCTGTACTGGTTCTGTTGCATCATATTCTCTGTATTGGTTCTGTTGCATTATATTCTCTGTATTGGTTCTGTTGCATCATATTCTCTTGTACTGGTTCTGTTGCATCATATTCTCTGTACTGGTTCTGCTGCATTATTTTACACACCATTGTTCACCAACTATATCTTTCTTTCTATTCACTTTATTATTCTGTACTATACCTCACTTTAGACATCTGCCACACCATTCATCTTATCTGCAAAGGCATTCTGTTTATATTTCTTAAACCCTGTAAATCTCTTCTAGCCCTGTGCTTGGATTCCAGGTACTCGTTCTTACCTCCACTTCTTCTAGGCCTTGTGTATTTTTCTTTTCTCCTTTATATCTTTATCCACTTCATCATTCCACCACGATGTTACTGTATGTCTGGCTGGACCACAAACCTTGTCAGCAGCACTTAACAGAGCATCCTTTATTGTGGCCCAGCAACTCTCTATGCTACTTCTCATACTGTTGCTTTGAGAAGTGTAAAACTATTCCTGTAGCTGCATTTGGTTCCTTCAATCTTTGCACTCTCTTCAGAACAAACACCTTATTTTTTTTCCTTCTGTTTACCATTGTAACATGATATTTGTGTTGTATGGTACACCTTCCCTTCTATCTTCATTACATCTCAAAGAAGCTTCTTGTGTGATATCATACTGGTATTTTGTACCACTTGACTCATATGTTATCAGCCTTCTCTTCCTCTTCTCAAACAGTCCATAACTAGTAGCCATATTCAGTTCATCACAAAACTCAAGTATTCTTTCATTTTTAGGCCTCCTCTTTATAAAGTCTCATCCACTCTGCACACTTGCATAACTTTTAGGCCAAACACTACAGTTTCCCTTTCACCGAGCCTTAATACTACATGCAGCAACTCGTCTCATTGCAGGAAATGGGAATACTGTAGTACCTTTAATTTTGAAATTATAATGAGTATGCCTTACTAAAGTTTTATTAAGATGAAAAGAATGCAAAGGAGGGTGTGAAGATCAATGAATACAGAATTTGATTGTAATAAGTAATTTTTGGGGCAATAGTAGGGAAGGGGGAAACACCAAATGAACCACTTAGGCCAGTGGAGTAGAACTGAAAGAAGAGAAAAAATAATTGACTGTAGTAAAGAGAACAAGATGATTATTCCTGGTGGCAGACTGTGTTAGATCATTTTCTGGTCAGAAGATTAATGATGCCAAGACTTAAGAAATTAATAAGAAGATACAGTGGTTGGATAAAATAATGTGGGGTTTTTGGTAAGCTGGTGCGATAGAATATGATATTAAATACCATGACGGACATATGGCACTGAACGAGACATAATTCACATCAGCAGAATGAATTACTCTACCGTAAGAAAAAAATAATATTAGTGGAAAACTGAAAGGACAAGAGAATAGCCAGAATGAAACTGATATGATCACAAAGAGAATATAATGGACAAGATAAGAAGTTGAAGATATGACTTATAAAAACATCAGAAAAGAAATTAAGAAGAAAGATAGATGGGATGAGAAAATTAAAAATAAAGTACAGTATTGCAGGGAGGTAGAAGATCATGACAAGAGATGTAACTGCAAGAAAATGTAGAAAATGATTAAAGAAAAGAAACACAAAATAGGACACAAATGGTTGGGCCTGTAAAAAGAAGATCCTGTTTGAGGTATAAGAGTAAAAGAAATGTTGGTGGAGTATGTAGAATAACTGAATAAAGACAAGGGGACAAGCACAGCTCTGGTCACCTGTTTGCCAGAAGGTATTGAGGCAGTAGTTACTGTATTTTAACCTCTACCTTTGTCAAAACAACAGACTATTGGTGAACTGACTATATGCAGTTATCATTTAATGTTGAGGATCTGTTCATATAGTACTGTAGCTGCAAGAAGAAAGTGTTTTTTATGGGGTACTATACAATATATTTGACACATTTTTGTTTTAGATTAATTTTATGAATTTCCCTGGTGAATTTCGTTTCAGTGAAATTTATATATTTGCCCATGAGGATTGCATTCTTAAAATTTTTTTTGTATTCTTTTACAGAATCCCCAATAGTGGACTGTAAGAAATTATGACAAGGTAAAGATGTCAGCGCGCATCAAGAGACAGCTGAGCAAGGCTGTGGGCTCAGCTGAGGGGGGAGGGGGCGCCCCATCTGCTGCTGCACGCAAAAAGCGCCGCATTGACAACTCTGGTTCAGACGATGAAGAGCGATCTGTATGGACACCTAAACATCTGGGCGATCTGCGGGCATACAACCGGTCCGCTTCAGAGGCCCCGGCTGAGGTGTGTTAATTCTTATTATTTCTGTTATAACTTTGGTCAGGATCTCACAACTGTACCAAATACAATACCGAACTATAGTTAGCACGCCTTGGGGCTGTAACAAATTTGATAGATTATCCATCACCTTTAGTTTGGGGTTACCAAAGGTAAGAAGCACAGCATGAGAAGCATCTACAGTGGTCCCTCGGTTAACGAACTCAATTCGTTCCAGAGGGTCGTTCGTTAACCGAATCCATCTTTTCAAAGGGATTTTGGGTAATTGGTTCCAACTCACTGAAAATTACATACAAAGTAAAAAAAAAATGCAGTTAAGTACACTTACTTTGAGGTGTGTATGTAGAAGGCTCCTGGTTCATGATGCTGATGTGAATTTGAAGTGGGAGGTGGAGGAGGAGAATGGAGAAGAAAAGGAAGTGGAGGTGGAGGAGAACCATTTTACTGCTTCTTGGAAGGTGAGTCACCTTCCATAATAATGTTAGGAACCTCTGGACTGACAGATTCTCCCGCAGGAAAATCCTCTCTCCTTTTTGAAGTGGAAGGCTGAGGGGTAGCATCTTTCTCCCGCTGCCTTTTAGTGAAGAAACTGTAAATTTTTGGTTGTGGGGCATTTCTCCTCCTGATCATTAACTGATTTTTGAAAAAGGAGACCACTTTGTCCTCAACATTACACAAAATAGGTTCTGTTGTTTCCACATCAGGGTGCCTTGAAGCCAGTTTCCTGAACATCTAGTAGTGAACAACATCTTTTAAATCGGAAGAAGACATATGGTCATCAATTTCCCTTTCCTCCTCACCACTGTCAGTTTCTAACATCTCATCCAGTTGCTTCAAGTCTTCAAGAGAAAGTTCCTCCTCATGAGACATCACAAGCTCTTCCACATCCTCCTCCTCATGAGACATCACAAGCTCTTCCACACCCTCCTCCTCTACTTCGAGTCCTATTGAATGACCAATGGACACAATCTCCTTGTCCAACTCTGTTTCTTCCTCAAATCCCTCAAAATCATGGACTGCTGATGGCCACAGTGCTTTCCATGCAGAATTCAGGGATGGAATGGAGACTTCTTGCCATGATGACACAATCAATTTTACAGCCTCCAGGATGTTGTATTGCATCTTCCAGAACTGTGCCAGTGATAGATCAGGATCAGTGGAAGTTGCCTGATGACACCTCCTGAACATTTTCTTCATGTACAGCTTGAAGTTGCTGATTACATTTTGGTCCATTGGCTGCATGATTGATGTAGTGTTTGGGGGCAAAAACAACACTTTGACAAAGTCAAATCTAGCCTCCAAAGTGCTGGCAAATTCAGGGTCATGACCAGGGTCATTATCCAGAAGGAGAAGAGCCTTTAAAGGGAGTTTATTGGTGTTTAGGTAGCTCTTCACTGAAGGGCAAAACACCTCAACAGCCCATTCATTAAAGAGCCGTCTTGTTACTCATGCCTTACGGTTGGACTTCCAATAAACTCCAAGTTGTCCTCTTACCACCTTTTGTTGCTTGAACACCCTGGGGTTCTCAGAGTGGTAGACAAGCATAGTCTTCAGTCGGAAATCCCCTGAAACATTGGCATCAAGCAATAGAGTGAGATTGCTGTGGAAGATAATTTTCTTCATCAATTAGTTCCTTGAACTCCACTACAATTGCTGCTCCTTCTTTATCTGCACTGACAGCTTCACCATGCCTGACAACACTAAAAATGTCACTTCTTTTCTTAAATTTATCGAACCAGCCCTTGCTGGCCCTAAACTCTTCAAAGTCAGTTTCAGAAGAACTAGGTTGATCTTCCTTCAAATGTTCGTATATTTCCCTGGCTCTTTCACAAATAAATTTAGTAAAAATTGAATCTCCTTTCATTTGTTTTTCTTTACTCCAAATAAGAAGGAACACCTATGTTTCTGCAATTAATGATCTACCTTTAAACACTCTGGTAGATTTGTCTCTCACTTTCACTTCTTTAAATTTGTCTTTCTGCGAAAGAATTGTCGACACAGTTGATGCCGACATGCCATATTCTATACTAAGCACATTTGTTCTAATGCCTTCTTCATGTTTCTTAACGATTTCCTGTTTCACTTGAATTGAAATCGCCTTTCTAGATTTCTTTGGACCCATGCTGGATTCAATACAGTAATTTCACCACAAAAATTTTAAGTTCATTAGCTGTAATTAAAGAGTATTTTCTTTAAATCAACACTGCACTATATATTATCAGTATGTTCAATAAATTTCAGAATGACCAATAAATGTATTGTAAAATCATAAAAATACTCTGTGTTCAAGAGACCCTCAAGCAAGATGTTTCCTCCACTGAACAGAGACTTAAACAGACGCCTTGGTGGGTGAGTGAAGTGGCTGATGGGCGTACCATAAACTAGTTCCCTGTACTGCAATTATGTTAAATAAGTGTTAAAATGACTAATAATTTTAATATAAAACTTGGAAAAATGTTGAATAGCACAACCTTCTTGATATTTACTCCAATGGAAGCGAATGTAAGCCTAGAACCGATTACTGTGTTGGCGGACTAACCTACCAGCCGATGAGCAAGCCAAAACATGTTGACATGTTTCCGTAAGAATTTCGTTAACCAAATTTTTTTTTGTTAACCGAATTGAAGATTCTTATGGAAAGTAATTCGTTGACCGAAATTTCGTTAACCGAAGCGTTTGTTAACCGAGGGACCACTGTATTCATTTGTTAACATCAGTTACATACCACTCAGACCTAAACAGCTGCTTCAGATTTCAGTTCCTCTGTCTGTAGGTGGGGTGATCTGCTCTGGCTTTGAGTTTCCTGACTGCTAAGTGTTCTCTTTGTGGTACTTAATATTTCCATAGGGTGTTCTGTGGCCATGCAGGTGGAAGTACTTATGTAGGTTTTTAGATTGTGTTGCAAGAGTATTTACTGTCACAACTCTCAGGGTCCCAACCATTCACCCACCACCCTCACACTGCCTAGTCTAGCAGAGTGCATCACGCTCTTTGTCGCCTTTTCACTCGTGAAAAGGGTGTGAAGTCCCTGAATGGGTATATAAATTTCATAAGCGAAATGCATATGAAAGCACTTAAGAGAGTTAAAGGAAATTTATAATTTTTTGCGTCATAGTGAATCTACATAGCATGGGGCTGCACTCATCTGGACTCCCGGTATTTATCATTAATTTTTTTAGGGTTTTAGATCAGAGTCACAGGCTTTTAGTTATTTGCTGGTGCTGTATAATATAATTTGTAGATACTGTATTAGAGATGAGTCTTAAAAATGGACATTGATGACCAAAGTGTACATGTTAAAGGGTTAATGGCTGGGATCATTTAAGGATTTTTAGTGAGTTAAATTTTTCTGTTACACACTGTACTGTGTAAAAATCTAAACCCACCTATTTTTCACCTTTTCACTCACTCAGCATGTGGTAATTGTAGATTATAAAGGTTTGATAACTAATTCATTGGATTTTGTTGCAGTTGTTTCGCAAGGACCTGATCTCAGCAATGAAACTTGCGGACAATGAACCACTTAGTTCAGATGATTATTGGGGCATTGGTGATCCGTGGAAGCAGGAATGGGAACGGGGTGTCCAGGTCCCCGTCAACCCTGATTCCCTACCTGAGTCTACTGTCACTGTCACTGTACAAAGACCACAGCGGGATCGCGATGCTAATTTTCGGCTGTAAGTATTCCATTGGTGAGAGTTGTAAGTATCCTAGGCACCAGCTCTTTGTTATTGCAGAAATTATTATGATAAAACACCAACTTCATATGGGAGGACTCAAACTTTTATATTTTTTGCTCTTAGATATAATGTTTGTCTTAGCCTAACCAAAAAGTTGTGGAAAGCTAAATTCTCAAGAAAAAATGTTAAAATCGTAGTTGATGATATTCCTTGTCCACAGTACAGTATGTTTTGGGGGTATCATGTCCATCTTTTTCCATAATATCAGACTTGCCATTTTACATAATAAAAGCTTGTACTTCTACATGTTCAGATTGAGACACATGGGACTTTATTACCCTTTAAAGGATTTGCCAAACATAATGAGAGTCCCAAATGTAGTTCATTGAGTCAATATTTCTTCATTCTTTTCTGTTTTTTATGTTGGTTATTCCACTTTGAGCTGGGGAGTTTTTCTCTTGCCATCTGTAGTAAACTGTTTTTTGCCACTTGTGTAAATCAGACCCCTTTAAAAGTTAGAGTTTCCTTTCTTGAAATTGGTTTAATAATACTGCAATATCACATTAAATTTTTATTAATGCTCATCACAAGGTAAATTCTCAACCTAATTTTCCACCACTCAAATAGTCCTCCTCCATACTAACGTGTCATTATTAGTTCCTCAGTTTTATCTGAAACTACTAGCTTCTAATACAGTACAGTACTGTATTTTAATGAAATGTTTATTCTCCAGAACTAAGGACAAGTTTATCCGCGTGAACCATGATGACTTCTTCAGTAACGAGCAGCACATCCTCAGCAACCTCCCAACCAAGGCGGAGAAGATGTGCCGCTACGACATGGATGATCTAGATGACAAGTGGTTAACTGCTTATAATGGAGAAAGAGCAAGAATGGGTAATTCTTACACTTATTCTGTTTTACTACTTTTTGATGCACAATTGGTGAATAGAGAATTGTTGATATAGTAGTGTCAATACAAGCAATAAATGTGCAGTAAAGCCTCGAATAACGACGGTAATGTGTCCTCCAATATTGCAGTGTAAGGTGAATCATCGTATCATGAATCATTAATTACCATTAAAATAAAGCAAAAATAATGAGATGCGTTCCCAAGTCAGACCTTTCCATATCTTTTTTGGCTTTTTACCCTCTTTTCCCCATAAACAATAAAATTAATGAAAAATGCAAACTATATTCTTTAAATAATGTTTGTAAATGCACATTATACAATATAAATGAATAATAAGATGGTCACACAAGAGGAGATGGGATGCCATTGTTTTCGTTAAGTGTTTGCAACCGGGAGTCCGGGACGATGATTCGACATAAGATAATGAAGAAAATAAGACCCTGGTTGTAACTGTACTAAGATTAATGTAAAAAAAAATAATATATATGTTTTAAGTAGTATTATTTAATGCTAATAAATGAAACAATAGAAGTAGCTAACCACTAATGGCAAAGAAAAAAATGGATTGGGAACGCCCAAGTATACGTGCTCATTTAAGGAAACAGCGTCATTTATCTTAAGAATATGTACAAAAGATTCATTACTGTTTATTACTGAATATGTATTTGATTGAATTAATCTTTATATATGTGAAATGAACAATGCAATTAATTTATGATACGTAGAATATTAAAACACACGTGAGGATAAGAGACTGCATTGTTGTCAGTGTTTACACCCATAATTCAGTTATCCACCTGAAACTGAAAAATAGACTCTGGTTATTGTTATAGTAAAATTAATGTAAAAAATATGCATGTTTTAATGTTATTTAATGTACAGTAGAAGTAACCACTGATATTAAAGAAAAAAAGTGAAACTGATAGTGGAATGCCAATGTATACGTGCACACTCAAAGAAACATGGTCATTTATTATTGTTTATAACTGAAAATGTATTTGATTGAATTAATGTTTATATATGTGAAATTAACAATACAATTCATTCATAATATGTAGAATATTAAAACACACAAGAGGAGACGAGACGGCATTGTTTTCGTGAGTGACGATGGTTCTACATAAAAAATGAATACCTCTATGTATGTTTTAAGTAATGTTATTTAATGTTAATAAATGGAATAATAGAAGTAGTTAACCACTAATGGTAAAGAAATTAAAGCGAGACGATTGGGAACGCCAACGTATGTAAGTGCGTACATGTCAAAACATATCGTCATTTCTCTTCATAAGAATATGAAAGCAACACTTATTTACTGTTCATATATGTTTTAGATAATATTTACGAATATAAAACAAAAATTCTACTCACCATTGGTGGTAAAGTCTAAAACATAAGGACAGCCAATGATGATGTGTGAGTTTTTACTCAGATGACGAAGTCATCAGGTTCACCTCTGGCTGAAGCTGTAGCTTTCCATAAAGCTGTTGCTGAAACTGTTACTGAACCTGAAGTTGATGTTGAAGATGCTTATGATGCTGAATTTGATGGTGTAGCTGAAGTTGATGGTTTAGGCCTTCGAATAGTAAAGCTGTCGAAAGAACCTTGCACAGCTGTTTTCTTTTCTCATTACTGTATACATCTTTATGTAGAGGTCGTTTGTGTTTTTCATGTCCCTGTTAATTTTAATGCTTTGTTCTGTTAATGAATCCACTTCAGAAAATATGTTCATTGTTTGCTCCGTATAATATCCACAGACCTCTCACCTTTTTCATGTTGTTTTAACACCTCTAGTTTCTCACTAAGCTTATACACTTTCTATTAGCTTTTGAACCAGCACTACCATCACTTGCTATCCTGTTCATGTTGAATAGGGACGCAAAAATGCCGTAAGAAACTTGAGAAAGTTTTTCTCCTTTTCCTGTTCAGATGTGTGAAAACAAAGGGCCCATCAGCTGCGATTGTTTATACTAGTGATGCTGGCATCACCACTAACAAGCCCGGCAGCCTCCGTGCTCAAGGCTTTTTTTTTTTTTAAATACATAACAGGATTTAGTTATTATTTATATGAAAATAATTTTTTTCTTCTAATTTTGTTGTAAATATGCAGAAAATAATGCCATAAATTGATTTGGGTCCTAAATTAACCAGGTCTTAAATATGAATTGTAGTTAGTAGAACCATCGTTATCGGAGGCTTCACTGTATTGGTGTAATAAGCTAATCTTGCTGTTACATATTTTTACATAATTTGATCTGGTCATAGGTGATGGGATAATTAGAATTTACCTTCTAATTACACTCATTCCTATTTTAAATCAGAATAAACCAGGTGCTGTACATATTTTGGGTGCACAGTAGATATCAGATCCAGTCACACACAGACTGGTTCAGAATGTGCTCTAAAATGTTTAACTGCTCGGCACCTACTGTGTTGACTGCTACAACACACTCATAGATGACTCTTTTATATACAGTGTATGTTTGTGGTGTCACATTGTTTGCTTAATGGTCTAGGTTGACAAATAGTAGTCAGGTTTTTGGTCTGCTTAGCTTTCATACGATACTTGTATGCCAGGTGCAGGATGTGGCCTAAGGCAAATACAGTATACAGTAAATACCGCAAGTTCCAGAATAATTGACATAGTTACTCAGACAGAATCCATTATTCAGATGTCCATGTCAGCAGGGAGGGACAACTTCAAAACAACAGCCATTACTAATGCAGATTGGTTTATTTAAGCTCATAATAAATCAGTACAGGTATATGTAAAATAATCTTTTTTTTTATATATATTTATTTTCAGTAACTTTGGTTGTTTTTTATTTAAAGTTTTAACAGATGTAGGTAAGGTTCTAGATTTTAGTGGGTTTTTGGGCCGCCGCAAAGATAATTTTTAAGGTTCCCGAGTCCCGACGTACGTTTGTATGTGGCATGAAGGACCTTGTGCAGTGTGAGATAAAGTGGATGATGTGAATGTGAACAGTTTACCTCTGGCAATGAAGTGGCTATGTTCACAAAAGCCACTTCATTCTCATGAAGTTCATTGTTAAGGGTAGATTTAACAATGAATAAAAGGGATTAGGTTCCAAGTCCTCATTATTCAGTACAGTATTTACATATGCCAAAAATTTCTCTTATAGACAATGAAAATAATACATAGCACATCATAAAGTACAATAGCACTTATTTTATGTATAAAAATTAACTCCTGCCCGTGAACCATCTTATGGCTGACGCCAAGAGTGGATCAGTTCAGCCTGAGCTGGCTTGAGAGACGCATGGCTGCCATGACGTCACATTAAGGAGAGCGTGATGCATCTATACATATGTTCACTTTCCATACCGAGTACCGTTCAGTCATGCTCTTCATTTATGTTTCTTTTTTATAGTTTTGTATTGTATTTTCTTTATTTCAAAGTCACATTAGAGTAGAGTACAGAAATTATTTTCCCACAACTTTTACAGATTCATTACATGAATCACTGGCAACATGCATAGCCATCTTAAGGCTACAACTGCTTGGTGACGTGTTAGGTAGTGAAGATTATGCGGGTGTGCATGGGATCCACTTTCACTTTCAGTGGAGATGAAGTGGGTCACATTTATGATATGCCTTCAGTAAATTCAGAGTTCCAAATATCTGCATTATCTCGGGAACAGTGTGTGTTGTCGACCATGTCTCGCACTTCAAGATTATCCTTCGTGGTGAGGTGCTTTCTGCTTTTTTGGGCCTTACCCAAATGTATGTTATTTATATGTCACGAGAGAGCAGGCATGTCTGTATGGAGTAATAGGCACACACAAAATGAGTGCAGCACGGCTGTTTTGTTGTGTTGCGAGCGGGATCACGTGGTACACGCCGTGTCACTCCACAATAATAGCCCACAAGGTGGTCCGGTACTCAAGGTTTTTACTGTAAGCATAATTAGTCCCCATTGAGGGAGTTGCCAAGGGTGGAAATTCAGGAAAGCTCTTCGTCAGAATGTCACATAACCTAGACAGGCACTCTGTAGAAATCTCTACCACAAATTGTTGTTTCCATGTCAAATAACCACCATCGGTTCAGATCATCCTACTTTAAAGATCTTTAGTCATAGCAAGGGGACACATGAGCTGATGATTTTACAGAAACACTTTGATCTCTCCCTGTGATTTTTATTTGTTTAAAGAAATGGGAATAAGCCTCATGGTAGGACTGCATTGTGCATGTGTGTGTGTGCATACTTTTTTAAAGGTTATGATGACACAACATGTATATATAATCATATTTAGATTTATTTTTCATTTTTTCAGGTGCTGCACCAGTTCCACCACTGATCTTTGAGATGATTGTCGAACATCTTGAGGAGACGTGTTGGGAAAACATCCACAAGATGCTCAAAACAGAGGAATCCCTCTCTATTGAGTTTGATGAGGATGTGATCTGCGATGTTTGTCGATCAGTGAGTTATTTGAGACCTTTTTTTTATTTATTTACTCATTTCGAGCTATGTATAACAATAATGGTATAGAATTGTAAGCTAGATGAGACAGTCTGGTCTTCATATCTTAAAAAGTGATGTCGTAAGTATTTAAACTGTATGGGGTAAATGGGAAATAATTGACTGCTGTTCAATGTTTTATAAGGCTACAGGTTATAATGCATGTATCCTCGATAATCGTGGGGGTTAGGTTCCAGAAAACTACCGTGATAAGCAAAGCCGTACATATTGAAACGCAAAACATATGGGAAAAATTTGTCTCATCCCACAACCCCAAAGATGCATCCCCTAAGTGACCAAAATATACCCCTAAAAATGTGTAGGTACTGTACACTAAAAGATATAATAATAGTAACATATCTACTAATTAGTGAATAACAAATAAACAATATACAGTGGTCCCTCGGTTAATGAACTCAATTCATTCCAGAAGGTCATTCGTTAACCGAAAATTTCGTTAATCGAAACCATTGTTTCAATGGGATATTGGGTAATTGGTTCCAGCTCTCCGAAAATTGCTTAAATTCAACAAAAAAGGTAGTTAAGTACACTTACTTTGAGGTGTGTATGTAGAAGGCTCCTGGATGATGATGATGATGATGGGAATTATAATGGGGGTGGAGGAGAAGGGAGAAGAGAAGGCATTGGGGTGGAAGAGAAGTCACCCCATGGTGCCATTTCACCCATAAATTTTTAGTTCACTTGGTGTATTTCAAGATTATTTTCTTGAAGAGAGTCTGAAGCAAGATGTTACCTCCACTGACAAGACACAGAGACTGACGCCTGTATGATGTGTTGACAGGTTGTTTGGTGCGCTAAAAACTAGTTTCCCTGTACTTAAATTATGTTAAATACCAGTAATTGTTAAAATGACTAAAAATTTTAATATAAGACTTTTAAAATTATTGAATAGTACAAACTTCTTGATATTTACTAAAATAGTAAGGAATTTAAGCCCTAGAACCGATTACTGTATTGGCGGACTAATACGACAGCTAGTGTGCAAGCGAAAACATGTTGAGGGTCGCTCGTAAGGGATTCGTTAATCGAGGGAATGCTCGTTAACCGAATTTAAGAATCTTATGGAAGGTAATTCGTTAACCGAGGGATCACTGTATTCTGATTACATGTACAGTTCAGCTTTGCCCTTCGGACAGTGTGTGCATGTAAATGAGTTTCAATAAATGAATAAAGTTAAATATATCAAGCCAAAAATAATAGTTCAAAAGCTTTATGTAGACAGAGCTTGGATGGCTAAATTTTAGAATGACCAATAATTTTAATGCTGTATAAAAAATGCACAAATATTAAAAAGCACAAATTTCTTGATATTTACTCCATTGGAAACGAATGTAAGCATAGAAGAGATTACTGAATTGGCTGAGTACCTCCTCAGCTTATCAGCTGATGTTCAAAACAAAACGTGATTTTCGTAAGGATTTCATTAATAAATTTTTTTTTCGTTAACCGAACTGAAGATTCTTATGGAAGGTAATTAGTTAACCGAAATTTCGTTAACCGAGGCGTTCGTTAACCGAGGGACCACTGTACAGTACTGTACAATATTGTATCATGAATGACTAATAGTAGAACAAGTGAGAGGGGCAGAGTGTTGTTGAGACGCAGTGGGTGGGAGGGAGGAAAGTGGGTGGGAGGCAGTGGGTATCGTGTTGATCTACTCTGGCTAAAGCAAATCCATAACTGAAATTATGATTTAGGTGGTGATAATAGATGTAATGGTGGTGGAGGGAGAGATTGTGGTAAGTGGCGAGGAGATGATGCGTCAGTCGGTTTGTTTGGTAACACTGCCAGACACAACTGAACAGCTGATGTCTACCCACAAAATTGAGTGTAAGTATAAATGAACAACGTCATATTTCTTTCACATTATGTTACATAAATTTTAAATTGTGGAGTGAGAAAGCAGAAAGGTGGGGGTGAATAGAGAGGTGGAGTGGAAGAAAGTGGTAACATGCAATGGGTGGGTTAGCAAGCGCATACTTATCCTCGTCGGGAACATTGGAACATTCAACCAAAGGATACACACGTCTTCGTTGCTTGGTTGGATCAGGAACCTTAACACTCTTCACAGGTGCCATGGTGGAGGGTAAGTAAAAGTTACAAAAATTGCACCAAAAACAAGCCCGGAGCAGGAAATCATCTTCAAACACAGACCAAAACAGCGTGGGGAAACAAATGCTATTGCTGGAAGCTGGTGCCATGAGCCATGCTGCCATCTCTTGGCAGTCGCTGTTATCGCTGGCTCTTGCAGACCCACCGTTGTCCCATGACAATTTCGCGATAACGTAGATCAATCAGTGATGAGCATACACACGGTTGGCGGTCGCAATTGAGGATACTGTGATAAGCCAGTTCAGCGATTATCGGGTTCCGTGATTATCGAGGATACATGTATATCAAAAGAGGGAAACTGGTTCTTAGTGAAAGTTGGATTATGTCAAGAATATGTGATTTTCCCAAGGTTATTCAATATTTTCACAGATGAGTTTCTTGGATAAATGAGAATACTAATAGTAATGCACAAGTATCTTGTTTAATGATGGAGTTACATACCTGAAAACCTAACATTAAGCATGATTACCAATAAACAAAGGATATGTGGGGATGCAGCTTAGTATTAGAAGCATATTTTAATAAAGCCTCAAAAGCACCCATAAGAAATGCCACAATTCCTTGTTAGCTCTAGTGCCACCTCTAACCAGTCCCCACCACCATTACTACCTCACCCAAAGTCAAAATTACAATCAATACCACCATTACTATCATCACTCTGCATGTCGTCTACCTGTGAGTTTGTTTACATGAATGAAAGTTCAGTAAAGCATACCTGCTGTGTCCGAAGCTGTTAAAGTGGTAATAAAACCTTAATTCATTTACTGATATTAACTTGACCATAATTGTTTATTCTTTTTTCATAATAAAACGATATTATTAGTGTGGTAGACTTATGAAGGTAAATGTGAACATGCATTCCCGTTATTGAGATCTAGGAAGTGAACAGGCAGTTACTATCATTCTAATATTCCAATTAGTGTGGTAGACTTATGGAGGTAAATGTGAACATGCATTCCCGTTATTGAGATCTAGGAAGTGAACAGGCAGTTACTATCATTCTAATATTCCAATGTTCTGTAATTGGAACATGGTGGGATTAAAAAGGGCTAGTGACTTTCCACATACATTAAATAATACCTAATCAAGAATGGGTGTCAGATTTTTTTATTGCTCAAGTGAATAAACGCTAAACGAGGGATACCTGTAAATATTTTGGGTGTCTTGGGGTTAATATTTGCTGTCAATCTATGCAGCAACTTGATCTTACTCTAAGGAAACATAAATGGCTTGGCTGGTCATTTGTCAAACAAGCTGATGATAATCTATACTCAATTAAATGATATTATTGTGGAAAATGCTTTTTCTGTCACCTATCTGGTGAGATGTATAGGGGTTACATTATCTACCATCATCAGGATCACCTTTAATGTTCTCCATAAATAGATTTTGCTGAAGTTTGACGAGATATTTTGATCTTACAGTGAGCGTATGTTTATGTTAAAGAAAAACCATGATTGTAGCTGTTACCCTTTCACTGCGGCTGGCTTGTGACTAGCACCCACCTCCTGTGCTGCGGATTTTTTAATGTTAAAAAAAATATGTAACTCATTTTTTACTTAATGGATAGATTATTAGTGAATAGATTACTTATCTCTGATTACAGAAATGTTTAACTCATCTCAAAACAGTCTACCCTACTGTTACTACGCAGCGTAAGACCCAGCGTCTTAGTGGCAGGGCAGCACTGCCAGACACACGAGTATACTACAGAGTTTTTCAGTTTTAATAGTTTTTCTCGCTTCTCTCACACCAATACAGTACGGTAGTATACATCCTTGTTTGTGTTAGCACATAGTAAATGGTATCACATGATATTTTGGATAAACCATTGTTATTCATGGTATGCATTTGATCACAGCCATGCATTTAGGATACAGTATAAATAATTACCAAAAAGCTGAATTGTTTGTTATTTTTCTCACAAAACATAAACACTTTATTTCTTTACATTTTCAGTAGTTTTTCTGTACAGTATATGGTATGCCTCAGAATATGAACACATACACAGACATCATGTTGGTGACATTAGTATGGCATTCTTTGTTGTTTCTGAAGGGCGCATGATATATGAGCATACGTGTGACATCTTCTCTGTGTGCCAAGGGGCTCCACAAAATGTCTCAACTAAGGGTTGGTAATGGATGTGCACTTACTGGTCTGATATTATGATGTTGGCCCAAATAATATCTGTCAGTGAGTTGGTGGACCACTGTCTTAGTAAAGGATAGCAGTGGCAACTTATGACCTGTCTTCACCTGGTACAAGTGATAAGCATCCAAAAGTGACATGTCCATCACATTGAAGAAATTTGTTTAATACCATTTTACACTTTATCTTATACATTCAATTCCCATTAAAGTATGTCACTTTTGTTCATACAAGTTTCATTTTCTTACACTGTACTTGGCACAACATTGGGTTTTCTCACTGCTTCACCTCTATGCTCTGTTGATATTTTTTTGTCACTCACTCACTCACTCCATCTTGGTGAGTGGTAGAATTATGAACCACTCACTTGTCACACAACTTGATGCACAAGATGCTGTTACTGTTCTGTGACCGTTGCTCACCATGTGTGATGTTTGGTAATTTTATCAATGCATTTCTGTATGCTTTGACAGTTCCACATGCATCAGTATTGTTATCAAACAGATAACAAAAAAGCTTTGGGCTCGTATACTAGTTATCCACATGAGATATATGAGCTTTCCTGCAGATGAGAGGATAGTAATGTTGTCACATTAGAATAAATATTGCCAAGTTCAGCATCTAGCACAATGTCAATTTCCTTTCCTGTGTATACAATATAAATCTATACTATATCCACAGTCACAATCACACAGCACAATAAGTTTCACTCCAAAGTGATGGCATTTTGATGGAATATATTGCCTAAAACCTAGTGTTCCTCTCCACAACACTAGGCTTCCTTCAATACTGTATACAACTCTTGTATGGGCTTATGCTTTACTGGATTTTGCTTTGTAAGTAATCCACAACAGGTGGGATTTATGCAACTTATCACCTTGAAGCTGCTGTGTGTTGTGTAAAATCCATCAAGCGCAGTGGTGGGCACAGCTAAACGAAAAGTTAGCTTCGCTAATCCGCTAACTAAAAAGTTAACTTCGCTAAACAGCTAAAAAATTAGCGGAAGCTAATGCTAACCGCTAACTTTTATTATATGAATTTAGCTTTGGTTTGTTTGTTTTTGGCCCTAAAACCCTTAAAAACAGACCTAGAGAGCTGAAATTTTCATATGTTGTCTTGTAGCTTAGACATACAGCTTTCCGAAAAGGTATAGCATGCCAAGACCAGATGATCAAGGTGTACACAAATAATTTAATGAACAAATGAAATTAAACATTAGTTTACATTCAGGTTTCAACATACACTCTATAATCTTTATTTACTGTACGAAAAGACTGAAAGTATTAAACGAATCCAAAAACTATAGTACTGTATAGCATAGGTAGCAAATAGCATCATGCCAAGATCAGATGATGATCAACTTATTAAGGTGTACACTGTACACAATTTCACAAATAATTAATTTGCATTCTCATACAACCTATTGGCATTATTCATATAAATATGTAATACAAACCACATACACATTATACCAGTGCATTTTTATATAACTTATGGTTGGTCTTAGTCATGTAAATAAACAGAAAACTCTAAACTTTAATGAAAAGTAAGTTTTTAGAAAATTTTGTTTGGCGCACACCTTGGATGACATCCTGGTTATGAACTTATGCAGTACTTAGCATAACCAAATATATTGACACAAAAAATCCTAATTAAATTAACAAATAAATGAGAAATGAAATTATACATTAGTTTACAATTACATTCTATGATTCTTTCAGCATACACTGACTGTCTTTATTTACTGTAAAAAAAAAAGTATTAAACTTTAATAATCGAAAAATTCCATTCACTCCGGCTGCAGTGGCTGGGCCTTTTCCATCGCCTCGACATGATGCTGTTGCCCTTCATAAACATCAGCCTCTTAAAGTTGCTATCTGACAGGGTGGCTCTCTTGGCCCTCAAGATATCTTTGCACGTACTAACACGCAGTCAGCCAAGCGTGCCTGACTGGCTGCTGAAGACACGCGTCGCGGCTTCACACGCTTACAACAGACAGGAACAAACATGTATAAATTTTGTTAGCGGAACTAAATTTAGCGGAAGCTAATTGGTCCGCTAATGGTTTCCAGAGTTAGCGAAAACACTAATCTGCTGACGAGAAAGTTAGCTTCGCTATTTAGCAGATTACCGGAACTGTGCCCACCACTGATCAAGCGTAATAATTGGAGAAAATGTTCCCGAGGCTTTAGTCTTCCCCAAATTTTTTATTCCTGCTCTACATCAGTCATCCAGTATTCATTTATTTATTATGTTTTTCTTATGTTGAACCAATAGTATAATTACACACAAAAAAAAAGAGATTCAGATCATCTCTTGCTTTTCTCTCCACCAAACTAGTCTGCTCTACTGCACTACATAAAAAAAATGATAGCAATGTTTCCTGTAGAAGATCATAGTACCAATTTGTTATGGATACTGTCACATCCATAGGACTGTGATAAAAAATTACGTAAAATAATTGTCAAGTTCTTCTGATTTATCTGTAAAAGACGAGCTGGTCATGTTCATATCCATTACTCCTTCCTTCATCATCTTCAAATTCACTCTCTTCTTTAACTTCTCTCTCGTCCCTTTCATCAGGTCAGTCATCATCAATACTGTCCTAATGGATAGTATAATCAGCATGATCTGGACTCTTCCACAGATGCACTGCCAGTGCCAGGTTGTTAAAATTGGTCACTGTCATCTTCAGGGGTATTGTACCTTAGTAAAAGAATGTAACTGATCATTGTATAGTAAATACTGTAGTAGAATGCCAAGGTCGAACACTTACCACAAATACAGTACATATTGTATATTGATGAAATATCTCGCTCAGAAATTTTGAATGCAAGAAATTCTATATGTTCTAGCTGCAGTGAAAGGTCAAGCCAGACCTGGGTAAAATTCTTAATATTTGAGTTGACAAATTAGTTAAGTTTATCATTTTCCATTGTAGTTCTTATGCCTCTACTGCCAATGGGAGGGGTATGTCCTTTCTATCCACCCATTTTTCCAGTTAAAGTTATTAAAAATAAGTATAATAGCTTAGTCATTTCTTGAGAGGCTCCTGTTACAGGCTTCAATCATTGGGTTTCAAAACTCCAGATCTGGTTCCCTGCCTCAGATGATTTGCTAAAATAGTTGTCTGATATAATTAACTAATCCAGAAGAAAATTCTTGTATTAGTTATTCATTCTCAGTTACAACCACAGACTCTTAAGAAGGTGTACAGTATTGAGAAGTATCAGTCACCAGTGCCCAATAATGGTTGTAATCAGAAATGCCCCACAACTAATATGCTTTGACCAGCTCATCAAACCAGGTTCATCTCACTATGGTTACTCATCCTTATGTCTGTTCTGGGTGGGAGAAAGGAGTTGTCCCATTACATATTTACACATGCTTGTGTCTGGCCCACAGTCTAAATTTATTGACATACATATTATTATGTTAATAGTGGCATTGCAAGAGCATTAAAACTAACTAAACAACCCAGTAGGATGATTATTGATAACATGGGCCAACACTTATTTCCAGTGTGCCTTCATTTGCAGGTCTCTCGGTTGTTTTTTCTAGATTCAAGTGTAGTCTGGGGCCAGTAAGTTTATTCTGGGACTTGGGGATAACATCCATGTATTCCACCTTTGGTGTAATGGATCTCCACAGAATATTCTCTTCTCAAATGTTGTTCTATGCTTCCTTATGAACATATAAAGTACATTGGGAAATCCTTAAGGAGTCTGTTCAAGGTATTCTGAGCTGAGACATCGAGTGAGAATATTTCCCACCAAATCTGAGCTAAGCCCTGAAACAACATACCTAGAGCAGATTAATATGGATTTCCCGACTAATTATTGTCTTATTATATTTTGTTTTGTTGTTTCTCTTGAAAAATGATTCCCTGATCTGATACATTTCAAGTAGAAATGTAATTGTTTGGGGAGGGACTGTGCATTGTAATCTTTTGAGAGGAACTTGCAGTTTAAGGATGAGTTTCTTTCTTTGATGTCAAATGGCGACAGGCTGCAACACCACATATTTTACCCAATCAGTCAATCAATCAATCACAGTTTAAAGTCTAGGCTGTGTTTGGTGGTGGACTAATGGTTCTTGCTCTTAACAATTATGAAAAATACTGTCATAGTGGCTGCTGCCCCTTGACCCAAGTGTTTGTGAAGCTTTTTTGTAATTGGTTGAATTGTATTTTGATTAATGAGAGCTCTTCACATGTGTGGAGTTCAACTTTGGTCATTGGGGACATTACTGTATATCTATCAGTGTTTACTGAAGGACGAGTGGCATGTTGTGAGCTTATACAGGTTGTTTAACTGATAGTACATTTAGGTTTGCTGCTTTGGGCACTTTAGTTTTAGATGTTCTTTAGAGTGTGCAAAAATGTGTACTGTATATGTGGTACTTGGTATATAAATGTAAAGAATGTTTGAATATACACACACACACACACATATATATATATATATATATATATATATATATATATATATATATATATATATATATATATATATATATATATATATATATATATATATATATATATACATACATACATACATACATACATACATACATATACAGTGGTCCCTCGGTTAACGAGCACAATCCGTTCCAGCAGGTTGCTCGTTAACCGAAAAACTCGTTAACCGAAACCATTGTTTCAATGGGTTTTTGGGTAATTGGTTCCAGCTCACCGAAAATTGCCCAAATTCAACAAAAAAGGTAGAAAAGTACACTTACTTTGAGGTGTGTATCTAGAAAGCTCCTGGATGATGATGATGGGAATTATAATGGGGTTGGAGGAGAAGGGAGAAGAGAAGGCATTGGGGTGGAAGAGAAGTCACCCCATGGCACCATTTCACCCATAAAATTTTAGTTCTCATGGTGTATTTCAAGATTATTTTCTTTAAATCAACACTGCACTGCATTATATATTGTCAATATGTAAAATATATTTCAAAATGACCAATAATTTGCTTGGAAACACAGAAAAAAAGCGTTTAGTAGAAGAGAGTCTCAAGCAAGATGTTACCTCCACTGAAAACAGAGAGAGACTAATGCCTGTCTGGTGTGTTAACAGGCTGGATGGCACGCCAGAAACTAGTTTCTTTACCTTCAATTATGTTGAATAATTGTTAAAATGACTAAAAAAGTTAATATTAAACTTTTAAAATTATTGAATAGTATAAACTTCTTGATATTTACTAAAATAGTAAGGAATTTAAGCCCTAAAACCGATTACTGTATTGGCGGACTAATACTACAGCTGGTGGACAGCCAAAAGCGAAAACATGTTGAAGTCGGCTCGTACAAAACTTGTTAATCGAGGGATTGCTCGTTAACCGAAGTTAAGAATCTTATGGAAGGTAAATCGTTAACTGAAATCTCGTTAACCGAGGGACCACTATATATATATTATATATATATATATATGTGTGTGTGTGTGTGTGTGTATGTGCATGTATGTATGTATGTATGAATGTATACATACATACAGGTTTATGGGAGATGTCGACTGTCAAGCAGCTGATTAACACATGGGACATGCCACTCACCACCACACCACACATCTTGTTCAGTGCAGCCTTAGCCTAAATCACATATTTAGAAGTCATGTGTAATTTTGTTTGCTATTTAGGTTTTATTGTTTCTTGCGATCTTTACAGTTAATTTTACATTTTAGTACAGTACAGTATGTTTGAAAACTTTGTTACAATACAGTACTGTATTTGTAAAGGAATGCATGTTGATCGATCACAGGAAGATTAGCCTCCAGCTTATTTCAGTTGAGGATTAATCACCCTAATGCTGCTAGGGACAGGAGTTAGGTTAGGTTAGATAAGACTATACAGTACTGTATTAGCATAGCCTGGCTCAACTATAGTATGGTTATCTCAAGGTGAAATAAGCTCGGGTGGTAATCTTTTAGTGATCTGACTTGACTGATTTTCTGCTGATTTAAATATTTATGTCACAATAGCTTGTTACAGATTATATTATTGAAATTATATTACAGGAAAGTTTTCATCATTAATACAACAATTTCCCTGAAAGTTGATGAAATGCAGTGTAGATTACCTTGAGGGGTAGGATCTGTGAATGCATGTTACACAGGAAAAGGGGAATCATTGTGTCTGAAGTAATTTTTTAAAGCCTTTGATCAAAATTTACTCTTGATCAGCAAATATTCAGCAAGTCCCATAGTTATCTATTATTTTAACTGGATGAAAGTAAGGGAGTTCAAATTTAATGTAATAACAGTAGTGTGCTGTCCCCTCAGGTAAGGTTGATTGTGTGGTGTTTGTAATGCATGAATAGTTGTCAGTTTTAAGTGTAATAAATACTGTGATCAGAAAATATGTCGATGAATTTTGTTAAGAAGTGATTAACTTTTTCCTTTGATATTGATACATATGTTTATTGTTGTCATCATTTGAGTTGCCCAAGCTGAATGAAGGTGCTCTTGTCAGCCTGTAAAGTCAGATTACATGTTCCACTATATATCTCAAGCTGTAACATTAGTGATAAGCCATTATTAATTTGTTCAGATATTTACATTTTCATTTCTCCCTTCTAGCCTGACAGCGAAGAGGGGAACGAGATGGTATTTTGTGACTCGTGCAACATATGTGTACACCAGGCATGCTATGGAATTACAGCCATCCCTTCAGGTTCATGGCTGTGCCGTACATGCTCACTTGGCATCAAACCTGATTGTGTTCTCTGTCCCAACAAAGGTGAGTTTGAGTCCAAACTTGTCTTATTAGTGAACGTGACCAAGTGAACTTTGACATTTTTATTACTAAGGATTCTTAAGATGGGAGAAAATGCCTTAAGACTATTAGGAGTCTAAATACTTATAATTGACATTGATATTGAAGTTGAACTCAGAGGGAAGTGTGTTTATTTGTATCTTTTAGAACGGTTCAAGGTAAAGTTCGGAAAAAACAGAATATTTGTATTTGAAAAAGGTTAACCATGATGAATGATATAAGAGTTGGTGATTGAAATATTTACATTTGGGAGCAGTGTTCAGCAGGGAGTCATGTGTCTTTGTTCTTTTCTGTTACTTTCTGCGTTTGTCATGTACCCTGCTCCCTGTTATTTTCTTCCTGTAAAGTTTCTGTACCCCTTGAATCGGGTCCAACCTTTGCAAAAGTGGGACAGGAGCGGGGATCATAGATGGCAAGGAATATTTTTTCCTTCTTGATATAACTGGCTTTGGAATATGAGAGCCACCTGACTATGGGAAGAAGAGCCAAGATCCCTTTTTCTTTTGGAATCCCAAAACTGAGTGGTAGGCAAACCATCTTTTTACCCCTCGAGTTTATATCTAGTCAACTGGAACCAAAGCAAAAATAATTGATTGAACCCAAATTTGTGTACTGTTGAATGGTTAGTCATTGGCTTTAATAACATCACTCCCTGGATGGAGGTTGGGAGGGTATGGTCAATTGCAACATCAGTCCCTCTCCTTTTTGGCTGATGGTACAGGAAGAAGGGAAAGGTGATACCCAATTGGATTAACAAGTTAACACAACCTGATGTTAGAGAGACCCTTCAAAGGATTCAAGACTCCCTCCCCCATCGATCATCCTAGCCATGGACTCTGTCAGAAAAAGGATTTCAGAATCGGTTTTTGTTTGCCTGGTGTAACTCGATGGTTCAAGGGAAGCTTGAGGCTTGCTCCTTCTGTTCTGGATTTAGAACCAGATTTACCAATAGATCAATTTAGTAGGATTGCTTACCTTGGGAGTGTAAGCTGAACATAATGTAGTATTTGCAGCTTGTTGGTATCTCCTTCCTCCTCATTTTAGCTGGCTGTGGTATACAAATTTGCTTAATGCTAGCAAAAAGCTATTAACCCTTAGGCCCCTTAGGCCCCGGGTGATGTTCCAGAACGTCCGCCTATTCCCGTTTTTTTGGGGGGGGGGGGATATTTTCCCCCCGATTTATCCGAGGGGGGTGGGGGGGGGAGTCTGGCAGCAGCACCCTAACCTGGAGCTTAAGGGTTAATGATGGATTGATTCTGTAATTTTGTACTCTAGCCAGGATTGAGCAACTTGATACCTCTTCCTCTTCTCTTTATGTTAAGTTAGAATAGATTATATTACGTTTGATCAGGTTAGGTTTGGTTATGGAGGAGAGTTGTATCTTATTGAGTTGACCTCTGTGATTTCATTTTGTAACTGATGTCTCACAAATGAAAGGAGATTGGAATACAGTATTTGTTTATGCCTGTCAACAAAAGCTGCCATACTTTTATTCCTCTAGGTACTGTACCTTCATGCCAATTGTCTCCTTTTTGGAAACTACTGTATAATGAAGGTGAAGATAATATAATTTTTAAATTTATTCGTAAATAGATTCTCATTTTAAGCTGGATCCTGAGTTTTCCGAGTCAATCCATCATTTTTCAGAAAATGGTGTAAATATTAATATTTGAGTTAGATTCTTTGTGTATCAACCTATTATCACTTCAGAAAAGGGATGGTTAAAATATCATAATTCTTGGTGTCTAAAATACATTATAGTCATACATATTTTGTGTGTCAACAGGAGGTGCAATGAAGTCCACAAAATCTGGACAGAAATGGGCTCATGTAGCATGTGCATTATGGATTCCTGAAGTGTCAATTGGTTCAGTTGAGCGGATGGAACCTATTACGAAGATCCCAAACATACCAGTGAGTTGCGACTTCTTTTCATGCTTGTGCGGTTGATAAATTCTCTATATTGTTAATTAATAATGACAATATATATCATTTTAAGTATTGTTTTGATCATTTTCTTTGGAACTAAGTTTTTCTCATTTCCCACTTGTTTTCTTTGTTTTTAATATGTACTCTACTTTAAAACAGCAAATAAGTCCAAAAATATATTTTTCATTGCCTGGGTCTCTCCATAGTAACACTTTCCTACGCCATAGATTTACAGTTGCATTCCTCACCATTTGGCTAATGTCTTGGCATCACCAAGTTGTTCCCCAAAAGAGATATACACATCTGATCTATGCCAAATTTTTCACTCATCCCACTGTTCATTAAGCTTTTGTTACTGATTCCCACTTCAATTTCCTGTTCTTATAAGGAGATGAATCACTTATGGCAATTTTATTTGGGTGTGATTGTTCTGCTAGTGTCTTATGTTGGTTTCAGGTTGAAATGTCTTGATTTTTTAAGAATTCCCCTTATATTATTCAGTGTATGAGTTATTGATGTACTGTATTATTGCAATAAATAAATGTGTGATGAACCATTGCACACCAGTTAAGGAGCAGTAAGCAATTGTGAAAAAATTTTGAAAGTGAAATTGAGTTACACGAGTATGCTGGGTATCTACAGCAGACAAAATGTAATGTCACCTTGAAGCAGAACTTTTAAGTTCTGTTGAAAGAGATTATTTTTTATCTTGTGTGGAAGGAGATTATATTGTATATTCTGTTTGTTTCTTTTGTTAAGGTCACTTAAATTGATGCTTTTTTCCATTGACAATTTTAGTTATGTCTGGTATTGGTACACATTCAGTAATACTTTTATTTAATTGTATAATGTATACTGTACTTATATTCATGTGTGTTTTATTTCATTAATGATCTTATTGTTAATTGTTTTAAAGTTGTTTTATCTTGTAATATGGTTATTAGTTACCACTGTTTGCCTCACTTATAGTGTTCACCTTTGAAGTTCTAATATTATCCCAATTAATTACAGCAAAGTCGATGGGCGCTTGTTTGTGTGTTGTGTCGAGAACGTCGTGGGGCTTGTATACAGTGCTCAGTCAAAACCTGCAAAACAGCCTATCATGTGACCTGTGCCTTCAAGCATGGCCTGGAGATGAAGGCCATCATTGAAGATGAAAGTGCTGATGATGGGGTCAAGTTAAGAGTAAGTTCACTCTCACTCACTCACATAAACACTGTAGTTTTTAATGACAAATTTTTGAATTGTGGGAAACTTTCCCTTTAAGCAACATCTTTATTTAGTGTAAGTCCACCACTTTAGATTTAGTGTCAGATGCTTACCTCAGAGAGCAGACACCTCTCTCCTATAATTTTCACTAATTGAGGAATCCCTCCAATTATTTATCCTTTGATTTGTTTGGCAGTACTGTACTAAGCCATTCTCGCCCAGTAGAGTATCATGGATTAAGCATTTGTTTTAAATCATTTCTCATGGAGTACAGTTTCATGTGGTGGCAGGGATTGACCATGGATGTTTTCAGTATGTTTTTAGTACAGAAGCTATGCATAACCTTTGTTAAATATTGTTGACAGGCATTTCTCTTAATTTCAGTCATATTGTGAGAAGCACAGTGTATCAAGCAAGAAGATTGGAAATGAAGATGCTGAGAGTGAGGAAGGTGAAGAGGGAGTCCCTAAAAAGAAGAAAGATTGGACCTCGGAGCAAAAGAACCAAGCTCGTGCTGCTAAACTTCGACAAATTGAATCAGAGTTCTTCAAGCATGTTGATGTTCTTGAAACTTCAAACTTCCTAGATATAGATTTTGAGACTACGGAAACTATATTTAATTACTGGAAGCTTAAGAGACGGGTAATTGAGAGGTCGTTTGTATTTTTATATACTGTATACTTTGTCATTTGGGCACAATGGTTTAGGCTGATGAGGTATGTTATCAGTAATATTAAATGGTGTAGAAATAATCCTTAAACTAATAACCACATATGTTGTAGAATAATCCTTGCAGAATTTCTTTAAATCACTGTACATGTACTGTATATTTCTTCACATTAGGTTATCAGAGAATGACTGGCAGCACATGAAACATTTAAGTAATGAATTGAGGAATGATAAATAACAAGAATGATGTTTGAGTAAAAAATAATATTGTATAACATGATAAGTGTGGTTTATAGTTTTATAAAAAACATGATAAAACAAAGTAGATCACTAAACTCAATTTTAAATGTTTATTGATGTAATTTTGTGGCAAACTGGAGATAGTGAGGTACTCAATGTTTTAAGTACATTAAACTGAATTTAGCATAATACATAATTCTTTAATCAGCATTAATTACTGGAATACATAGTTTACCTGTTTTTAGTGGCTGCTTCTTAAAAAGAGTATGAAGTCCAAGACTGTAATTAAAGTTGGTCGTATAATGGGAACTATTTAATTTTTATAATATTTTTTTTTTCAGGCAAGTTTCAATAAGCCTTTGTTGACACCACGTAGTGAGGAAATTGATCTTCTGTCCCATCAACAAGAGCATGATATTGAACGTATGAAGATGTTTGTACAGTTACGCCAGTACCTGGAGAGGGTACGTGTTTCATGTTTTCTTGAGTATGAACCTACAAGATGAATGATTCATTAATTTCAGTAATAAGTTACTTAGATGGACATGTTCAGACTTTTGGCTTATGACAACCTTCACCTTAATTGTGCATTTAGTTAACTTGGTATTATGATTAATTTTAGCTATGCCCTAAAGCTAGGCAGCTTTTTTAAAATAGGCTGCTTACTGGGGGAGTATATTTATGTATTGTTCCCTATAAATGCAAGCAAAATTGATTGATTAGCCCATTGTGGGAAATAAAGAAAATATATGAGAGATTTGTACAAGGTACAGCAGTTGGCCTCTGATGCGTCGAGGTCTCTTGTTAGCCAAGGGATGGTTGACACAATACGGTAGCTGTAAGTTGTATCATGCAAGGAAGACTTTAATAGGACTTGGGGATATCTGCCAGAGAAGGTTTAATAATTTTTATACTAACCATTGTAAGTCCACATTAACCTTATGCTGAGAGTGGCTCGCCTTTTCCCTTGGCCTGTAACTACTCTCTCACATGTACAGGAGGTTCTCATCATACATCAGGGATATGTTCCAGAGAAAAAGAACTTATGATTAAACATTTTATTAATGAGGAATCTTTCCCCATAAAAATTAATGTAAATACATACATACATACTGTACATACATATATACATACATACTGTATATACATACATACATACATGCTGTACATACATACATACTGTACATACATACATACATACATACATACATACATACATACATACATACATACATACACATACATACATACATACATACATACATACATATATATATATATATATATATATATATATATATATATATATATATATATATATATATATATATATATATATATATATATATATATATATATATATATATATATATATATATATATAATAATTTTGAAAATAACTTTCTTATTCTAATAATTTGGGTTTCCTTTTATTTCAGGTTCGCAATCTATGCTATATGGTGAATCGGCGAGAGAGACTTTCAAGATCGTTTATTAAGATACGCGAGCAGACGTTCTCAAAACAAGTGTCCCTCCTAAGTAGTAATAGTGTGAACCTGACCCCTCAGGAAATAGATGCAGTTATGCAAGCCAATCATGGCCCCTCTGTGTATGATCAGCTGTACTCTCACCACACTGCCCCACTGCATACCCAAAAGCAGTTTGAGAAGATTGTTGCTTGTATTGCTGGAACTCTAACTGAAAAAGCCAAGAGCAAAAAGCCACCCCAAAAGAAAGATGTTAATGGTCTCATCAAACCTAAGAAGGAAAAATCTGACAATCCATACAAGAAGTTGTATGTCAATGGTGCTGAACAGCGTCGCTCTCGTTCTAGTTCTATGTGTAGCACCAGTGACTCGGACTCCTCTCTGGTGTCAACTAAATGGACTCTCCCTCCAAAAGGCAATGCACGTTATTCTGTTTACACCAGTAGTGAGGAGGAAATGAATAAGGAGAATCACTCCATCAAAATAGAGCCAGCATCAAGCAAGAGCAAACTTACATTCTTAGAGAGCAGTGACAAAGAGAAACCTGTAATGGAAAGTGGGAGTGTGTCAGTGAGAGGGAGAGTTGGCAGAAGGAGAAGAGGGACTGGTCGAGCCAATGCTATTAAGAGTGCATCCTTTAGGGATCGTATTCCTGCATCTAGTGATGATAAAGATACAAAAGATTTTGATGCCCTTATACCAGAAAAAGATATCAAAAGTGAAATAACTGCCTCATCCTCTAAAACTATTAGGGAACATCCCAGTGTTGAAAGTTCTGAGGATGAGACAGAGACATTGAGTAAACCGAAACCACAACCTGGGAAAAGAAGAAATAAGAAAAAAGTGACACCTCCCAAGGTTGAATCTAGTGTAAGCAGTGAGGATGAAACTTCAGTCACAGTTACTCCAAGTAAAGAGAAAAGATGTAATCGTAAAGGAAAATGGGTGAAAAATGTAGTGGGTATTGAACCAACAACCGTGAGTTCTCCAGTATGTGAACCTCCTAAGTTGGAGTTGAGTGATGACGATGAGTTGGGTCGTCCCACATACAAACTGTCCAGTGACGAGGACAATAGTGAGAAGAGTAATGATCCAACGGCTGTCAGTGGTGATGTGTTTGGTGTAAGTGACCGGACAGACAGCAGTTCTGATAATGGTCGCAATACGGCTTTAAGTAAAGGACCAAAGAAACGTGATAAGAAGAGTGAAATTACATTAAGTGATAGTGATGTGAATAGTGATGATGAAAATAAAGAAAGTACCATAGATTCTCAAAACCATGCAACTTTAAAGACAAAGGCAGCTAAGAAAGAATTTACTCCAAAGATTGAGGCAAAGGTTGAGAGAATGAATAAAAAGAAAATTGATAAGGGAGGAAGAACAGTGAAAAAGACTGTGAGTGTAGAAAAAGGGAAAACTGAAATGAGACCAGCTGATGAGGTTGATCCTGAGCTCATCAGCACAAAGAGCAGTGAGGTGGAGGCGACGCCAGGCCATTTGTTTGTACCCCAGAGAAAGGCAGCAAAGAAGGCATCAGAACTCATCACTAGTCAAAATACAACGAGTACATCCTCTACCACTGTTGTGGCTGTTGCCACGCCTATACCTGCAGATACAACAACTGCTGAGGCAAAGAAGACTGCAGCAAAATTAGTTAAAGATGTAAAAGAGGAGTCCGAAGAGCCAGAGATCATTGAGGAAAGAAAAGTAGCAGATGAGAAAAGAGTAACACCAACTAAAGGAAGAAAAGGGAAGATTACCAAGGATAAAATTGATAAAGGGGTTGATGATATTAAAATTGAGGGTGCTGATGCTCCCAAAAAGAACTTATTTGATCCCCCTGAAATTCTCCCTTATGTACCTATGCGTCAAGCTGCCAAGAAAGCCGCGGAGAACCTCAAAGGTGGCAACAGTAAAGTTGGTGTTTCTGTCACTGCTGGTCTTGAAGACCCTGAGGTGCCACCTGTCCCTGTCTTACCACCAGCAAAAACAAAAAGAATCTCCCGTCAAGAGAGTAAAACCAGTGGGCGATCAAAATCCAAGTCACCCCGTGCAGCCAAGCATCTTTCACCTGCCAACATCACAAACTCTGAATCAGAGAGTGAATCAGAAAGTCAAGCAGCGGCAAGAAGAGTGCCAAAAGATCAGAAAGATGTGCAGAAGATATCAAAGTCCATATTTTCAGACAGTGAAGAAGAATCTGTGGGCACAGTCAAAAAGGAGAAAGTCATAAAAGATAAACCAGATCCAGTTCCTGAGACGATAAAGGTGGCCCCAACAGGTGACCAGTTTTTTCGTGGAGATATTTTCGTCCGAGAATACCAGAGCTCGTCAGATGAAAATGAGAATGGAAGACCTACCACCCCAGGAAAGAAGGCACACATATCTCCAGCTCATAAATCAGTCAATGATTGTCAAGAGTCCTCCTCAAAGAGCCAGCCCTTTCGTGGACCCACAAACATCTCGGGTGACCTTCGCCTCACCTCCGATAGTGATGAGAGAGAGGATGAGAACCAGGAACCGGCAGTTGGAACCCTTAGGAAGGCCCCTGATAAGAAGCTTAAAACTTCCGAAGGGCGGCCTGAACATGGGTTTCAGCCGCCGATTACTGAGAGAAGTGAACCCCGAGTGCCCACTGAGACGGAAGATAGCAGTCCCAAACCAACTATCAGAAGAGAGGCTGGATTGGAGCCAAGATTGCGTCAAAGTGGGGCTCAGTGCCGACCGAGAACTCCTTCTGGTGATGTCCCCTTGCAAGACATCAGAAGTAACTCTCATGCGCCACCAAGAGGACCGAGAAGAGGAAGAGAGAGAGAACCGCATTCACTCCCCCACAACCTTGGTGCCAGTCACAACAAACTCCTTGGTAAGCGAGAGATACAGCTTGAGGAATCACTCAAGTCCAGCAAGAAGGTCCCAGAGGGAAGCAGTGAAGAGAAGCCAACCCCAACACAAGGAATCACCAGCTCCGAAAAGAAAGAGGCATTGAAAGAGACAGAGCCAGCATGGGAAAAGATAGATCTGTCCAGAGAAAAGAAACAAGCTCAAAAAGAAGAAGAGGTTCTTAAGGATGAAGCTGTATCCTTAAGAGAAAAGGAAAGTGTACAGAAAGATAAGGCAGTGACAGAGAAAGAAACTGAAGCAACCCCAAGTTCAAAGACTGTTACATCAAGAGAAGTTGATCAGTCTTCGAAAGAAACTGACTCTTCAGAAAATATTGATATTATAATAGAAAAAGAAGTACAAAGAGAAAAGGTTATACATTCGAAAGAAAAAGTTTTGTCTCCAAGAGAGAAGGTACTTCCTTCCAGAGAAAGAGTGTTGCCTTCTAGGGAAAAAGTCTTGCCCTCTAGAGAAAAAGTTTTACCCTCTAGAGAAAAAGTTTTACCCTCTAGAGAAAAAGTTTTACCCTCTAGAGAAAAAGTTTTACCCTCTAGAGAAAAAGTTTTACCCTCTAGAGAAAAGGCTTTACCACCCAGAGAAACTTTGCCTCCCAAAGAAAAAATTCTGCCACCAAGAGAAAAAATTCTGCCACCAAGAGAAAAGGTTTTGCCATTAAGAGAAAAGAAAGATATTTTAAGAGAGAAGGTCTTATACAAAGATAAGGAAACGTTACCAACCGAAAGAAAAGACTTCGTAAAAGAGAAGGAGTTAGTAAAAGAAAAAGGTGAGATTGTGAGGGTTCAGGACCCCTTGGAAGACCAATTGGAATCCCAGAGAGAACAATCACAGTCATTAAGACAAACTTTGGAATTGGTTAAAGAAAGTGAACAAACAAAAGAACCTGAAGTCTTGGATAAGTTGGAAGAGGTAGCACAGGAACAAGTGGAAGTAGTCAGAGATCTGGAACCACTAAGAATAGAAACCAGAGCTGAAGAGGAGATACCAGTGAGAAAAGAGGAAGAACCTGTGAGAACTGTGATGCAAACACCAGCTGAAGCAGAGGCTTCTTCTGTAAGAGAAAAAGACTCTGTAGTAGAACGGTTAGATATATCTGTAAATATAGAACAACAAAAGAAGCCTGGTGTGTTTGGGTATGTTGATGAGGAAGTAAAAGTTGGAAGATTAGCGGACATTGTCGAGACTTCTGACACAGAGCCAGACAACAAAAGGGTTCGCATTGGTGACAGTGATGAAGATTCTGTGCTTGTGTCTGAAGAAAAGAGAGTAGAACAGCCCAAGGACAGTGGATATAAGAGTGCAATAACTACACCTGAACCTGTAGATAGAATTCAACCTGTTTGTAATGACCTGGTCAATGTAAATAGTATTGTAAATAATTTTATGCCTGAAGAGTCCTGTTTGGAAACAATAGATACAAACAGTAAAACCCCGGTGGTTGTACCAAGTACAGTGGAATTCAAACAGACTGTCAATAAATTTGTTTCTCCAACGAGAAGAAAGAATCTGGAAGATGTCATAGGGGAGATGAAAAGGCAGGCTGAAGCACAACCTGAGCCCAGTAATTCTTTACCTACTTCTGAAGTGCAGATTGAACTTGCAGCTTCTCCACCTCACAGTCAGCCTAACTCAGCCAATTTTTCTGTTCCTCCCCCAGAATCTTCTGTTCCTTCTTCTCAGGCATCATCTGTGGAAACATTAACTCCCAAGAGTGCAACTTCTCCAGTTGCTGCTAATTTTGTGGAACAGTGGCGAGGTCAGTGGGTGAAAAGTCCGCCTCCACAGGATCATAAAGTGGATCCTAGCAGTGGCACACACCTTCCACCTCATTTGCCCATGCCTGGTCTTGATCTTGGCCTTCCTCCATCTATGTCAATGTTAGATTTACAACGAGCTATGTACCCAGATACACAACATCGGCTGTTTACTCACTTTGATATTTTAAATGCCCGTACTATATTGCCGTCAGAAGCTCTACTTACTAGCCGATTACGCCAGATTATGGAGGCTGGTATTCCTCCTCAGATGTTTAATCCAACATTAGCGTATTTACAACAACAAAGTGCCTCCGAAATGGCAGCTCTCAGTCAACAACAGTATGCACAGTCTTCTCGAGAAAATCAAATTCCAGATAAAACTAATGTATGTTCTGCTCAGGAACTTGCGAGATTACCCAGCCTTGAAAACCGGCCTCCCACTCCAGAAATTCTTCCAACCAATAATAAGGCAAATAACCGACCAGCAGCCTCAGGTACTAAAGTTGGGAAACCATTACCCTCTCCTGGATTGCCGAGCATGATGGTTGCACCACCACTACCTTCTCCACCAACTACTGGCAATAAGATTGTCCCAGGTCTCACCTCACCTACCACTAGTAGAGGGCAGCAGCTCACAACAGCTAGAGAAGAGCCCCCCTCACCAGTATTATCACACAACAAAACTGCACAACCACAACCTTCTCCATCAAGTATATATAACAAATGTGACACTTCTGTTTCATCAGCCTCACAGCCACCACAGACCAGTGTACCGCTGCCAGAGATGTCACCTGCCGATCATTCAGTATTAATGTTGAGGACAAACAGGGTACCAGTGGAGCCTCAAGTTTCTCCCCAGTCTAGTAAAACTTCCCAGGTTGCCATATCAGCAAGTGTTACAACTAGTGACACTGTCAGTGGAGCCAATAAGTGTCCCAGACCACTAGTGTCTCCTCCTGTCAACTCAGTGTTCACAACAAAGAAGAATGTGAGTCCACCTGTCTCTAACTCTGTTATGTCTGTAGCCAAGTCAGCCACAACTACAACTAGTCTAAGTTCACTTAACAAGTCTCCTCTCCCAGCGGTGATGAGTCCCACCAGTCAAAGGGAGTCATCGCCTCAGCACACTACAGTGGAAGTACCTGATTCTAAAATTGAAACCATTACTGTTGATGATAGTGTCATTCACCAGAAAGAAGAACCTACTCAGAAACGTGTGCCAATTTATATGCAGGAGCCAAAACCCCAGAAAGTTCCTGAGAAGAAATCTCCAAGATCTCGAAAATTGTCTCCACGATGGAATAAGGAAAGCCCAAAAACCAGAGAAAAGAAATCAACAAAGCTGAACAGGGCATCATACAATAAAGGGCGTGGTAGGAATTCTGGTAAAGGGAAAGGCAGAGGCCAAAGTCCAAGATTCAATTCAGTCTCTGTGCCTAAGGAGCTGGTGGGAACAGTATATGACTTTGATTTTGACAACGAATTTGATGATGATGGTCCAGCCAACAACACGTTAGATGATCTTCGAAAATCTCGTGAAAAACGTCAGTCTGTAGACACAACTCCCCAACAGCAGTCATCGACACCAACATACATGGCTGACCACAAGGAACAATCTCCCAAGAAGTCTAGTAAAAAGTCTAAATCATCATATAAGGATAAGGGGGTTGTTAAGTTAAATAATGATGATGATAAAGTTGCCAAAATACTTGAAGATTATAGAAATATGCAAAATTCTCAGTTAAGGAGGAGTGTTCATTCACCCACACCACCTCAGGGTGATGCCATCCCAGATGATCCACCAAAAACACCAGACAGATTACAAAATCTGCCACAATTTAGTGCTGAATATACTGCAAACATATCTGAAAACAAACTTACAATATCAAACATAAGTGAGGCGAGAGACTCGAACCAAACCTCAGAACTTACAGTTATTCAGAAAGCTGTAGGGGACCACAGTAAAGTCTCTCTCACTGTTCCAACTGCGCAAATTGGCATCGATGAAAGAACGAATCAGCTAAAACTTAAGATTAAAGGGCCATATGCCAACTCATACTCAAATTGCAATACAGCAGCTCCACCTCAAGAGGCGGTGGGTGCTCCGACACCAATATCCACAACTTCAACATTACGACGAATGAGGAAAAAGGAACTTATTCGGCAATATTGCTATCAAGATCAAATGCCAGCTGAACCACCAGACTCGGGGCCTATAAACAATACCCCAAACCCTCCCCCACATGTAAGAACTGGCATCACTATTCCCAAGGCTGTAGCATCCATGACATCCATACCAACTCGAGAAGACTACAAGATGTATACTCAAGATGAGCCTCCGAGTACTGCAGCCGGGGGAGGGAGACGGAAAAGACCACCCCGAGAACTTAGACATTTGAAAGTCTGGACCATTAGGGAAGAATCTGGTAAACGCAATTCAGAAACAACAGAGAGCGGAGATGCCAGCAGAAAGAGACCAAGAGGTGCCAAAGAGTCCAAGATCTTGGAGGAGAAGGATGTCTCGAGTGCCAAACCACCACCAAAACTAAGAATAAGTTTAGGGAAGAAGGGAAGTGAAGTCATGACGGTCACTGATAGTAAAGAACTAGCTGGAAAACAACGACCTCCCAAGAAAAGACTTGCTGAAGAAAACCCCATGGTTAAAATTAAGAGTGACAACATGAAATTTCGTGAACAAATTATGGCTGACTTCGACAAACCTGGGAAGAAGGGTGGACTAAAGGGCTCAGACAGAGACAAAAAAGCCAAGAAGCGTAAGGTATATTCGGGTGAGGCTGGTCATAGCTCCAGTACTGAGAGTAAGGACCTTAACTCTGCTGACAAACATGACATTAAAGTAATAACTGGGGATAGCACAAATGCTCCAAAATTAGTAATAAGATTTGGGAAAGGCAAGAGTGATAATTCGAGTAATATTAAAAATATTAAGGGGGAGATTAATGATTCTGGAATTTCTAAAGAGGAAAGGTTAGATTCAGACACGATTATGCCTCCTTCTTTGAAGATTCGGCTGTCATTAACAAAGCCAGATTCTGATTCCAATAAAGAAGAATCCAGTATTCCCAAAGTGCCCCTCAAACTAAAATTGTCCAGACGCTTAGATGGCTATGTTGCCTCCAACACCCCTAGAAAGCCTCATTCTGATGTTCAAGATCAAGGTCCAGGTCCTCCTAACCCAAAACCACCTGATCTACCCCCTGAGTCCCACTTTGAAAAATCTATACCTGACATAACCCCTCCGTCGCCACCGCCTCAACCCAATCCTCTAATAGCAAGTGAGTATCAGGCAGAATCCAGATTGTCACAGCAAGAGAACCTTAATCCACTTGTTGCAACTCCGTACGCTGTTTATCCTCAAAAAAGTGACCCACCCACTGCATGTAATATACCAGAGCAGTTAAATATGGGCCCAGTAGATTATGGTCTGGGAGGACTGGGTCCACCGACAAGATCTGAAATGCCTGAAGAAATGTTACAAAGATTAGAGGCTCAAATAGCAGCTGCCGGCAGAAATGTGACCGAAAGTGGAGGCCCGGCCGGTAGCTTAGGGTCTCCTCGACAGCAATCAGGACCACCTCTGCCAGACGTCCCCTCAATACACCACACGTTATACCCGTACAAGGAAGGCTCTGACTGCAGATGATAATTGCTTCTCTTTCTTAGTAATAACTTAATATTTACAATAATGTAACAAACTACCATAATTATGTACAAATGTAGATACCGTTGGTGTTGCTCACTTGATGCACTATGTTAGTTACGCAAGGATTTAATCACTTGCATCTCATGGGCTGATTGCAGCCACCATTTTTGTTCTTTTTTTATTAATGTAATGTTCTGCACTGTCATTTGTTAGGGAAAAATACTCGCTCCCCTCAAGGGAATCTACAAGGGTACAGCTACACTGTTGGCAATGATTGTTAATGTGATGGGTGAGTCAGGAGGGAGCACCTCTGGCCTCCTCCCCTACAGCCATGTTAAAATAGTTGTTCACTCAGTGGGGTCTACCTGGCCCCAACCACCAGATGTGGTTCCCCTGGTTCACCTGCTCCGCCCTCAATAGGCTACTTTAGCCAAATATCTTGTTTCCTTGCCTGTTTTTACTGTCTTTTTTGTATGGAATGTGAGGGTGGTTGTTGTTGAGCATGACAGTGTGGTGGGCGTGGTGCCCCCAGGCCCCGGCTGGGCCCTTGGACCTCTGACCCTGGGGCCCCGGATGCCAGACCTGTTGTCCCGGGGAGGACTTGTGTTCCCATATTTTGATATCTTTTTTACCATTGTAAATAGGAAGGAATGTACAAATTACTGTATTTGCTTTTTGTAATTTTATTACTTTTGTACAGTTTTTAGTTCTGATTGCTCATCAGACATAACTTATGTTTTATCAAAAGTTGGAATTATTTATTTTTTAACTTCTCTAAGTGTCACAAATTTCCATGCCATTACTGTCATTTAATATATAGATTTCTTGGCTTTTAATTCTTGACTTTGTTGTTCGGACAAGTTGTTTCCGTGGAGACTGAGTTGTTTATCTACTAGAAGGCAGAAGATTGTAATATATTTCTTGATTCCTCAACAGAGAAATAGTCTTGTAAATCTTAGTGTCATGTGATACATTAATATTATTGAAATATAAATTTTTTATGTTATATAGTTGGCCTTTCTACTTATTCTACCTGGAAATTATTTTCTTTATATACAAGGTGTTGCTTAGAAGAAGGAACTGGCTGAGATTATAGGACCTGATAATATGAAAATAATAATATCATTGGAGTTATTTCAGATAAGAGATGTGCAACTGTGACTTATAATAATCGTATACACAGGCTGTAATGTAAAATTATATAACAATGATGAATATGTGGTAGAGTGATAGGAAGAGAAAGACTGTGTGGTTTAACCAAAGGTATTTGATGGACTTGGGCTTGTTTAAGGAAAAAGCATGTGATAGCCTCTGATAAATCAAGAGTTGTAGATGACTGAAGTTGTTTTAACCAAAAGGTGTTTTATAAAGTGAGGCAAGTTTAAAATATATATATATATATATATATATATATATATATATATATATATATATATATATATATATATATATATATATATATATATATATATATATATATATATATTATTGGTTGTTTTAGCTAAAATGTTTGTTATTCTCAGACTAGTGTATGGATAGAATGAAGATAGTTTAACTGAAAAGTACGTTGTTGAATCAAGATACATTAATCAAAAGGCGAATGATAAGATTTTAGGTAGTCCAACCAAAAGATTATGAATATACTCAGGCTGGTTTAACAACAAGAGATATGACAGGTTATTTATACAAGAAGTGAATGATACTCATGCTAGTACTGTACTGAACTATACAACTAATGGCATTTAATAGACTCATTTTGATTTTATAAAAAATGTGTATGATGGATGCAGGTTATTTTGAATAAAGGGGGTATGATAGACTCTGGTTAGTTAGCCTAGAAGTGTGTGAATGAAAAGGTGTATGGTGGACTAAGGCCAGATTAACAAAGATGTTTAATCAGTTTAAGGTAGGTAAACCAAAAAGATGTTTGATTTACTAAGGCTATGTTGATAAAAGTTGGTATGATCAAGCTAGTTTAGTGAAAATGTGTAACAGTACACTGAAGTGTTGTTTAGCCAAAAGGTGCACTGTACAGTATTGTAAATTTTGGCTGGTTATGTAAGGAGTTTGATATGTGGTAGGTTGACCAACATAGGTGTGCAAGAGAATTGAGTTTAAGCAATGAGTGGATGATGGACCCAGGCTGGTTTAACCAGGTGTGTGATAAGGTCAAACTGGCTTACTTGGTTAGTTTAAGCAAAAAGTGATTGGTGAACTTGGTTTAGTTTAGCCAAAATAAATATGATAGGCTCAAACTGTTTTAACAAAATAAGTGTGGTAGATTCTGGTTGGTTGTAATATGTATAAGGTATATGATAAACCCAAACATTTAACCAAAAGGTAGAGGGTAGGTTCATACTGGTTTAATGAAAAGGCATGGAATAGATTTGTGTTACTTCCAACAAAATATGTATGACAGTTTCCAGTTATTTTGACCCAAGGGTGTATGATAGACTGCAAATTTTATAAAAATAATATGGTTTGTGGACTGAGAATATGTAAACTACTGTACAATAATAGGTTTATGATAGACTTGGGTTGGATTAACCAAAGTGCATGACAGACAAATACTTGTTTAACCATAAGGTATAGTATATAATAGATTCATGCTGGCTCAACCATAAGTTACAGTATATGATATATTCATGCTGGTTTAACCATAAGGTATAGTATATAATAGATTCATGCTGGTTTAACCATAAGGTATATTATATAATAGATTCATGCTGGTTTAACTACAAGTTACAGTATATAATAGATTCATGCTGGTTTAACCATAAGGTATAGTTTATAATAGATTCATGCTGGTTTAACCATACTGTACAGTACAGTATATAATAGATTCATGCTAGTTTAACCATGAGGTATTTTATAGTCAATATGTATGATAAGCCCAAGCCAAGTTAACAAAAGGGTGTATGGTAAACTCAAGATGATTCAGGCTAGTTTAACCCACCAAGTGCAGCAGTTTTACTGCCTAAGTGTGACAGCTGCAATGTGCGCACACGGTACAGTATTCACACAGTATTCATAATAAATTTATCTCGCTTATTCCAATAGTATATGGTACCATTGAAATCATCAGAAATTTTATAATAATATATTAATGTTTTTGGAATAGCTATATAATAAGAAAACCAATATGAAATGAGTAAATGTTCTTGCACAAGCCACTTTCTACTTTCAAGCTACTGATCTCTAATGAACGTTTATAATAATCCATTATTTTTATGCTAAAAATAGCATACGGACCCCCTGGATCCGCCCTTGGATAAGATATTCATGTGTTGGGCTGTTTAATATACCTTGGGGTCCGGAAGGCAGAGGCCCTGGCTAGGAAGTTAGGTAAGGTTGGGTAGTTTTCTTTGGTTTGGCGAGTGCAGTCTTTTAGCAATGCTTTGGCAACTTGTGTTTGTTCTCCCCCTCCACAGTGAGTGTGAAGGTGGTTAATCTGGTGAAATAAGTTGGGGGCTACTCTTCTGGTGAATCCAGTTGTGTTAGTTATGGTTTTCTTATGCACAAGGAAGGTGTGGTGGTAGTCAGGTGGCTTAGTGTCAAAATAGCCCTTTATTGTTACAGGTCGGATAAAATCGCCATTTTTTTTTCAGGCTTCCTCTGGCCATACTTATCAAATCTAGAAGGGGAGCCACCTTCAAATATTCTCGGAATTCTTGTACGATGCAAAATTCAAATTGGCCGACACGAAAACTTAAAGTTCATACAGCTCTGCTTATACTGTACTGTATATGTCACAGGGAGGCAAATTTGGTGTCAAAATGTAGGTTTTCAGGGTCAAGGATTACATTAGAATGGCTTACAATGCTGAAAAAGCATCCATATATCATATAGAAAGGTCAGAGATTATCACTTAGGCCAAAATTTTCGTGATAAATGTTTATTTGTGATGCAATTCTGATACTCGCACAAAAAGTACACTCAAATAATAAAAACTTTGGTAACTCAGTCATTATACAGTACATGATTATGGAAGTATATTCTCACCTACTTTATGCCTTTACGTTTGCAAAGTGGTGTACAATCTGCTTTCACACATTTGCAGACCCTACAGCCACCCTTACAGAAACACTATTTTTTTTTTTTTAATGGTTGGCGGCAAGCTTTGGAGATTTCAGGGACTGTGATCCAGACTGGTACTCAATGATCCTCCTTGGCTCATCTAAATCCTTATGGGGACGTGCTGGTACGGCTTGCTGTGTTTGGTCACTGGTACACCATATTCCAGCCTGTAACACCATGTCGAGCATGCTGAAGGAGTGCTAAATAAGTGTTTTGCTTCTTGTGGCAGGTACACCTACTAAATAATTATTCGGCACCCTTACGGCGTGATACAATATGACACGGGTGCCGAATAATTTTTTAATGGGTGTACATACATTGATTCCAATATTGATTGGAAGAGGTGGTTCCCTTTCCAGGTTATGTCTGGTTTGCAAACTACAATCGGTTGCCCTCTTCTTTGTGTAGAATAAAATTATTAGAGCCACAGTGACGGAAGCCTGGGATTCATGTTGGTCTTCATTTTTAATGTTTGGGCCATATAGTACCTTTTACTTTTTACTTTTATCCTCTTCACCAAAAGATCGGCTCGCTGGCCGCCTGGGCGATAGGTCACGTCTCTGACACGCACTGTTGGCAAGTACTGGGCATGCACCGGCTCCTGAATGTACCTGAACCCGCTCCAGTGTTGGTCAAGTCTCGTCTTGAAAGAGCTCACACTCGGTGCCGTCACAACACTTTCTGGAAGATTGTTCCAAGAGTTTACAACCCTCACTCCGAAAAAGTTTGCCCTCACAGTTTTCTGGACTTGCGGCTTCTTCAATCTTGAGCTGTGACCATGTGTGGGGCAAGAGTCCGCACTACTCGACTGAGTAGTGCCCCCCGAGATGCTTATACACCTCAACTAGGTCACCCCTTGCCCGTCTGTAGTATAAGCTAGGCAAGTTCAGGCGCTCCAATCTCTCAGGGTAGCTGAGGTGCCGAAGTGCAGGCACCAGTCTGGTGGCCCTCCTTTGAACATTTTCAACCAACTGACAGTCCCTAGCATATCTCGGGGACCAGACGGGGTGACATTACTCCAGATGGGGAAGCACTTCACTCTTGAAGATCGTTACGAGGGACGGACCGTTTAGATATCTGAACGACCTTCTTTTTAGACCCAATAATTTATTTGCCTGATTTACCTCCTCGCAATGGCCCGAGAACTTCAGCTCATTGTCAACATACACACTTAGGTCCTTCTTACATTCAGTCTCAACTAGTGCAGTTTCTTCATCCCGTTGGGACATATGATACGCCTCCTTACTTACCGTTGGTACATCCTCTTACACTTCGTGACATTGAATCTCAGCAGCCATTTCTTCGACCATTCTTGGAGCCCACAGAGGTCCTTCTGCAGCTCTTCACAGAGCTGGGTCCGCTTGCTTCTTGATTTCCCGAAATAACTTGGCGTCATCGGCAAACATTTGTATGGAGGAGTGTACAACGTCAGGCATGTCATTTATGAAACAAACAAACAACAGCGGGCCCAATACACTGCCCTGTGGTACCCCACTTGTGACAGGTGCGGATGACGATTTCGTGCCATTAATCACCACACACTGCTTGCGGTCATGTAGAAAGTTTTCTATTCTTGCTAGGACATTTCCCAGAATTTCGTACCCTTCCAGTTTGATTTTCAGCCTTTCATGGGGTATGCTGTCAAAAGCCTTGGCAGAATCTAGGTAAATATTGTCAATATTACTACCCCGTTCCAGAATATGGGTCCAGATATCCAATACCTTGAGCAATTGTGTTAAGCAGGAGCGCCCCAGCATAAAACCGTGTTGGCAATCCTTTACAAGATTGTTTCGTATTAGATGTTCCTTTGTGGCATCTCTGATAATACTCTCAAGTACTTTACATATTATGCTGGTCAGGCTCACCGGTCTATAGTTGTTCGTGGAGTGACGATCGCCCTTCTTGAAGATAGGGCTCGCATAAGCCACT